TTGTTATTACCTCATCTTCTAACCCTTTCATATACTTTGGGTTGACTGTTCAGATGCAGCAGTTTGTGGACTGAAAGAAGGAGGATGTTGGAATCGAGAAAAAAGGATTTACTCCTTGGTGTTCAGTTGTCTGCAGTTAGGGAGAGGAGAAGTGATAACAAGCAATTGCAGTGCCTGACCAGTGCACAAAGCCAGTCCATCTCCCTGGGATCCACATTCTGTTCTGCTGTAGTTAGGTGTCAGATTCAAGAAGCTGGAGTCTTTGCTCTTTTTGGCAAAACACTGGACTTTCCATAGGAACATCCATCACCCTATATTTCTACTGGGTGACTTTTAAAAGCTTGTTTCTGTGAAATGCAAACTTCTACCACTGGGATTTAGCATGCTTAATTTGTTCAGCATATGAACCATAGGTACCAGCTCAGTCAATAAACAACTCTTTTTCACTGTAATGTTTTCCACCTTCTTGAATCTTACTGCATTTTAGTCTTCAATTCTTCTTTTTAAACAAACAAACAAGCAAACAAACATGAAGCAGGCAAAAGTACATTTCCTTGTAGGGCACATTTAGATTGTATCCACGTTATCAGAGTTGTAGGTGTGTCAGTTTCTACAGAAGAAAAGATCCAGCTTTTGCCTCAAGATCACATGGATTTACTTGAATGGTGCAGAGGAAATTTTCTTTCTGAATCCCTCTTAAAAAAAATTAAATGCTGTCCTGTGAAGCTAGGTTAACCCAGACTGAGACACCAGGCTGCAGTTCACAGGATGGCCATAATACACAGGAATCACCAGGGTGTGTTTCACAGCTGGAGCAGGGAGAAGCTCATATCTTTATCTTTCCTTCTTCCTTCTCCTCTCCTTTTTCCTTTGTCCTGTGCCGTGACTGTATTTCTTTGTCCATCTCACTGTCCTTTTGCCTATACCTGTCTGCATCTGCTGCTCAGTCCTTCTCCCTCGCTGTACTCTTCTCTTTATAACCCCCTGTCCTGCTGCCCATCCCTCTCTTTCTCCATCCCTCTGCTGCACCTTCCCCCCACACCCACCTGCTGTGGTCATTTTCTCTCTCTGTCCTTGTCTCTCTGTCCTCTTTGTCTCTGTATCCCCCTGTCCTTCCTGTGTGTTTACCACTCTGTCTTTTTACTTGCCCTTCTCGTGTTTCTTTTTATTCCCCGTTGCTCTGTCCTGCTCCCTGTGCCGTTGTTTTTCACTGGATCCTTCTGTCCCGTTCCCTGTTCCTATTCTTTTTTAACCCCTCTCTGTCGTCCTCTGGGATGCTGCCCATCACACTTGTTTTTATTTCATCTCCATTCCGCACCCTAGTCTTCCTTTTCTTCCTGTGTCCTTTCTGCTCCCACTCCCGGTTTGTCTGTCCCTGGTGCTCCCATCCCGCTGCTGGATGGGTCCGTGAGCGCAGATTGGAATCCCGGTGCTCCCGCCTGACGGGGGCAGCAGCAGGGACGGGAGGAGACAACTCCTGCCCCGAGCGCAGGAAGGGAGTGGGAGCCGCGGCAGCATTCCGGGACAAGCTGCCCCCGGGCCGCGGGACGGCCGCCAGCCTGTGACAGTGAAACTGCGCTTCAAGGTCCCTTCCAACGCAGGCCATTCCATGATCCATGGAAGCACTGCAATATCTCCATGTGAATGGAGCAAAGTTCATAAATATAGGAAAATTTTGATAACACTTGGGTTTTGTTGACATTTCTATTAATGATTGTTAAATCACGTGGGCCGATAACAGGACAGATAGGAAAATGGAGTTTGTCCCCACACTTATTTTTTATGCTTTTGTACATGTTTATCATGTTTATATAGAGATGTGTATTATTATACATATGTTTAAGGGTGAGACACATAATCTTTATGAATCTGCCAGGCTCTGGGGAGATTTACTTCCTCAGAAAATGATGATTCAAATGCATAATCATGGTAGGCATTGGTGTAGTGTGGGGTGTTGCTGAGTATTACCTGAATGGGTGCTTAAAGTGAGATACCTGCTCTTGCACCTTGTTAAAAGAGGGCCTGATTGTAGGAAATAAAACTGTTTGTCTGTCCCACATGAGTTGCAAATTTCTCCAGTGTTGTGGTGTCGTTCATTGATTTAATAAGAGCGAGTTTTCTTGTAATACTGACTTAAATAAAACAACTGCAAAATACTGGCATAATTTAGGTCCACTTCACAGCATTTTAGAGTTGTCATTTTTTGATTTGGTCTCATTCTCTCAGAACAAATTTCATAACAATTACAGTAGATGTTTTTACAGTATTGAACACTTTTTTCTCGATTCCTGCCAACAGTAACTTCTCTCCTCCTGTACCATCCCTTGTGATTGTTCATGGGCTGGTTTGGCTTTTTTAAAGAAAATATTTATGGGCATATTTTCCACAGTGTTTCTGCCTTTTACTAACATTTTCCAATTAATTAAACCTTAAATTTATTATTTAATATTAGAGATATGTATTTGGGTTTTTTTTCCTATGCATAATTATCTTTGTTATCTGAAAATTGTATTTCATGTTAAATCCCTCATATAGAAAATATAATTTTTCTTCTCAAAATTATATGTTTTTCACCTTCAGCCCATGACCTTTTGGTGCCTTATATTTATTTATTTTGATACATTATGTTATTTGCCTCATTTCACATCAATACAATCTTACTAAACCGGTCCAGGATCTACTGTATTATTGTGTTTGTGAAATTCTTCTGTGGGTAACGATGGGCTCATTTTGTCAGTAAAACTTTATTCCCATAGAAAGCATTTGGAACTGGCTACAAATCCAAAAGCTCAGCCCCAGTCCAGAAGTGCTTTTCATTGCCCAGCTCTCTGCCTGTCCTCATGTTTCAGTGAGTGTTGAGGAGCACCAGCAGATGGGGCTGAAATGCTGCAGAGTGAAACACTTCCAGCACAGAGTGAATATCAGGAGAGGGGGAATGTCGGTGAGTTTGAGCACCCAGTTAACTCCTGCTGTCTGCTGAATTTTCCAGAAGAGGATGCCCTGCTGCAGGGGGAGCCAGGAGGCAGAGAAGAGGCACCACAAATTGTGGTGCCCGTGGGGGGTGTGTACCACATCTCTGCCCTGCAGCTGCCACCCCAGGCCCAGGACGTCGGGGTCTGGACCATGGTGGAGGTGAAGGAGGACAGGGATCAGCCTCTGGTGCAGCTGAGGAGCTGCTTCTGAGGTTTGTCACTGCTGTCACATGCACTGCACGCAAGTTCCTGAGCAGCAAACTAACCAGGCAAGGATTGCAAATAATCAGTTTTTCACGTTGAAAGGTAAAAGCACAGTGGTACAAAAAATCACTACTGGCTCACCTCCAGGCTCTTCAGGCTGGTTGAGGGCTGTGGTCACTGGGTTCTGGTTTCCTCTAGCACTGACCTACCCCACAGATGGCACTGTGGAAACCTCTAATAAGCAAAATTCCCAAAAAGCCAAACTCAGAGGGCAGGACTGTGTCAGGAGAAGAGGCCCAGGATGTTCATTCCCAGCCCCTGTGACCTCTCCTTCCCTCTGACACTGTGGGGACAGAGTGGAATTACACCTGCTTTTGCCTCCTGTGCCCCTGTCTGAGGCTGGGGATCTGTGAGAAATGGCCCATGCTGTGGCCCTGCCTTGAGGGTGCCTTCAGCAGCACAGGAAGGGGTCCAAGGCCTCCTGGTAGCTGCTCTTCTACTGCCTTCAAAGTTGTACTTGGAAATGTGCAGTATTAGCAAATCATTTTAAATGGTGTGTTAAAAGGCTTTACAGTGATTAGATGAACTCAAAGAAAAAAACCACCCTGATAAACCCCTTATCTGTCCTTTTCCTCTCTTGCCAAAGCTGCTGGATGTTGGATTGGAGGTGTATCCATATTCCCCAGGAGAGGCTGAAGATGGCACACAGGAAGCAGTACAGATAACCCTGAGGCTCCCTGATAATGTGATTTATTTTCAAGTGCCTGTGGTAGCCCAATGGGATCCTGCAGGTGTGAACTTAAGACATAAATTTATTTCAAATTTGAATAGTAGAATCTATACCTGAGTTGGACTGTTGTTACAATCCAGCTGTAAAAATAAGGGCCAGTTTAGAGCCCAGAAATAGGGATGGCAACGTTAATTAAAAAAATCCAAAAACCACCAACCTAAAAATCCCCACATCAATTATTACTTTTTTGGTTTTGTTTTACTTCAGCATTACTGCCAGAAGCCTTCCATATACATCTTTCCATTCTCTTTGTCCAGGCCAGCAGTGGAGAACTGATGGCATCAGCAAGATAACCTATGAAGCAGAAGAAAAGAGCATCACCTTTAGTATGGGCGCCTTTTATACAGTAGCCCTTCTCCAGGATGGTCATCTGAACCTGCCCTATCAGGCCTGGGAATTGCATCCTACTGGTGTGGATGAAGGACTCTTCACAGTTACTGCAGTCTTTGCAACCATTCAGATACAAATGAAGGTACTGTCAATCATTTTTTACTCAAACATTTGCAGTTAAAAACCTCCATAATTATTACAGTGTCCCTGATTAAGAATTTGAGATGCTTCCACAAGAGTAATTTGAATCTCTCTTCCTTTCCAAGCACTGCACTGGTTATTTAATTTCAGTTATTTACTATGAGAAATAGTACATTTCACATAGAAATGTGCATTTGCTCTGGAAAGTTTCAGTCAGTGCTTTGCTGCTGGTTTTGCCTTGCTGCATTCAAGCCTGTTCCACCTGTTGGAGAGCTCAAAAGTGTTCCTGTCTCCTCCCAGCTCTACCAAGAGAAATACAGAGAGTTCTAGTAGCCTACCACTAATGCTCCTTGTTTCTTCTCAAAGTTCAAGCCACTCATGATTATCCATCTGTTCAGTGGTGTATAAATCAGTACACCAATGTCATTTCTGAATTCCTACACAATTTATGTTCAATGGTGAGAAAGTACAAAATCTCAAGCTCACTGAATCCAGTGAGCCTTTTTCAGAAGAGCTGGAAGAGTCTGAATTTCTCTACCATATGCTCAAGAATTCTGCCAGCAATGAAGCCATGGATAAAGTGGAAAGAGCTGGCTTCCTGTTTATTGATTCTGTGTATCAGCTGCTTCTTGCTACCAGAGTCTTAGCATACTCTTAGATACTGCATGCTTTCCTTCAAAACTTTATTATCAAAAGCTTTCAATAAAGTTACATTTCAAGTCTTAAACCCTTTTCTATTCAAATAATTGAAACAGGTTCTAAAATGCAAACATTTTATCTTTATTCAAGCAAAATCAATTCTTTATTCAATTGTGCCTAGACCACCTAGACATGTTTATTGTTAGCGACATTCAAAATTGCTATTCTATTGTAAAACTCAACAGAACTGAGACCCTTTTAGCTACTTTTAAAGATGACTTTTGTCAGAATGGGAAAAAGATTTTTTTTTTTTTTCATTTCAAGTCATGCTTTAAAGAAAAAAACTTCATTTCCCCCTAAAAATACCCACAACCCAACAAAACAAATCCAGACATGTAACCTGAAATAACACCAGCTTCAGCTCCTGTCCTGCAGGGCATGGCAGTGCAGCCCTGGCAGCAGAGCCAGGGTTATACCGGGGGAGGGCCGTGGTGGTGCAGTCCTGTGTAGGGCCACAGCAGCTGCTGCAGCGACCTCCAGGAGTCCCCAGTGCCCACAGGGGCTGCATCTGCTGGCCTCTGCAGGTTCAGCCCCGTCAGGAGGCTCGTGAGAGCAGCCAGCAGGACCAGGATGGACACGGATACCCAGAAGGTTTTGTTGGCATTGCAAAAGGAAACCTTGAAACGGGACGCCCACACTGGCATCAAATTGTACCTGGGCAGGGCAGGAAAGCACAGAGCCCTTTAGTGTTTCCCCAAAACATACAATTTTTCCCACCCCACCCCAAAAAGTCTTGGAGCAAACTAGATCCCACAAACATCAAGAGTGACAGGTTGTTACTGTTTTGGGAGCTGTGCATGGGAGCTTCTGTTCTGAGTTTAAAATACAGTCAAGAAAGCAAATTCTTGATAAGCTGGCTCAGATCAGCCATCCACCCATGCTCCCTGTTCCTTACACTGGTTCTGAAGAGGATTCACAAAAGCTGCCTTGCAAGAGCAGCAGGAAATCTTGCTCATAGAAAGCACTGAAAGTCCTGGCCTTTTGTTTGAACCCATGTGCACCTTCCAAACATGGCTTTAACTTGTGAAGAAACTTACATTGACTCCAGGGTCCATTTGGGTGGGTATTTTCCTTTTTCAGAGACACTTTCCTTCCTAGTTGGTTGTTCCTGTACTTCAGCAGGTGATTCCAACTGCTCATTCCTGCAAACAAGAACCAACAGCTCCAAAGCTTTGCCAAATTCACAATAGCTTGGCTTTATAGCCCTGACCAGGTGATGAATTAAAAGCTCATTAAAAACTAAAGCAGCACACCTGGGAGGAGGCTACTGCTGAACTTACTTGGTTTCAAAAGGTTCCTCTTCATACTCCGCCCAGGAATAGGTGCTGAGGAACCTCTGCAGCGAAGGACGCTTCTCGTTCTGCTTCACCCCTAGCCTGCCCCTGCCATGTGTTAAACAAATTTGTCTGATTTTCCCCAGCAGATAGAGAACAGAAAATCAGAAATTTAGCAGCAGCCTACTCATTTGGTTAACCACAGACAAATAATTTACAAATTTAATTGCTTGAAATGAGGATAATTAAAAAAAAAAAACAAATGAAATGAAACAAAACTACAGATCCATCCATTGCAGATATTTAGATTTTACATTTTAGTTCTAAAGCAAGAAAGTTGTGGGATTTTTTTTAAGCTCTCAATGTTCATTAAATTAAATTAAAAAGGTGAGCTCATAAAACATTATTACAGCACATAAAACTAATGTGAAAGGTGTAGCCTAAGCATTATTGTACCCCAAGATGCTCCATAAACTGCTTACTACAGGCACAGTTAGAGTTGAAAAAATATTTCCCCCGTTCAAAGACAAGCTCTGGTGACTTTACCAACTGCTTGATCTCCTGCTGAATGTGTCACTCTGTTCATCCCCATCAGGTTCATGGAACTGGGCCTGGAGGAGAAATTTGCCATGTTTACTGCACTGGCATTCTGACGCTTCATCCCAGCCAGTTTTGGGGAGGTGAAGCACCTCACCATCCCTCCAGCAGCCCCTACTTACCAGTGGCACCCCAATCCCTGCATTCCCAGCACTCCTGGGCACTGTTGCAATGCTAACTCTCCGCAGGGCTAACGAGGGCTACACAAATAAGAAGCATTACTGGCTCTTAGCAAGGCACAACTGAGTTATTCACTGAGCACACAAAATACCATCTGGTTTGTACAAACTATATTAAAAAAGGAGATGCTGACACTTAGTGTGAAGTGACACACAAAGAATCCAATTTCAAGCACAGATCAAATCAGATCTTTCAAGCAGCATCCTTCCACAGTAAGTGCTTTCTGCCCACCTGAGTGAGACTGGCTGCACAGCTTCCCGCAAAATACCAACATTGAAGGGTAACTAAATTCCCCTAACCTTGCCCACAGGAATTCTTACCCTCAGTTTGAGCTGCTCACATTTTTGTGCTAAACCCTCCTTTAATTTGAAGAGAACCACGCATGAACAGTATTTCTTAACCAGTGAGTGAGAGCCCAGCGATTTCACCTTCATCTTCTAAGGGGGACCACTTAGTTGGTGGGGTGCCTGGAAAGTAGATCCTAATGTTTGATGACACCAGCCCATATTTGTGACAGAAAAGCACCAAGTCAAGCATGCAACAGAGCACCAGCATATAAAACAAAGAAAAATACACACACATTTAAAAAATTTGAAATTTCATGTAAGGACCATTACCTTAAAGTTAAAAGGACCTGGTATCTTCTTATTCATAGATTCATCTGTGAAGAGATGAGACATCAGAGCTTTATAGAAGGAGCTTGCTGCTTAGAGGAGTGCAGTGAGTTTAATTTGCAACCTAAGGTCTGACTTTCTGCAGTGTTTGTTTAAACAAAGCACTCTCAGAAAGCAGAAATGAGGTATCAGGAAAAAGCTTTGTATTTCATTAAACAAGTTCATAACATTCACACATTACCCATCCTCTGCAAGCATTAACTCCTGTCACTATCATCCAATATATTCTATTATTGAGGTAGTGTCCTATTACAGGACTGTCTTTCACAGTCAGGACTGTAATCCAAAAGGCTCCTACAAGGATTTTATCATGTGCAAGACTTTCCTTTCCGTGTTTAAAAACACATCCTATTTTTCAGAAGAATTTAATACTTCCCTGGCAAAGCTACAAGTGCACAGCACTGGCTGCAAATCTGGCTGCTTAGAAGCAAAAATAGCAAAAAAAACCCCTGCACTTGAGGGGTTTGTAATTCCCATGCAGAAAAGGGCAGGGTACAGGCTGTAGAGAGTAGCCAAAGCTCAGCTACCTAGAGATAACTACCTAGAAATAGCTACTGTGAACAAGCCCCTCAACTTACTGCTCATAAGGAATAAGATTATCACCAGCACATGCCATGCACTTGGCTTAAAGCCAGGACATTCCTGTGTACTTGCAGTGGTCCCACACACACACACTCCCTGAGATCCATGACAGTTTAGGTACAAGTTAAATTTCAGAGAGCTGCTTTTAATAGTATTAATAGATGGCTATTCCTCCCCGCTCCCCTCTTTTTAGAAGGGGGGACAAAACAACCATATAATTCTATCACCTAAGATGTGGAGGGATTACACAACTATTCTGCAGCTATAAGGGTCTGTCTGGCAGGTGCTAGCAAGGGGAAAGAGGTTTTTCCTGGTTACCTCTGTCTCCAAGGGAGCTGAAGGACCTTTCGTTCTGGAGCAGGACCTGCTTGAGCTCCTCAAGCTCAGCATGTTCTTTGGTGTACATGCGCTTCAGGTTCTCCACATGCTGGATCATCACCTCCACAGCTTTGCTCACCCGGCTCTCCTGAGGGAGCAGGGAAAGCAGCAGCTCTCAGGAACTGCCTAATGTTTGGAGATTGCCCCCTCAAGCATCTGCTATCTCACTTTTATCCTCCCTTTCAAAGCTTCACTACAAACCCTGTCCTGACACATGGTACACAGGTTTCATTTCTCTGGGGATCACCCTTGTTGTAAAATAAATCAGTCTTCAGTTTTCCAAGCTCTTAAAACTCATTATCATAATTTCCTCTGATCTACAGTCTCAGCTGCCACCATACATTTGCTGGTATTGCCAAGTCATATTTTCATGCTGCTCTGGGGTATGATACACAACTATACCTAACATTTGAGCAGGACTTTGTAAGTTTCCATAGATTTAGCTGATTAGCTGCCCTTTCCATAAGGCACAGAACCACATTTGCAGCATCAAGGCCATTGTTACCACACTGCAGGTCTTTTGTACATCTCACTGCTGCAGAGTCTTTATTGTTTGGCTTTTTTCAACCAGAACCTTATTTCTGCTGTGGGTTGTTGCACAATTCTAGTGCAGCATAGCTGCTCACAGTGCCTGGGATGCCTTATAAGAACACAGAGAAGAAAAGGCCAGGACTAAGCTGTCCTGGCCAGTCTACACTACACACACCAGATTCCCAAATGCAATCCTGGAACCATAAGCCCATTAAGAAGATGTGGCTATCCCTTTGCAGCTAGAAGGTTTTAGCTTTGTACAAAGTACTTTTAGATGGAAAGTGTTACCTGATTAATAGCTCCCAACATCTCTGCTCTGCTGGCAACTCGAGCTGCGTATTGGCTAAGGAACTGCAGACTTTTCTGCAGCTTCTTAATGATCTCCTGTGCCTGGTTATCTTCTTCACACAAAGGAGCTAATGCCTAAGAGCACACATTGGTAAGAAAACTGGTTATTAACAGAGAATGAAGGGTTGAGCTGATGACACTGAGGAGCTGCATTCAGGCCCACATCAACATCCTTAAGTGTAAATTGGATAGAGAGCTCCAGTGGGCAGAGACTGGAGCATAAAAGCAGCTGAAGCAGGGGTCAGGTGTTTCTGCAACAGAAAAATTCCCTGCTGCCTGAGCACACAATGCACTTGGATCAAGGTTACCCCTCCTAATCTCTCATATTTCAACTGCACTGCTCCAGAACTTCATTCATATTTGCTCATCATGTATCCCATGCACACACACCCCTTGCCTTTAAAGAGCTGTTTTAAGAGAGATACTCACATCTACTTATCGCATCCACCCTACCAGCCCTGGCCAATACTGACCTCTAACATATTCACAGCATTTGAGATCTCCTTTTTCAAGTTTTCTTCAGCCAGGTCTCGGGACCTCTCTTCAAGCTTCACTCTTTTGTCCAAGGTAAACAAGTCACACTTAAAACCTAAAGACAGCCTCAGAAATTCAGCCTGTTGTGGGAGAAAAGCCTTCAGAGGAATCCAAGTGATGCAGAAGTTTATGTAGATTTGGACACTGATATGACATTTGGGGCTATACCCTGTGACCAAAGTTTAGGAGAAATACAGAAGAATAAGTGAACGTGACCCACTTCCTTAAAGCAGGTCTTCCCATCTGTAGTGATGGTGGGAATGTTCTGCAGCCTGAAGAGGTGACATCCTGGCAGTACACTGTGCCATCTGTGCCTTTTGACAAAGCTGTCTTAAATCAGCACATTCTGCCTGGGAGGAGGTCACAGCTGTGCTCCTTCAAGCTTGCAAACAAATGTCACAGTAGTGACAAGTCTTTGTTCAATTTTAAAGATTTTCACCTTTCTCCATCCCATCTTTTGCAAAAATTTCCATTAGGTTTGGAAAGAGATTTCAGAAGTTAGCCTACAGAATGACCCAGCTGGATGTCTTTTACATAGGAGGAAATATTAATCAGTGTTTATCTACAAAATCTGATATCTGAAATACTTCAGGATACAAGCAGTTGAGACTTACCTCCACTTCCTTCTCATTTGAGGAGTCACTGTAGGAGAAGAAAGAGAACCATGGAACAGACTGTGGCTTTAAATCCATACCTGCAGGCGATCACTGAAAGTGAAAACACTTACAGCTCATTTTGCTTGGTTTTATCTCCTTTAATGCCACCTGCAGTGGGTGAACTCCCTGAGAAGAGACAAAAAAACCCGATTTTCAGGCCAAAGTGAAAAAATAGCCTCCCCAAACCAACCTGTGAGACTCTTTTAATCTTTCACAGAAGCCCCTGTTCAAGATTTCCAGTATTAAGCTTTTACCACTGAGAAGAACTCATGTGCCTCAGATTCTATTTCAGTGTGAGGCACCACAGCACTGCCACTTGTACAAAGCCCCAAAAGTCAGCTTTTCAGGGCACTTCAGCTGGCATCTTATTAGCACAGAAATGGTTAATTGAAGGTTTTTTTCTTCAGGATGTTATGCAATTTACTACCTCACCAGCTTTTAGTGATCTCCAAAGGCAAAAGAGGAGGTGATTTGAAAAGTAGGTAGGTCTAAGGAGAAACAACATCCTGCTCCTCTCTATCATGGATAGCACAGAGATGCTTCTTTTACAAATCTCTGGGGAGAGCAGGAGTGACAAAATTGTTTCAAATATCCCAACTCCTTTGCAGCTAAGAATTTTCCTCCTGTCTAGAGGAATGTGGAGCTGGTTAGATCAGTATCTATAGAAATGAGAGCAGATTTTGCATGATACCACTTTTGTTCTCTTCATTTTTATCTCCAACTGCAGGTACCAAGCCCTAAAACAAAAGCCTCTTATCACACTCTCTACACAACTCTGCACTCAGCTTGTGCTCCAGTAATATGAAGGCATTCAGCAAAACCCCCTTACCTTTCCTGCTGGAAAGCACAACTGGTGCTTCCTCACTCCACTCTTTATTATTTTTCTTTTCCTGGTCCACTTCCTAAGGGCACATCAGAGCAGTTAGAGCAAGGGAGCAGCCACACCACCCCTGGAGGGGCCTGTCCCCTCCTTTGTCACTGCTCAGCCAACCCAGTTGGGCTTTTCACTGTCACCAGCACTCTTACCGGGTCTTGCTTCAAAACATTTTGAAACACAGGCTTGTGTTCTTCCATGGCCAGGCAGGATTCCTTCTTGATCTGACTTGGTCCTGTGGAAAACATTCCCAAATCCAAATGTAACAATTAATAATGCACACACAACTTCCAACACCCACCATTTTAGCCATGGGCCAACTGAGCTAAAAAACCGCACCAAATGCCACGAAAGACAACTAAGAAAAAGAGGAGGCAACAAAGAACAAAATAAAGACACACAGGAAGAAGTATGATAACTACGATTGGAAAAAAATCCCGTAAGAAGTGTTTTATGTCTACAGCTGAGAATATAATGTACTTCCTGTAGTTAAAGATGCAGGAGTTACAGTAATATTCCCTTGGATAAATTAATTTTATTATTTTGCTACCAGCAGGGAGATTTTTTTTGTTGTTGATATGTTTGCTGTTTAAAGAGGCAGCTTTTAATTAATATTTATACCTTTAAAAACATCTAGAATATTTTGTTTTCTTCTCTGTTTATGCAGTCACACACAGCTGTGAGCCAAAGAAATGACAGAGAGAAAAACAAACAAACAAACAAAAAAAAAAACACCCAGAAAAACTCCAGCTTCAGGTTTGAAGCCTGCAAGGGGAGATTTATCAGTCCTAATATTAGGAACGCTTTCTTTTCAGAGATGTGCAACAGATATCTGGATTCTCAGACTTCAAAGCTATTGGGACTTCTTTAAATTTGATCTGCATATCTGCTTCTTCTTAGCCAAAGGCACATGGATCATATATGAAAATTAACAGTAGAGGGAAATCAGTAGAAGGAAAATGCTTTTAAATGAAGGGAGAGAATAAAATTTCAGGAAGATAGTACTGAGGAAAGAAACAAAACCAAGCAAGAAACTGCAGTCTTATATTGAGGTAAAGATTAAAAAAATTTCACAAACAAGCATGCACAGGTATTCTGTGCCGCTTATTCAGATCAGTTTCACAAAACCAGCTTGATTAGTGTATACAGATGCTCCAGTTTTGGTTTGGTTTTATAGTTTTTCAGTGGAAGAAAACCATCAGAGCTGGTAAGAATCTGGTGGGTGTTCATGGCTCTAGCGAAGACAGAACAATACTTAAATGCTTCTACCCTCATCTCTCCTCTTGACCCATCCCAGCTTCTTGTGCAACAGCCTTGAAAGAGAGCAAAGTGCTTAGTGACACTGTTGAACTAAATAACTATTTAAACCCATAAAAACATGTTTTCTCTTGTTAAAGTGGTCTGGGATTTTTGTACCTGCTCACTGTTTTGCCAGCTGAGCAAGCCCCAAGATCTCACCAAGTTGTTTCATGCTCCCTTGCCTGCAGTACTGTGGTAAGAGGGGTAAAAAACTTTATTCCTACTCAGCTTCAGGGAGGCTTGAGAGCACTGGCAGGTGAAAACACTTGCAAAAATAGAAATTCTTATGTTGTTGCTCTTACTCAGCTTCCTCACTTCAAAGACGTGCTGCAAGCAAACTGTTTCCTCAGTGGGTGAGTGGCAGGCAGTGCAGCAGCCACTGTACCTGACACAGGAGCAGCTGGGTCCTTATTGCTGCTTGTCTCTGGTGCCACGGAAGTTGGCACATCTTCCCCTCTCTTGTGTAAGCCCTTGGATGATCTTTCCTCCATAACAAGGCAGCCTGCAACACCAGACAGCAGAAAACACAGCTTTCTTTGCTCAGTAAACACACAGACTTGGGCACATCCAGGACTTCCAGTGCCCCAGGTTAAGGACTCACCCAGTACCGGTGCTATGTTTTCCACTGAGGATGCAAGAGTTTCTTGGGTTGATGTTAAGTGATCACTGCCAAAACAAAACCATTTCAGATACTCATCCAATGATACAGATCTTAATAAAGGCTTTCAAATCTTGCACAAGACCTGACCTGGATGCAATCAGCGTGGCTGGTGGTGTTGACGCCTCACAGTCAATCTTCAGAGAGAGAGCAAGAGAGAGAGAACAGAGTATCAGAAGATTCATGACAGTATAAAAACCTGTATGTCAAAACTTTAACTTTCCCAGCTGTGCCTAAACTATTCCAGCAGTGAACTAGCTGGTAAGTTCACAGATTCACCCACTAGTCTAAAGCCATCTCAGGAATGTCGTACTCAGATGTGTTTTGGTTCCTGACTCCATCGCTTGCTCCTAACTCACATCTTCAATGACCAACAAATGTGTTACTGCACCACCACTGCTCCATCTTAATTTTGTGCATCAGGAGAGATCCATTTTCAGAGTCTCAAAACCTACAAATGAGGTACACAGAGCTTCATTTGGCTGTAGAGATCAGACTCATTAGGTAAATAAAAGTGCCAATAGTCACAACATGAGCAAGCAGATGGTTCAGAACACAGAACACTTGTGTTCTGTGTTGTACATCAATGTTATATATAACAATTACCCAGCCCCTTCAGAGGCCTCAAGCCTCCCTGGTGTGCAAACAGCAGAGAAACAAAGCAATTAAAAGCTGGCAGTTTTGCTCATGTTCCTCTAATTGCCAGAGTGTGGTTTGGGACCTGAGTCTTATCACATCACAGACAAAACCAATATCCTCTTGAGGCTTTTAATTTCGAGGGAGGTGCTATATGTGCAATATCCCCCTTCTGCATTTCATCCCAGAAAGCTCCATCTCGCTCATTCAGTTGTTGGGTTGGTCTTTCTTTATGGGTGAAAACACAGAGGGGAACTGATGAGGTTTAAAGGGTTAAGTTGGTAATGACTTGTGCTGAATTACACCCACTGTTGAAGAAAAGTGCTGAATAGCAAACAAAACCAGCCCAAACCCACTCCTCTCTCCAAGAAGAGAAGGAGGGAGGCTGGACAGCTCCCTACACAGCAAGCACCCAAGAGCACTGCTGAAGTGTGTGTGGAGAAACAACAGAAAAACCACATCTGCAAGTGATTGCCTGTGTTCTGTTATCTTTCCTACCCCCCTCAAATTCCCTCAGACAACACAGGAAACCCAGCAAATTAGAACAGGAGGTACCCAAGGGCCCTGGTCACTCCTAAGAGTGACCAACTGCTCCCAGCATTAGGAAGTGCCTTTTCCCTCCTCCCTGCCCTGTCAGAGCTGGGCTGCTCTTGCACAACCCTGGCCCAGCCAGGAGGATGCTTCCCCTAATGCAAATTCAGGCTATTTTTATTATTATTTGAATTCTTTCATAAGGTTGAGGAAGTGCAGCAATATATTTGCCTTGTTCAGGCCATTGGGTTTGCAGAAGTATTGGGGAGGGAGAATACCATCATGTTAGAAAGAAAAGAAATCTAAAGGGCTTTTAAAATTAACACACAGTGCCCACGTAAACAGAAAAGCCCTTGCATCACCTAGAACTGAAATGATACATTAGGCTACATTACCGGTACCTGCCCAGATGGGCACATGGTCAGTGATTTCTGTTTGCAATAAAGAAAAACTCTCAATTGAGTTTTTTAAAACCCTAAGCTGGCTGCCAGGATTGTACACTCCCATGGATTCCACATAAAGGGAAAAAAAAATCCCAAATAAAGATAAACACTACATTCCAGATTTCTTGATAAAATAGAATCACACAATGGTTTGGGTTGGAAGGGACTTTAGAGATCAAAGTTCCAGCCACTGGAAGGGACATCTTCCACTATCCCAGGTTGTTCAGACCGACACCCAACCTGGCCTTGGATACTTCCAGGGATGAGGCAGCTACAGCTTCTCAGGGCAGCCTGTGCCAGGGCCTCACCACCCTCACAGTAAAATCTGTTTGCACAGAGCGCTGGAGAATGGCACAGTCCTTTAATGAGGAAGAACAGCCAAAGAAGATCCTGAAGCCCATCCCTAATCACTTTTTCCACCTCCATCCCTCTGATTAGCATAATAACCCAAGGGTTCTCTATCTCAACCCATGAATTCTGGCCACAGTCTTATACAACTTCCCCCAAACAATCTTTAACATTTGGAAGACGTGTCTGTTTTTCAGACTGTGGTATGACTTCCACATTTATAAAGCCAAGAACAAAAAGCCCAAGTTTCACTTGGCTCTCAAGTGCTTCTTTATTAAGTAGCCCCTAAATTTTTATGGTGACAATGATTTGGCACAAATAATTTGAGTTACTTACAAGCTGATTTGATCAAATACATCTGCAACTGCAGAGTAATAAAACTCCAAAGAAAACTAGGGAGACACCTTGTAGTGAACAAGGATATGCAACTTTTCCTACATGCCAGTGTTTAGAACAGATACTGGGCACAGCCCATTTGCCTTTTCTCTGGGGCAAGATTTAACATTTTCATCTTCCCCGTTCAGAACATTCACATGCAAAGCTTATACTAAAACGTGATAACAAGGCTGGAAAAGACATTTTTGAGACCAGCTGGAATTACAGAAAGCCCCAGAGCAACAAAGCACAGATGTTTCACACACCTTGGCACAGCTGTGACTTTCCAGAAAGACTGGATAAAGTAGAAACCCTTTAGAGGATCCTCTTTAAGGGCACTTAATAGCAGCACAAACTGGGAGTTCTTCACTTGCTCTACCCCAGTGTGCTGAAACCAGAGTCCCCAGCACTCTTATTTTCTACCCACACTGCGCTTTCCGCTTTGATTTACCACTACAACCAGACCATCCTGTACTCACAGGTACCAGACACCAGGCAGGATCACACCGAGGCTGGCTGCTCTTTGGTCCCAAAAGTTTATTTCCAGGTTCACAGAAACCACTGATCAATATTCTTCCACCATCCCCACCAATACAGGGGTTTGTAAAGCTCATTAGGAGCCTTGTGTGGTGGAGCTGAGGGGTCTAGACTTCAAACAGTGAGGATTGAGGCACAGCTTAGGTGTGCTGAGCTGCAGTTTCTCTTGCTGCTGCCACAAGGAAACTGCAGCTCAAGCTGTAGATGCAGGATTCAGAGCAGCAGTGAAGGCATAGGTGACTATACCAGCTGAAGGAAAGCTCCCCTACAACAAAGATGGAGTTTTTCAACTGTTACATGGTGACCATGGGAGAAAGTGTAAAGAAAGGCAGTACTCCCAACTGAAGCATCCTGTGGCTCCTTGCAGGTGGAGAAAAGGAGTGAAAACACTCAGTTCTTCCCTGGCAGAACCAATTGTTACTGCAGAACCAGCACGGTCTCCAGCCTGGAAATCACATCTAAAACACTCCACAGCTAAAAGCATGACCCAGTTGCACGTGAACATCAAGAAATTTAGTTTTATAACCAAGGTATTGCAGAAACATGCTCAAACACAAGGGAACACCCCCACAGCACCCTGCTGACTGATGCCAGCTCCATCCACTGTGGAGCAGTGCTAATTTATAGCTGAGCCATCTGCACCTGGGTCTGAGCAACTCATGAAATACTCGAGCCTGTTCAAAACCACATCTCAGGCATTAGAGCCAGCACTCACCTCAGCAAGTGAAGAATCCATCATTGTAATGGAAACAGGAAGGTCTGCATCAGTGTAGTCATCAGCAGAGCATATTTTCCACCTGGCAACACAAGCTTTATTTGCATATTGCCCAAACAACAGAGAGATAGAGTGCCCATTTTCCTTAAGCACACAACAACTGAAGTCACCACTCTCTGTGCAGTCAGTGAGCTGGTCTCTCAGGGAAAGAAATTCATCACCAACATCAATCCCTCCTCCCCCAAACAGCAAGCACCACCACCAGTCCTTTTCCCAACCTCCTCCACACTGCACTATTCTACAGAAAATCAGTGGCAAAAGCTTTGAGAACTGCTCAGTCTCTTGCTGCAGACTGCCTGCTTCTGCACCTTCAGGAACATCCTTATCTTTTAAATATTCACTACAATTCACTTCAGCTTTCATAATCTCAAGCAGTTCTATCTCTATTTTAAAGATCTAAGGAGGCAGTTTGATAGGCAAGGACCTCAGAATTCCTGCTCTAAGCTCTGCAAAAGAAGAAAAGTGACTCCTCAAAGCCAATAGGATTTTGGCACCTAATGGGAACACCAATTGTTAAATTAGAGTTAAACATGGAAGATAGACAAGAATGCCTAAATCATGTCTCAGTTCTCCAGCATGAAATAGAAATCCCATCATGGTATCTGGCTGGTTACCAGCAGTTCCAGTAAAGAATTCTGGTAGCTGGGAATAGAAGAAAAGTGCTGCCCTGGATCCCCAAGAGCTGATCACCAGGTGTCCAGTATTACCTCTAAGGGGTGGCCCTGCAGCTGAACCCAGCATATGGATTCTGCTAGATCCTGTTGAGTCTTCCCTCCTTCACCCCAAAAGGGTTATTACATCACCTTACCTGCATTCTCGTAATGTCACACCTGAGCTGGACACATGTCCCACATCATACCTCTCCAAGGTGCAGCTGCCAGAGCTCTGCCTGCAAGGTTCGTCCCAGCTGTGCCCAGGAGGGTTATTTGGACAGGAGGTCTCCAAGGTCAGAGCATCTGGTAAGAAGGACAAGCATGAAGAGAGGTGGTCCTTGGCAAAGTTGGATTTAGTTACAAGTCAATTTTTTGGCTAACTCTAAAATAATCAAGAAGCAGACCAACCAAGCAGGGATTTATAATAAGGCAACTTCTATCTTAGTAAGAAAGGGTTTGGTTGTATAGCTTCAACTTGTTCTGTAGATGGAGTTTGGCAAACTGAAACAACCCTCTCAGAGTAGCAGAATGCTCTGATTAAGAGCACACATAGCAAGGAAAGATTTGCTTCCATTCCCATCAATAATGTCTGGAATTACACTTGAACATGTATAGTCTGTGTGAGAAGAGCCTTTGTGTGGTACCAGCTCACTGCTGGGAGAAATGCTTGTATGTGAAATCCCAAATGCAACACCCTGCAACTCTGCAGCCCTGCAATGCATAACTGCCAGTGGCTGCTTTTAATCCTCATAAGGTTTGAGAGTTGCAAGGAAGTTCAAACAACTCAGGAGTGCAGGAAAAAGCAACAAGTACAACGTTCTGGGAAAGGTGGGGTGGTTCAGCCTGGAGAAGAGAAGGCTGAGTGGACACTGGCACAGGCTGCCCCATCCTTGGAAGTGTCCAAGGCCAGGCTGGATGGAGCTCTGAGCAATCTGGGCTAGTGGAAGGTGTCCCTGCCAATGGCAGGGGGATGGAATTAGCTAATCTCTAAGGTCTCTCCCCAAACCATTCTCTCACTCTGTGATTTTATTCTCAGTAGCTCTGTTACTGCTCAGGTTCCTAAACCAGGACTGCCCTCAGCTCAGCAGCCAACAAGCAGGACATCCCAGGATGTGCCAGTCAGAGGGAATGGGAAGACCAGAACTCGTGCCCTCTGTGTCCAGACTGACAAGCATCCTGTCAGGAATATGCTTGCATGTATGATTTATACCAATAGTTCCTGAAGATTTTGGGAACTGTCTGTCAGGTTGACAGAGAGCCACCTCTTCAGGCCTTTCACTGCAAGAACTGTAATCATGGTTCAGATTCCTGGATTACATGCAGAAATAGATTTTCCACACTCTAACAGCACACTCAGCACTACTGAGACTGTTCTGTCTACTCTTTCTATATTTCAGGTGAAAGACAGAGAAATGTCCAACACTACCAGGTCTTACCTAGCAGAGGGGAGTTGTGCCAGTGTGAAGCACCTGAGGGCAGTGCCCAGGGAAAGTCAGAGTATGAGGTGGGTCCTTCATTCCATGGTCGTTTGGAGCAATGGAGCTGCTAATTGAAAAAATAAGAAGTGCTGCTATTCCACCATACTGAATACATTAATGCCACCAACTCCCCCCACACACAGGCATCTGCATAATGTAACACCAACAGTTACACAAATACATCTTCTGTGGCTTTTTTGTCTAGAAAAGCAGAAGAGCTCATATCTTTAACGGGCAGAACAGTTACAGGAAGAGGCAGGATAATGAAACTTTACACTTGCAATAAAACGTATTGGTTCAAGCTAGGTCTGGAAAGAAATCCAACAAAACCAGGCAAGATGAGCCTGAGAGGATAAACAAAGTAGCCACTCAAATCCTGTGAAGGGGGTGAAAAGAAAAAAAAAAAGAAAATAATCCAAAACACACTATTTCAGCCAAGGCAAGAGGTGTCATCTGAAGATTGCATCTGAGAAAACTTCTGAAACAACATGTGCACAGCTGTTTTTAACCTAATGTTGCTTCAACAGTGAAAAATGGAAAGAAATTAGAAGAGCCATTTACAGATTCTGATCCTTTTCAAAAAGCAATTTATCCCGTCTGTGTTGTACTTCAGAGGCAGTGGGAACCCAGCTTTGCAATAAAGTTCAGAATATGTTTTTATATGCATGTAAACACTTGCATGCACATACACAGATATTGATCTCAAATTACTTATTTTTAGTGAATGTTTAACTCACAGTTTCTCATGAGGAAGGTTATTTCCCTGAGGTGATGAAGGGAAAAATCCCCACCCCAATAAATTCAGCATCCCATTTTAACAGGCTCAGCAATGACCACAGCAAGCACACTTACCTTCCTTTTTACATGTTCAGCTAACGTGGGCAGCAGAGCGTAGTCAGATTCTAACTCTGCACAGCACTGTTGTAATAGAGAGAGAGTTTAAGGCAGGCAGGTAAGGAAAAAAGAAAACCAACAAAATAAAAGGAGAAGGACCACTACACCACTGATTCTGAGCAAAATGCAACTTTATCTTTCCAACTGAACTACTTGTAGCTATCAGTTGCAAAACTGCGCAGCTGTTTCCCCTTGCTACTTTCAGCCTTTAATTCTGCAGACCCTTACCTACAAATATAAGTTTTATTCATGTGCAGATGGCCCAGATTTGACTCTGCTCCTCTGATGCCCCTGTCACAGCCTAGGGGACATTTCAGGACCTTCTGTTTGCTGTTAAACACCTTTTTGGTCTGTGTTGAATCCAGAGTGCTCAGATCCTGAGCTATAGCATTCCTTACTAGAGCCAGTTGGGAAAAAAGTCTCTCCACAATGTTTCCCCCTCCACCCTCTCCCAAAGTTGAAGCAAGTAATTTTAGTCAAAGCAAAGCACTCCAGAGTTATGTAATTTCCAATGTATTTCTCCACAGAGGGCCACAAAGTTAATAACTGTTTCATTGCCTATTCCAGTGTCTGGATACTGAAAAAATCCTTACCTTATGAGATTTTAAATAATTGTTTTCAAGCCTATCTGCAGAGTGGGACAAAAATCACACCAGTGCATCAGGGAAGGTTTCCCTCAGCCCCTTTTGATATGGTCACCAACAATTGCTCACAGTGAAGACCAACACCACACCTGTAAGTCCTGACTGGACAGGATATTTTTCCTAGAAGGCTGAATAAGGAAAATAATGTGCAGATCTGTACGTACAGCTTATGGACATGTTAGAAAAGAAGATACCAGGTGCCAAGATGGCAAATTGTTTGTGGCTGGTCTCAGCTGTGCTGTTCTCCCACCAGAGCCCTTCCTGTGCAAGCCCACCTTTCCTGCTCCCAGCAAAGGGCACCATACCCGGCACAGCAATTCACAGAGACGTTTCTGCAGCAGTTCCCATCTCAGGGCATTAGCAGTTGCTATGAAGAGACATTTAAAAGTCTAACAGGGCTCCTAACAACTTGATAACAAGCAATCCGATGTTACAGCATCTCTAACTACTCCTTATCAGAATTTAATGTAGTTTGCGTTAGTCTGGTTAAGCCTGTAACAGGAAAGAGAAAACACTGGACATCTTGACCTGCAAATCAAGAGCAATACTTCCCCACATCATTAGTGTTAGGATGCCACAGCTCCCTGTGGAAACAGATCCTTCACTTACAGCTTGGGGGAAGAGAAATATTTGGCCTTTCCACCTAACATTCTGTACAGAAGTTGTAAAGTCCTTGGGCTTTGTATCTAGGAGTATTTTCCCCTCTTACTGTGCAGGTGGGGAGGAGACCACAGCCCAGCCCTTCAGTCAGAAGAGGCACCAGACCTGCCTGCCTTTCTACAGGAGCCAATATGAAGCATTTTTATTCTTGTCTTCAGTGCCAGCCTTGTTGTCAGCCCTGTTCTTCATAATGCTTTGCAAATTCTCCACACATCTGGCAGTTTATTTATCTACAGAAAGATTTCTGTAAAGTAACTGAAGTAATTTAGAGCCAAGGTCCTAGCTATTTTCAGGGTGGTGGTGGTTCTTTGGGGGTTAATTTTATTTTTTTTTTTCGGGGTGGTGGGGTTTAGTCACAGTGGCACCAGTCTCACATATCTGGGGTTCTCTCTTGATCTAATCAAGCTCACTTTGCAGGACAGCTTCATCTATTCAGAGCTGGAAAATGACAAACTATTTCCACTGTCATGCCTCTTGCTAAGAGCAAAATAAAGCAGCTTCACAGGTTGTGGGAAACATGAAAGTAATATGAGCACACACACAAACAACACCAAAACACTGGTCAGAGGGAGGCAAGCACATTTGGGGCTGTTTCTGCCATATCAGTGCAAAGTTGTGCCTTAGAGCTAAAGCAAAGGGTCCCACAGGAGTTTTTCTGGTGAGACAAACTGGTTTCACATGGAGTTGTTTGCAATGCACACATATTTGTTGAGCATATATGATAACTGCATGCCTGAGGGCAAAACATTCAGAGGGCTTAAATGAGTCACGTCCCTTTTCTCTAAGAAGGTGATCAGACTCCAGGGTTAGGAAAGAAAAAGTTATGTGTTCTGGATTCAGACCTCAGCATTATTTAATTGCCCAGGTTATTGAGGTGCCAGAAGAGGTCAGGAAGTGACTAAGAAAGAGGCAATATGAAGCTTCCATGGTTCTGTGGCAGAAGTTGCATGTGTACAAGGCAGTGACAGGATTGCTTTCCACTGAAGAGAGCAGCCTAACACCACACATCTAGTCAAAAACAGAGCAAGCACAACCAGCAAACAGAACACAGAATGTACAAAAATCAAGTGCGTTTGGTTCAGGAAGCTTAAGAAAGAAGGATGACTTTGTTAGGTATAAGGTGGGGAACAGCACTTTTGGTAAAGGAGTACCTGTGCCAGCAGTGGAATTACTAATTCCCCCTCCTAGGACTGGGGGTTTTGTTGGGAGCTTCTGAAGCTTTGGTGGATCCCACCTGCTTCTCAGCTCAGATGATGGCAGATCTCTTCAAAGAGAAAGGAAAGTGGAAAAAAAGGTGGGGAAAATCCCAAAACAACAAGCAAGACTCTGCAGAGCATTTTACTGGATGACCTGCAGATCAGTCCTATTTTCCCTTGATGTAACTAAACCCTGAAGTACTTGCCCATGCAAAAAGTGAATGTTGGCACATTGCCAGAAGCTACTCACTTTTGTGGTCTTCCACCTTCTCCTGAAGCAACTGGCAAGTGCTTGCTAAAGCTGCATTTACATCCCTGAGCTTCTGCTGCTCAGAAATGGCTTCCTCCAACTTGCTTTTCAAGGATGCTGCTTCTTCACGAGCAGAGTGAAATGCTTCAACTTGATCCTCTGCCTAAGCAGAAAACAATATTTAGGGAAAAAAGAAAGGAATAAAATACATATATACATATAAAATAAACCAGCCTGGCTAGCACAAGAAGGCTCTACGGTTCATGTAAATGAAACCAAACTGCATCTGTTCTTTCTCAGGAAGTGATAAAGCTCCCTCTGAACTTCTGCATTTTTACATTGGGGTGGACTGTGTATGGAAGCTATTTTTGGGTGCTTTTTTTTTCCCCTTATTTTCTCTTTTTTTTTTTTTTAAGCCACCATAAATATGCAATGCTGCTTCTTTCATCAGCAAACTGTTGTCACCACCCCCTCAAATTTTACTTCCTCTGCTGGTTCCACTTTTGCAAGGAGGCACACCATTTGGAACATGCGATTCCCTTCACCGAGGGCAGCCGCGCCTCAGCCACAGCCCTTTAAGCATCTCCTGGTTCCCCACATAGAGGGAACCGGGCTGCCCCTTACGTGCTTGCTGGCATCCTCCAGCTGCTTGGTGGCTTTTTGCAGCTCTAAACACAGGGCTTCTGCCCGACCAGCAGTTTCTTCTTGTAGCTGTTTGACAGTTTCTATCTTGTGCTGGCTGTGGAGCAAGAGAGAGCACAAACCACAACACATTAACGACATTTCGGAGCAGGCTGGTCTGGGCTGACACACTCTGGCTGCTGGGACATGCACCAAGTCAGCTGTTACACACTGCAGCTCCCCAGGATCCAGCACCAGGGAATCAGACACCTTTTTTTTTTTTTTTTTTTTTTTTTTTTTTACAGCAGGAAGGGGATGAAGGCTTTCTGTAACATTTCTGGGTACCACAGGGGAATCACCAGAGAACTGTCAAGAAGCAAGAGCTCAGTGGGGCAAGCTTTTGCACTCTGGACAACAGAATGTGTTTTCTCAGGGTTTGGGAAAAATAGTGGTTGGATACAGAAGCAGTCATTCTAGAGAAAGATATCCAGGAGCTATTACTGCTTCATTGGATTGATTTCTTCATGTTTGAGAGGGAATTTCATTTGACAGCAAGCAGATGTCATCGGAACTGGTGCTAAAGAGGATGGCTTTCAATAAAACCCTTCTTTTCCACTGCAGAAACCATTGCCCATTTCCTCTCTAACTCACCTCAGGCTTTTTTTGTTGTTGTTATTGCTTTCACCACAAACAATTTTGATACAGAGACAGCTTTAAGAAATCAAGCCATCAGTATTTTTATCAGCTCTTTTCCAGGTGGAGGGAGAGCATGTAATAGGTGGTTCAGTGGAAGGTAAGTCCAGGAAAAGTATGGTACAACTGCTCTGCATCAGCTCTCAAGACTGCCAAGTCCTAGGAACATCCCAAGCCCAGGGATGGGGCTTAGGGAGCAACCTGGGATAGTAGAAGGTGTCCCTGCTATGGCAGGGGCTTGGAACTGGATCATCTTTAAGGTTCTTTCCAGCCCAGGCCATTTTATCATCCTATTTCTAGGATCACAACTCATAGAAGGAACCAAATGCCAAAAAAGTTACATTTTCATATTTAATGACAACTCACTGAAGTTACACCCTTGGGAAATTGAGGTATTGTCTTTCCTGAGCCTAGCAACTGTATCCCAAAGAAAAATACTTGCAGACAGATTTTTAACACCTCGCCTGCTTCACACAAACCGAGGAGGTTTTTTTAAGGGCTGTACCTGCTCAATAGGCAGTGCCCTCATGCTTTAACTTCTCAGTCTGTGGTCTCCCTGGTGTTTTCAAAGTTACCTTCAAGGTTGTACATCAGCTCACACACAAACCTTAACTCCCACACAGTGTAAACCTTGTGCTAAAACCAGATCCATTCTCCAAAACAGAAGATAGTTTCCTCTGTGAAAAAAATCCTTGAGAATTCAGTAGACTTTGTTCCACTAAAAAACTCACCCCAATATTAGATACTAAATTGCCAAGGAACCAGGAAAAAAAAAAAACCCAAAACCAAATCAAACCAAAAAGAACACCAAACCAAAACCCTACCTCCCCCACAAAAAAAGACACACATGTTTTGAAGGGCTACCTAGCAGAGAGCTCTTTCCTTAGGTGAAGTTGTTCTGTCTTGGTTCTCCTCAGGTTGCCTGCCACTCGAATAAAATCCTTGTCTAAGGACTCATTGCATTTTTCCAAAAGCTGCAGTTTCTGGATCCAAAGATGTCTTTTTTCTCCTAGTTCTTTCTTGAGGGCCTGTGGAATTTTGAAGTTGCCGTGCGGTTACCATGTGGTTAGAGAAGGAGCAGAGCCAGAAAATGAGCCAGAGCCCTAATTTACGTGGTGAGAATTGAGTTCCCTGCTCCACCAATTAATATCATCATTTACATCCCACGCTATCAGAGTAAAGATAAAACTCCATCAGCAAGGCGCCCAGATACAGCAACAAAAACCATAGCTCATAAGAGGAAGTTTCAATAAAGATCATCTTGCAGGAAGCTCTAAAATTGATAATTTAGGCTTCTGCAGCCCTTTCCTCAAAGTACAGAGTCCACTGGTACCGAATTGAGTTTGTATTACAGCAAAATTTATGAAATAAACAAGAACCAATAAAACCTGTTTGCCATACATGCTTAGCAGATGATCTGTGCCAGGGATGACCCCCACCATGAAGGCTTCTAGATTTACCTCTGGTTTGTAGGAGGGAAAAGGGTGGAAATTAAATTTTAGGTAAGACTGAACTCTCTATTTCTCTGAACAGAGACTTGCAGTATAAAGTCCTGAGAAGAAGAATCCAGCACTCTCTCTCTGACCTTTCCCAGCTGAACATATGAAAGAGTGTCCTCAGCTTTTAAAGAATGCTTAATGAGAGTCAAACAGAGGTCAGGAAAGAATGAAGTTTATATTCCTGGGATTTTGCAGCAATTCCAAGGGGAAAACATCAATCTTACAAATACAGGCCACGTTATCTGCTTGCAAGTTGGAGTCTGATGCTCATGAGCTTCAAAAAAAAAAAAAAAAAAAAAAGCACATCAAGGGTCATGCTTAAAAAAAGGAAAAAAAAAAAAAAAGGAAAAAAAAAAGGAGTTTTAGCTGATATGTCTCCTAGGATGACATGGGATGTGACCATGTGCAACTGCCCACATCCTGCGAGTCTGTTCCTCAGCCAAAGCAGGCAGCACTCACTCATAGAAATACCATGATTTCGACACTTAAGTGGCATAGGCCTATCAGGGCACATGTACCAGTCTTATCTCCCAGCAGAAGGGTGAAAAAGATTTTGCTGTCACTATATATACTTCGATACATGCATATGTGCACACTTCAAGTTGGCTGCTTTATGTCTAATATCCTTTAAAATGTTTTTGAGAACACTAAACCTCCAGAAAAACATGTCCACAATAAATTTCACAGGAAATTGTGGGCAAGGCTTCTAGTGACAATTTTCTTAACCAACTACTTAAATCTTGGACCATGGATTTTTCTCTGAGGCTGGAAGAAGCTACTTTGAGTCTCTCTCCCTTTTTTTGATCTACTGATGTTCAGCTGCCTGCACGAAATTTCACACATGCCTGGCTTGTTCTGTCTAGGTGGAGATAATTTTTGACATGAAGTCACTTCTCATCCCCCATGGGACCCTAAAGGATGGGACCTTCTATTTATAAAGGATTTGGTTCTTTCTTGATCCTCTGTTAACTCAGCTTCCAAATACATCACTCTTTAGGAGCCAGAATAGGATTCATTTGCCACAATCAACTCCAACCCCCACACCAAGTTTTTTAGCGTCACATGTTTAACAGGAATATGATCCCAATGTGAATGTAACTTCACAAGTATTTTTCAGCTCTGACAGCTTTGCAGGAGGAGGTTTCCAGTCAAGATCAAAAAGCTACAGCAATTCACGAGCCAGTAGTTTGCTAGAGTCTACCCAAAGTCATATCTAGGTGAAGAGAGTGAGATGATTGCACCTTCTCTAAGGAGAATAAGGAGAAGGTTTCAGGATTTATCTGAAGAAAAATTATAAGAAAACCTAGCTCTGGGACTGGATGGCTCCCAGTGATTTCTCCGGCCCTGCCCAGGAAGCATTAAGAGACCCAGCTACACCATTCTGTAGCACTACAAGAAAAAAGAAGGGCAGTTTTCTCCCCAAAGAAGCAACAATGTCACGCAGCACATCCCCTGGTGGCACCTGCTGTCACCCAAGGGAGAGGAATTGTGGGGTTTGACATCCATCAGGAAGCTGGAAAACAGCATTAATGTGCAGCTTGGGGCTGTTGGAGCATTCCTAACAACAGATCAGCAGAAAGGAGTAGGTTAGAGGAAAAGCCACATCCAATAAGATGGATGGAAATTTCAGAAATTGTGCTAATACAGAGGAGAGGAGGAAGGAACAAAAGTGTTTAGTTTTGTCCACAGGCACTTGCCACTACATAGGGAAGATATTGTGCTTGCAAGCCTCACCAGCAGTATGAGGAGTAGAAGAAATACATTATGCAAGATTAAGTTGTAAAACAAGGTTTTACTGATTTTTTTCCTGTGGAATATACCCAGTAAAAGCAGAACTCTTTGCCTTTCACAACAAAATAGATCCTATGAAGGTTTTGATTTGGAAATTTGGTTATAAAGCCTCCTCTTCTTTTTGACCTGGTTTGTCTTGCCTTTCCTTTAAGGAGAGTTTTAACTAAGGGAGCTCTTGCACAAGACAAGCCAGCAAGAGCACAGCATGTAAGTGAACAGCAATCATCCATTCCTCCTCAAAAAACCTCAGTAAAGATGATATTGTCTCCATGCAGCCATCTTTAACCCACAGATGGACTCTGATCTCCAGTAATAAACACACACAGCATGCAGCAGCAAGATATCCACCTGAAGTTTTTGCACAGCCCCACCATTTCACTAAATGCTTCAGAGAAACAATTACTCACCACAAGTTTTCTTTCCCAGGCCTGTTGCATGTCCCCATCAGGATCTTTTACCCATTCTAATGAAGCCATGACAAGCTCCTCTGCTTCAGAGGCTTCCTTTTGCTGAAAAACAAAATAAACCCCAAAACAACCTCCCCAAACTCCATAATTTTAGTGCTCCTCCACAACTCTGCCCAGAATTACCCAGTTTATAAATTAGTGTAAGAGTAGGTGCCAAGTGATCTTTTTAAACTACGACCCCCTCCAATCTCAAACTATTCTTATTTTTCCAAAAGGAGCAAACAATCTGATTATCAATGCCTGGAGAATTCCTAATTAAATTGCTGATCAAAGACAGCACCCTTATCCATGTAAGCTTTGCTACTGACCAGGTTTTTCATGATAGTCTTGAATTTTTTTCCTGCATATTCAGACCCCTGAAGCAAAAGCAGCTCTTCACGGTCCAGTGTTTCATCCAGAGATGTCTGTTCAGTCTTGATAATCTTTGAAGAGATGGAAGAGCCAGCTAGTTTGTTTTGACATCCCCTTATTACAAACCAGCAGCATGACATTTAGACTTTCCTGAAGTACCCCTGCTCTGTATTTACCAGAAAGTCAGAGCTACCAAAACTTGAGGCTTGGAAAAGCTTTTTCAAAACCATCACATCAATGAGGATTTAAAAAAGAAAGCAAGCCAGCTAAGCTGCTGAGGGATCCAGTGTAAATATCCATGTCAGGGTAGGCAAGAGGAAACCAGTAATTAGTTATCTTTATTCAGAGGAGTCTTCACCAAGTGATGAATAAGCACAGCCTTTCCTTACAGGTGGCTTGGTGGAATCCTGTCTCTCCGCAGCATTTGAAGGGCAAACACAGTGACTCACTGGAGCTCTGGGGAGCTGCAATACAAGATGATACCTTAACTCTTCAAAGCTGCCTAGCTAAGCCTACCTCTCCTTTCTGGGCCTAAGGGTTTCATCTATTTGTACATTTTTTGTTGTTGTTGCTATATGTGCTAACACTTTGCAAATGCATCTTGTATAAAAATAAGCAGAAATCACTCAGCAACATCTCTCTGCTGTCAGCTGTGCTGCACAGCTTGCATCTGAAAGGAAAACAGCACATAAAGGAGGATGAGACTCCACAGATTGTCTAAGGAAATGGGAACAGAATAGCTCACTTTAAAATCAGAACCAAAGCCATAATTGTAGCAGGATGTTCTGCCTAAAGTGGTGTAAAAGAGCTTCAGTAATACCCTACTTGCAAAAATTATCAGTGGTGAATTTATAAGGGGGGGCAGTCATGCTGCTGTTGGTGTTGAAGAATGCAAAGACCAGCCTGATTCCTTGATCTCAAAATTAAAAATTCTGAGGATGTGAAGAACAATGTTTCCTGACAAAAACTGGCACCAGTGAGGAAGCGGCAGGAGAAGCTCCTGAGAAAGGACCCGACTGAGCTGGCACAGCTGTCCTGAAAACATCTGACAGTCAAATCACTTGATATCATAAAAACCCAGCCCCACTTTTTAAAAGCCAGGGCTTCTGACACACCCCTTCTAACAGGGTGTGTGTGGAGATCCCTCCCTCAAGTGGGGACACCCCCTCAAAGCTGAACAAAAGATTTGTCCATGATCATCAACATGGGCAAGTAATAACAAACTCTATTTAATTATTAGCTTAGAAATTAGTGGTTTAATAGCTAGTGCACTGTACAAGTAGTCATAAGTAAATAATTCTGATTAAAGTATTTTAGTCTAATAATTATCTTCTACTTACATAAATAACTTATTTTATTCATTTAAATATATTTGATTTGCCATGAGAGCTGCTTATCTGATTTCTTAAGAGTACATTAGATTAGGACCCAACAACTTTATCAAGATGCTCACTCTAATGCTGAATTTCCTTTCTCACTAGAGTCAACTTCAAAGAAAAAGAAGTCTCTTCTTTCACAACTGAAAAAAAAATTATTGTTCATGTCTGATGTAGGCAGCACAAGAAGCAGACTGTCAGCTACTTTCTGCAGCATAAAAGCCTTTATATATTGGAAAACTGATATTTTCTCCCATCCATCTGTTCTTCTGCCAGCTAAATGCATGACCCAAGCTCCTCCAGATTTACTTGGTATAGCAGAGGGGAACTGGATGATCTTTAAGGTTCCTTCCAACCCAGGCCGTTCTAGGATACTATTAGCTAATGTTTCATATCTACAAGTGTTTTGTTTGCTCTTCTTTGGACTTTCTTCAAGGTGCTTGCAACACTATTGCAATCTTCTCATTCTGTGCTTACATGCTAGGATTAATGGCTTCAAATTCCAGAGTTATCTGATCATATACAGGCAATAAGCTTTGTTCTGCCTCTGCTGATGCAAGACAACTGGGAAGAGATTAATTTAAAGTTTAATCCATACCTCAGAAGACTCTGCAAGCTCCAGTTCACCGTGCAGTGTACTCGCCCCTTCAGGAATATTGCTGTTAAATTTATACAGCAATGAGAAACTCAACCCATTCCTAAAAGAAGCAGGAAAAACAACAGGTATCAGTCTATTTTGTATTTCTGATGAACTGCCTTTCCTGGGATTTGGCCACAGTACTCACGAGATCAGCTGTTGCTGCATGTGTTGGATGTTCTCCAGCAGTTTATTTTTTTCAGCCCTCAGTGTCTGAAACATCCATGGGGTTTGGTGAGAGGCTGACTTTGCCATGCAGAATCAGAACAGGTCAAACCAAATCCAACCCATACCTCTATGACCGAGGAACACTCCACAATGGTTAACTTGAGTTCCTTGATGTCCTGTTCCTTCTGCAGAGATTGTTGAGAAAAGAACAGCAGCAAAAAAGTTATATTCCATCCTCCATCATAGCAGTAAAATGTACAGTTTAGCTTGAGCAGCAACCCGATTATGGCATAAAAATAGTTGTGAATTTAAAAGAATACAGCGAGTTACCTTGCATTTTAACTAATAGAAAGCACTCAGATGACCTTTCCTACCTAAACTCTGAAATTAAGGAAACAAACCCTCTTTTCCGGGTGTTGTATTTTCATATATTACTCTCCTGGTTTCAGGTCCAACAGATTAAACTAGACAGAAGCACCCTGGATTTAACTTAAAATATGACCTATATTATATGCCAGCAGGAGTTTTAATCCCAACTGATCCTTCAAACAAGTTCCAATGTTTCAAGTTTACTTGTTTTTCATTATTAGAGTGTACTCTGTAGATTAAACACAACCTAACAGAAAGGCTGAAAAAGAGTCAGCCCTCATGGTAGGACTGAGGAATTGGTAGATGAATCACCTTTCTTAGCAACTAGCAGATAGCTCCAGTCAGGTTATGCCATTCCAATAAAAGACACTGCACAGACAGCAGAGAATTTATAAGAAAAAATAGGAAATTAGAGTAGGAGCTCTTGTCCTCTCTCACACTTTTCTTCCTACTCTCTCTTTAAAAATCATTGAGGTTTTTGAAAGAGATGAAGTGCACAGAAAGCTAGGCAGGAAAAGTGAACGAGATTATCCTAATGCCAACAAGTTTCCATGACAGTTTCTTCAAAATTATTCCAACCATTCACATTTATCCACATGTAATCTAGCAGTCTACTTTCAAAATTCCCATTTAGTCAATAGACTAAGAGAATCTTGTTGAAATAAAATGATACTACAGAGCTCACAAAAGCATTGAATCATTCAAGTCAGAGAAAGCGAAAGCTACTTAAAAAAAAAAGAATGAATTTCTGCTCTTAAGCTGCATCTGGAAAAACAACCAGCCAAACCTATTAAAACGCTCAGTACAGTCATCAGCTGGATCACACTGAAGTTCAGTTCTCTTTTTTGCTATTTGAATTCAGCTGCAGTGACTTTGCAGGGAGCCCAATAGTAAAATATTTTATCAGGAGATTTGTAGCATGTTCTGTTAAGTAGAAACTCCACTGGCATAGAAAGCTCTTTGCATAATTCATGTATCCAGAGAATGCCAGCACAATTGTATGGTCTTCTAGCTTTGTTTTCTAGTATAAAATGCATGTTTAAAAACATCTGAAATGTTCACTCCTCAGTAAAGGCTAGATAATTGCACCTCGGCAATAAAAGGACAAATATCCTTTTCCATTGGGCTCCAAGTCACAATTTCTAATTTGACACAAACAATTTCAATAAAAGACATGAAGGGAAAGGCCTTCTGTAGCTCCCTGCTGAACAAAGTAGCCTTTAGGAGTTCTGGACATTTGTCTGAAGTTTGCAAGTTTGTTTTAATATCTTGTGATTAAAAAAAAAAAAAAAAAAGGCAAGCAAAATCCTGAAACCGTTAATTATGCTGACTCATGGGCAGGTCCTAAAGTAGAGCTCGCCTACTTTAAAGCCATTTATAGGATCAGGTTCTGCAGCGTGAGAAGAGTAGAAATCAAAGTGCCACCATGAATACTATTGCCTTGCCTTTTTACAAATCATCCCATCAGTACAGACCAGAAACCTGGGCCAGTGGAAGCTGTCCCTGCCCATGGCAGGGGATTGGAACAAGGTATCATTAAGGTCCGTTGCAACCCAAATTATTCTGCGATTGTGTGGTTTTCAATTAGTAATGAAGTAAAAGCAACTAACCTGGATTAGACTTGCCTCTTTATTCACCACAGTGCTCTCATAGATATGGGCTTGGATCTGAAGAATGAAAAGACCAAACGTAAACCCAGCTGTCATTACAGACGATAACAAAAGTCTGTTCCTATTTCTTACTAGGAAGGGAAAAAGAAACATTGATATTCTTTCTTAGAAAAATCAAATTCTTCTTTGAATAACCTTGTGTGGTGTTTGTTTCAAAGTGCAGATCTTGTACCCAGCAAAGAGTGAAAGCATTCTTAACTTTCAGTCACTTTTGTTTCCTCTTATCTGTCCAGGTCAATGTTTTCAGCAACCTCTCAAAGCATGACCTTAATGTATTTTCTTGACTAGTAAGGGAAAGGTATCCAAAAAAAGTTGGAGGAAATAGTGAAACTGTGGTTTGTGTCCATCAGCCTAGTTTTTCGCCTCCAGACAGCAACTTCCTTAGTGAAAGCTGTCACTCTCTCCAAACTACTATTTCACTGCAGTCCTTCAACACAGAGAGGTTCAGGACTGTTCGTCTTCCAGCAGCAGAAATTCCCCCTTCACTAGACCCAAGTAAAATCCATGTTGACTTTACTCCTCTCAGCTTGGAAATGCTTACTTGAAGCTGTGCTGCGTTTTTAGACAGCTCCAAAATCTTCTTTTGCAGCCCGTTGGTGTCCATGCTATTCCTAATAATCTAAACAAGACACAGATTGTTTAGGCACAGCTGAATGGATTAAAAGCTTCTCCTTGAAGAAACCAGGCAAAAATGACATCTCCACCCCCAAGCTGCTGCCTACTCTCAAGCACTACCAGCATTTCTGCACATACATTGCATGTGCTTCCCCCACCAAAACTGCTTCTGCTCCTTTTCCCACCCAGAGCACCGGTAAAAGAGAAAACCCCTCAAAACATTATTTATAACCACTGCCAGACCTGGAAAGCTAAAGAAAAGTCAGCCCTGCAGCATGAGAATTGTTTTCAGAAAGATGTGGTTTAATAGCTATTTGGACTAAGGAGCTTTGCAGAAAGACTGGTTGTCACAGCCATGCAATGAGACTGATGCTTCTTAAATAAACAGCTCACGACGCTATTCAGATGTGGTCCCATTCCATTCGTGTCTGTATATAAACGGCCGACGTCAAATGGTGTTTTTGAATGGTGCTGATTTTCTTTACTATCTTTAACCTGTTTCTCCATTTCCCCCGACAAGTCTGAAATACAGTCTGTAAGCAAGCATTAAAAACTTTAATCACCTGACAAAAACTGGTTTATAAAATAGTTTCTCTGATGCAGTAAAAAAAAAAAAAAAAAAAAAAAAACCAAAAAAAAAAAAAAAAAAAAAGAACACCTCTATTGAAAAAAAAAAAAAAAAAAAAAAAAAAACCCAAAAAAAACAGAGAAAGAATGAACAGCTCTATTGAATAAAAAACAAGCTTGGGGGTTCTCTGCTTACGGAGCTGCATTCCCTAAAAAACTTCTGTAGGTCCTTGGCCAGTGTAAATGGATCCATCTGTAAGTGGAGATCCCACCCACTGCATTGTTTTTTAATTATTATTTTTGTTACTTATTTTTGGTGTTACAGCTTTTACAAGATTACTCCTTTGGATCTTAAGGGAGGAAAACAGAAGTGAATATGAAATGATAAAGTGTTGGATGGAGATTGTTTCAATATAGAGTTCATCTATTTATAGCTGTGAGAACCAGAAATACATGGAATTTGCCTATAAATCTTGGAAAAAAGGTGGTGGTGGGGGAGAAGTAGTTTATCTCTGTCCCTATGCTTCCCTAACCTCATATCCTTACTTACCCAGCAAGTGGAAAATAAGAAGCACAGTGCAACCTCAAGATACAAAGCATGCAGGGCTTCAAAGTATGACAAACATTTTATTTCTTAATGGCAAATTTTAGCTAGGCAAGAACATATCAAATCATGATTTATTTTACCTCTTCCTGAAGAGAAGTAACTTTGATGTTGAGAGACTGATTTTCTTTTTCCTGATCAAGTTTATGGGGGAAAAAAACCAAACCAAAAAAAAAAAAAAAAAAAAAATAACAGACAAAGAGAACAACAGAAGAGTTGGTTTCAGCACGTAAGCAACAGATCACAAACACATCCACAGCTGTGGTATTGAATCCCTTTGTTTCAGAGAACACACAAAAAGGGGAGAGCTGAGGCTGGTGCAGCTCATGAGCCTTCACTAAGGCACAGAGAAGGTCTTACTTCTGATTTTTAACAGCCTGAGCAGCCACACCACTGTTACAGCAAGGTGCGAGATGCTGTACAAGGGAAACAAGAAGGAAGAGCACCTACTAGCTGTCTGTTGTGCCAAAGAATCTGCTCTCTTTCCTCTTCTGACATGTTCAGATTGTTTCTTGCTTCCTCTAGCTGCTCTTCCAGGGATTTGGCTTTCAACACAGAGTGCTGGATGCTGCACAGGGGGAAGCAAATCCAGAGAAACTTCAGCCAGTTAGTAAAGGTTGTTTAGATAGGCTGGAAACAGTATTTTTAGAAGCCACGAGGGACTTATTTTTTGGCATGACACTTAACAGAAGAGCAACAATCAAGTTTAATCCCATCATTTCTGTCCAGGAAGCAAATCTCTTCCCGTTTTTCCAGCGAATTTCTTCCAGTAAAAAGGTTCTACTTCCTTTTTATCACCCTCTTCCAGTCAGGGATGAAACCCCATCCAAGACAGGTGGACGCAAACAAAGCTATGTTAAATATGTTAAAAATTTAGCTCATTACAGTTAAATATAGCAGGTTACCTGAGCACAAATTCATCTTTACAACAATTGATGTCTTACCATTGGGGAAACCATTTAGATTCAGCATTCAAGGATGAGCTCTGCACCATTTTCTTACCCTAATCTGATAAGCCCCAAACCATGTACTAAAGCAACAGGCAAGGTCCTTTCCCAAGCTAACTTGATCCTACAGAGCATCCCAGAGCAGGTGGTTCCACATAAGGACACATGTCCCATGCCAGCTACCCTGCAGAACTCTTGTCTTAATCTCCCCTGAAAACCCTGGGAACACCTTGGCAGCTGACCAAACCATATCACAGTGTAATTAATTAGGCCAGATGAACACAATGAAAAATGGGCTTGTACTCATAGCACTGATACGTCCTCAGGATACATAAAGGATGAACAAGTGACACAACTCATCCCAGTCCATCAAATGTGTAGCAAAATAGCTTTTAGACACTCATTTCCCCTCTGCTTGGCAACAAAACTGTGGTCTAGGATTGGAAGCCTTCCAGTGCTTATCTCTTATCTTGGTAATATTATGCCTTTTTTTAATATATATCTTGTTGTCATATTGTTTGTTTGCTTTACCCTGAGATTCTCCCCGTGTGCACCCACACCACCACATGCTGCAGGAACCTGGCTCCGAGAGGAATGATTTTATAAGAACCAGGAGGGACAGAGCACAACAACCAGGCAAGAAGGCTAAACCTTACAGATATTGCATGAAATCACTGTGATGAAGCAATGGTGAGGAGAAAAGCATGAAAGCAAGGCTGGAAGATCACAGCTCTGCCCATGGCAGGCCTGGCACCATCAGGGTCCCCTACCTTTTTAATTGTTGATGTAAATGCTCATTATCTGCCAGGAGCTTGCTGTTGGTCTCATCCAAAGCTTCCAGGGTGAGCTTCAGCTTGTTGTTCTCTTCCCGAAGCTTCTGGTTGTTGTACTGCAGGTCCGCAAGGCAGGTTATCAAGTCAGAGGTCTCCCTGTCCCAGTAAAAAAGCCAGGGTAGAGTGAGAAAGGTGGTTTCATCTACTTCAGACTTTTAAAGCATTCTAGTGCACTGATTAGAGGTGAGATGAGAGCCCACAGAGGACTTGTGACACTGCAGTGTCTAGTCATTTGCTCTGCATGATGATAATGGAACAGCTCCAAGTCTATTCTCCAGTTTTATGGGCATCAAGAACTTTTGTTTTAAGTGTTTTTCTGCTCCCTACAACTGGAGTTTGCTGTCAGAAAGTGCCACAGCCGGATGTCTGCATGAGAGTGCTTTAAGATTTTGCTAATCACCTCTTGGGCCACTAGTGATGCTTCTGTATTCACTCTGCAATTTCTGTGTCCTTTCTTTTCTTCCAAGCCATCCCCTACTTTATGCTTTCAACCAAAACTTAAATAAGGATCATTCTTCTGAGATCATGAGAAATTATAGGGAAGCTTTAGAGAGCAGATGTTGGATTTCTGACTCGGCATAAACTACAAATGAAACTTCTGCTCTTTGTTAAGTGCTTTGCCATTAACAGTCCAAATCACAGACTTCATTGCTACTACTACAAAAAAAACCAAACCAAACCAAAAAAAAAAAAACCCAAACAAAAAAAACCCCACATCAAAAACCCCCCTATCATAAGGAAAACAACCCCAAACAAAATGCAAGACCAGACTTTCAGGTCATAATGTCTTCTTGCTGTCAGACAACTAAGAATGTGGTGGAGGGAAGGAGCCAGTTCAAACAGGGAAAGACATGACAAACATCTGACCACTGATTAAAAAGGCAAACGGACACAGAAGTACCAAGATATTAGTAGGAAAAAATACTGGTTGTATTTTAAGCCTGAGCAGAAGAGGATGACAGCATCAAGAGCTCCTGCAGACTGAGGTGGATAGTATTCCAAAATAAAGGCTCTTAAAATTTCTGTCAAGTGGTTCAAAGCCAGAAGTACTATATTCTGAGAAAGAACAGCTCAAATGGACTCACATGTCTCCTTTAGATACATCACCCCCAAAGGCCTCCAGGCTTCCTGATGTAACATTCATCTGAACATGTGTCTTGTTGGCTGAAAGAGGTGGGGGTTTTGGTTATAGAGCAAGAAAGCGGAGCTTTCCTGAATAGAAACAGAGTAAAATGTTCTGCACCTTCAGAGATGTTTTCAGGTACTTGAGATTCCAGGTCTTCTGTGCTCGATGATGATTTCTCAGTAGCACCTTCTTCCCTGAAAGAAGGGAGCATCAAGGGTCACAAAATCAGCAGGATACTGGGCTGCTTACCAACCTTGTAACACTTACGAAACTTTAGCCAAACCCAATGTTGTGGACATGTTGTCCCAATACCTCTTTCTTTCCAGAGGCACAAGGGAAGCTTATAACATAATTTTTTTCCACAGAAGACTTATTTATTAAATGCTGTTACCATTTTCTCTTACAGTCTTCAATCCACTCTCCTACGACGGCATGATACATTTCCAGGTCCATGGAGATATCTTTGTGCTCCAGGTCAAGCTTGTTGCACAGCTCTTCAAGACCACTGTCCTCTGATTCCCAGCTGGTCATATGTCTCAAATAATCAACTATCTTGGACACTGTCACTTTTCCTAAAGCAAGAACAGTGGTCGGGATGCCAAAGCCTGGCAAGGCACCATAAAATACTGTAAAAGGCCACGCTACTGAACTGCATTCCAACTGCCCTCAAGAGCTGCAGACAAGCAACTGACTCCTGAACTGAGTTAGAGTGGGATCTGGAAAAAAATGTAGTTTAGAGCTCTCTTTTTCTTGGATTGAGATGTTGGTGGTTTTTTGGGGGGTTTTGGGGGGTTTTTTGGTTTTTTTTTTTCGTTTTTGTTTGTTTGTTTTTATGTAGTGGCGGGTGTTTTGGTTTTTCTGTGTGAAAATCCAGTTCACTAGTTTTGTGGACTTCAGTTTAAGAGGAAGAAAAGTTGACACGTGATACTGATCCTTGCTCTCAGGGTCAGGCTGGATGGGGCTCTGAGCAACCTGGGATAGGGGTAGGTATCCCTGCCCATGGCAGGGGGTTGGAATTAGATGTTCTTTAAAGGTCCCTTCCAACCCAAACCATTCCATGATTCTACCACTTTTAGTCATGTCTGAGGTGGAACTGGGAGGAATTCTCTTCCTCTGTAGTTTCCCAAGTTTCTAACAGGATAAAGGCTGAAAGAAAGAAACAGTCATTTGCAATAAAGGTAACTACTAGAAATGGGTTGTTCCTCTCCTTCCCCTGTGCTAAAGCACTGCAAAGATCAGCAGGGGAAGGATCAGGCACCATGCAAAAGAGGCACAGGCATTTAGACATTTATTCTACATCTGCCACAACACAGGCACCTACACATCTCAGAGCCTGGCATCCCTCAGGGACCAAAACACGACCTGAACCTTGGAAATCTGTTGAGAGGAGAACAAAAGAGAGCAATGAAAAAACCCTGGCAAACCTGTGTGGTGGCTGTCACATGCACAGAAGATGGTGGTCAGCAGGTTCTCTTCACAGATCAAACTCATGTTGTACATATTGTCAGCTTTGTACCCCATAGTCTGCTTCCGTCCTGTGAGGAATAAATCTATTATTGCCCATCTTTATTTCCTCATGGTAACTTTGATTCCAGATGACTGAAACAACAAAACCAGTTAACCAGTTTCCCTGGCAAAACAGAGCTTTTAGCACTAACAACAGGAACTGGTCATAGCTGGAGCCTCTGAGCTCCAGGGAAGTATTCAGTGCATCTACTTTAAACATGTATTTTTATAAAAAACTTGGTTATTTCTATGGAGAAACATATGAAACAGGACATTTTAAGAATCCAGGTATTTCTTCCCTCTCCCTCCAGATATATTGTAGAGAAATCATTAGAGCTAACTTATTAACAATCCCTAAAACAAAAAACTCCTCAAAACCAAAAAAACCACCCCAAACTAAGAGCAAAACCCAAACTTCTGTATCTTCTAAATCAGTCTGATAGGCAAATCATAGGCTAAATTAAGAGCAAAATAAAACTTGGCTATTAAAAAAAAATTGCTATAGTACTAGCCAAATCGTAGTCTCAATCTCTTAAACTGTTAAAAATATCTTTATCTCTTAAACCAAAAATGACATAGCAAACTTGAAAAAGTTCTTGCCTTATTAATTACTCACTTTTTGCACTCACATTAATATTTTTAGAGAAAATTTAAGATTTGCCTCAGCTGTTTTTACAGTCTTATCAAATTTAAACGCTACTAAGATGTGTTTTACCAGTTTAAACGGTAAATAAATGTCATCTACATAGACTGAATGTTCAGATGTCTAGAATTCCAAATTAGGGGGTGTTTTCCTTCAGTATTTTTACCTCTTTCACTTGAAGGAAACATCTTTGGCACAGGAGGTTGGACCACAGCACTTCCTGGCTTTTTTTCAGATGCAAAGTAATATAAATTCGGACTTGATGTCAGATACTTCTGCTTGGGCTGCATATCTTTAGGTCCAGCATTTGCTAAAGCACATGGTTTGCTCTGGGCATTGGCCTCCATGGCTCCAAAGCAGAATGGAGAAGAGCCCTCCACGGGAGAGGAGGGCACCCATGAGCAGCTGGATCTCTCACTGCTTTCCAGGATGGAACAGGTGCTGCTTGCAGTCTGGGAGTCAGAGCTGGCCCCAAGACCAGAGAAAACATTGCCACTGGCAGGGCTGACCAAGGGTGAGCAAGTGCTCCCCTGACTCCTGCAGTTTCTCCCTTTCAGTATTTCTTCCCGATTTTTTTTAATATTGCTCTGTGGGCTGTCAAAGTTCCAGGACTGAAATTTTGGTATCTGCAAGGCTGGGTTGGAGACTTGGTCCATCATTTGGATGGATTTGATCTTCCTGCAGATGCTGTCCACTGGGTTGTGGTGCCGTTTCTTAGCTCCACATTTAAAAGACTTCATAATTTCCCTTCTCTTGCCAAATATCTGGAAAGAATAGGCATAAGATATGAGAGTCAGGGTGATTAACATGTATTTATACCGATTTTTCCATTCAGCAGGCAGCTTAAAGCTTTGGTATCCAAGGGTTTGAAAACCCTTGTTCCACTTATCAGCTGTGACAGAAACCTTCAGCCAGGACACTTGGTTGTCCAAGGAACTAGAAGGTGACGTGGAAATGTTGGGGATGAAAGACAGAAATACTTCCTGAAATCTCACTGCTTATTCTTAAATACCATAACCATAGCAGGGAGGTGAGGGGGAATGAAAATAAAAACTGAAGAACACCCTGCAAATTAGCAGAGGGCTTTTTAAATAAAAGGAAACACTTTAGTTGTACTGGGGTTGGCAGAGGTGAGGCAGAAAAAGTGAGACCAATAAGACTTTCAGCATTTCTGCAAGCCTACGAGACCAAAAAAACTCCAAACCCCAGTATTCCTTGTAATAATCAGCCACAGTTGTCATAGTGCCACACTGGGAATTACACAAGAAATATGCCCTACAGAGGAACCTCATCCTGTGTGTATTTTTATTCTCTAATCTCCCAGGCAACATTTAAAAGGTATTTCCTACAAGATAAGTGTGTTTGCATGGGACTAAGGCACAGGAGGCTTATTTTGCAGGGATAAATCCTCATTCCCAGTGAGGTTCCCATGTCCACCCCGCACATTGTAACTACCTGCACTGATCAGCTGGGAGCTATATTATTAAATAATAACATTCCCAATGAAGCGGGGTGAAGCTCTCAAGAATCAAATTTTAAGTGATTTTTTAAATGTAGAAAAATTAATTCCTTTCCCCCAAAAGAGCAGCAGGTGTCACTAACACTTATATAATATTTGAAGCAAGGAATAAAATTATATATAAGTATTTATTAATCTAGATTGAAATAAACATAAATACTAAGTGTTTAATTTAAGGTGGTTTATTGCAGGCTGCCTGCATGGCAGCAACTTAGTTTATGTAAGCAGAGGTAAGATCTCTAAGTTTATTTTTCTAGTATTTCTGCAAGTAGTAACATTTACCCTAATGAATATATCCTTAGCTACAAGAATACTTTAAAAAATAAGAATAACAAGAAGCTCAGAGCAATTTTAGAGAAGAGACTACTTTTTAACTATGTCTCACTTAAAAGATTTGCTTCTCAAACAAATGCCAGGAAGTGGAAGCAATCTTCTATATTAGGGATATATTATTACAGATGAATTACCTCTATATAGATAGATTAATTACCTTTAAATTAAAACTTAAATACCCAGCAATTAGTTTAGGACTGTTCTTTAAGCACACAGGAGCCTTCAAACAGATATAAGTAACACTCTATTAAAGGGTATTTGATTTTTTTTTTTGGTAATACACCAGTAAAAAAAATAACTAAAACAACAAAAAACACAGCCCAAGACCTTATACTTACACTAGCACATGGAAAAAAAACAAACTTCTTTTCCTTCTCAGAAGGAGACAGCACAGCTACTTTAGCTGTTCCTCTGAGGAGTAGGAGCTGACTGAACTTCAGCGTTTAAATGAGCAGAGAGCTCTTTTGCTGGAAAATCACCTTTACAAGGTACAGTTGCTGCCACTCAGCCCTCAGCTGAGAGGGACCACCAGCTGCAACTGGGTTCTAATCAAGTATCTCAGGCTCCTGCTTCCTGGCCTTTTTACTTTTTTCCCCCTCACATCTCTCCTGCAGCTGTCAAATTAATTGCCTGTAATTTCAGTGCAACTTGAAGTCTCCCTGCTCTTCTAATTATTGTTTAAAACAGCAAGGAATGTTGTGATATAGGTTATTGCTGTGTCAAAACTCTGGTTGCTGGGGTGTTTCTCACTTCTATTAGCAGTTCTTTCCTGCTTTTCCCACCTACAGCAAAATTTCAAGCAGGAGCAGATCTCTCCTAATTTCTGAGAGTTAGAACAGGGAATCCGGGAGCTGTATAAATTTCATCACTCTCACCACTTTTGAAAGGAAGAAAGTGTTGAAGTCTCTTGAACTGATAGTGTATTAAATAGTCTCTCTGTTAACTGTCATCTCTGCCCTTAGTTCTGTAAATAAAAAAAAAAAATCATTAGGACCCTTAACCAGGCATGCAGTAGAGCCTGCCTGTCTGAAGAGCTCTATGGCTCCTGCTAAATTACCATGTAAATGCCCATTGATGGCCACATCTCCTTTCCAGCCTGCAGACTGGAGAAAACTGTTTTTCAGCTGGTCTTTTCACCTGGTGTTTGACTCAGACTTGTCCATTGCTCAGAAAAAAAAATGTTGTACCATCCTGAGGTTTACTGAACTTCAGAAGTAACACCTCTTTCTGAGGTGTTTACACCTTTCAAAAATTTGTGGATTTCTACTCTTTCCTGATGCTTTCAAACACCCCTCACCCCACATAACATATTTAAATTCTACTTATAATTATCCCTTGAAGCTGCTTCTCTTTCACAAACACACTTGTGAGAACAGTAGGTGGTGTTTGTGAGGGTCCCAGGATGAGGGAAGAGAAGAATCTGACTCCATGTTTCTTAGAAGGCTGATTTATTATATTAGGACATTATATTATATTAAAAGAAATGCTATACTAAAACTATACTCAACTATAGAGAAAAGGATACATCAGAAGGCTAGAAAATAATGAAAACTCGTGGCTGCTCAGAGAGTCCGACACAGCTGGCTTTGATTGGTCATTAAGTAAAAACAATTCACATGGAACCAATCAAACATGCACCTGCCACATTCCAAAGCAGCAAACACAGGAGAAGAGAATCAGATAATTGTTATTTACATTTTTCTCTAAGGCGTCTCAGTTTCCCAGGAGAAGAAATCCTGGTGAAGGGATTTTTCAGAAAATATCATGGTGACACAGTAGAACCTGGACCTGGCTTCAGCATTGCTCACACATTAGTCCTCAGCAAAGTCCCTGTTACTTCTCTTGTGTGAGGCATTTACATGATATCTGACACACTGGATTTTCCACACCTTGTTCTCTACCTCAAGCAGTTTTTAGCACAGTTGTTCTCATACAATCTAGAGAAAAGACAAAAAAACCTTCTCCAGCAAATCTGCAGTGCTTGAAACTCACCCACGGACATTGTGGTGCTGAATGTGCAACAGAATAGTTAAATAAATTTGGGCCAGCAACTGATGGCCTCTCTAATCATGCACCTGGCTTACACCAGTGAGTATCTTTTCCCTTCAGGGGTGCACCATGAAAATTCACCTTCCCAGAGAAGTTGAAGACATCCCTACTTATTGTAGGGAGGTGGACTAGATGACTTTTAAAGGTGTCTTCCAAACCCAAATATTCCATGGTTCTGTAAATTAAGGTCTGTTATGAAAATAAATAACACTGAAAAACTTGTTTGTGTGGCATGAAATGTATTGATGGATTGCAGATTGAATTGTTTTTGTCAACAGACTTTACAGGGCAAATATGGAGCTTGTACACAAATTTCCCCTTAGTCTGAGCGGGTTAAAGTCCAGAATTAGCTTTCAAAGATTACAAAAACACAAAAAAACAGCCCAAAAAGAAGAGGTCATACAGTTCATAACCATGTGTCTGGGAAGGACCAGTTGGGCAATGAGTCCTAAAAAAGGATTGTCTAATCTATTCTCAGTTTCTCATTCATAAACAAATCAACATTCTTCCAGGGCAATCTATATTTGACTTTGCTATTGGTAGAAAGCTTGCCTTACTATGCAACTTACTGCAAATGAAATGCAAAATGCTTTGTAGTTTCCTACTTTGCAGGCTCTGCCATGTGACATTTCACAGCCTTTTATGATGCTACAGTAGCATGTAGGAGCCAGAAGTACACTGCGCTAGGTGCTGCTCAGGTGCCAGACACAAGTGGGATGGATTTCCCAGAGAGTTATCAAACTAACAGGAAAAAAATTCCAAAGGAAATGAGAATAAGCACAAAGCAAAGGTCATAAGTTCTGGGAGATTTATACCTTGACAGCACCAGTGTTTGCTGACATACCCACTGACCACCTACACACACCCCAGCTGCACCTTTTCCTCAGGAGCAAGCCATGGATCACTGCTGCCCTTACCAGGATACAATGACTGTATCCTGTATTTCCAGGGAAATATTTGGGAAGATGCATGGTTGTGATGCAAGTCAGTGAGGTAAGTTTGACCCCGTTGGTTAAAACTCCAGCACACAAGAACATTTTCCCCTCACCTCAGCACTGAACTTCAATGCCAGATATCAGCTTTTTATCACTTACAGCATCAGGATATGCAGCCTGTGCCCTTTCGATCATCTCAAAAAATAAGAATAGGTTATGTTCTTTCTAATAAGGGGTCCTGCTGCTATAGCAAGCTTCCCTCTACTTTTCTCTCTCAGGGTATTGATTACATGCCAGAGCCACTTCCTCCTCCAGGTGAATCAGCTGAGAAATGGCAGCACTGACAATGAGTGTTTTGCGTACAGCCCATCATCCCACAGTGCCACAGTTTTTTAGTGTGTTATGATCCATAACCCAATTATAGGCTGCTTCATTTTTCAAGAGTGAGAGCTCACATGTGCCCACACAGAGCCACAGTTCTTTTGTGAACGCAAACACTCTCAGTACCTGCACTGCCTTCCCAAAACATTGCCTCCTGTCCCTGTTTACAAAAAAAATATGTCCCATACACCATCCTAGAAGTGGCTGGATTCCTGGGAAGGGTGAGATGGCCATCTTTTCATAGAGTCATGGAAAGAAAAAGCTTTGAAGGGAGAAGCCGATTCTTTTAAATTTTGATGCCTGAAGTAGAACCTGGAGTTCTTTGTTCTGCATGCAGACTCCTTACAGATTTCCAAGGAGAAGGTTCTGAAATACACTTTTGTTTGAAAACCGAAGCAACTTGGAGTCACAGGTCATAGCAAAAATAAATGGATTTAGAACTGTAAGTCATAAAGGCACAGAAAATTTAAGGGAAAAATAAAAACCATTGGAAAAAAAAAAAAAAAAACACCAAAAAAAACAAACCCAAAGCCCCAAACCATTATGGAAATGCAATTTGAGATTGGGTTCATTTCACCTGATGTGAAAGGTCAAGGTCAACTGTCTCTTGCTACAGGTTGTGACTAAACTCCTGACTTTTAGACACCATGGTGACACAGGCATCTGATGGTACAGCAATAAAACCATTTAATTTAAGATGATACTGTCAAGATCCTGCTTTTGTTCTTGAACTGGTGGTCACCTGTCCCCATAACAAGGCAGTTCTGATTTTGATCTGCTCAGTTCAGCTTCCTGCTGCCCTCCAGGCAGCTTCAAACAAGCCCAAATCTCTACAAGGATTCCCACGGGACTCAGAATACAGCCAGGTTTGGAAGAGAGACTGAGACTCCAGCAACACCAAGTCAGAGTCACTCAGATTTTGCCAAATGGTCACAAGAAAGACTGAAGCTGTTTTCCTACAGTGTAGTTACATCTTTTTCTATGCCTCCCATTCTCCTCCTCTTCTCTCCAGTTGCAACGGGAGGGGCTGAGCTGGTTTCCCTCACCGTTTCTTTTGTGTTATCTTGTCTCATTCCAGTGGCAGGAAAAGCAGGGTTTCTTTTCAGTGCCAGACACATTTCCTACCACGAGGAGAACCAACCCGAAGAGATCATGCTTCACACTGCCAATCCCAAAGGCAGGGGGTTAATTTTCACAGGCTCAGCTGAATGTTTTTATTCCAGCCCTGTGGTCTGTGCATAACACAAAGATCTGAAGTCACTCCAGAAGGCAATAGGGAGTAGCTTTACCTTCTCCAAGTCTCTGCATGTTAAATGTCTCCTGGATGAAATGCACAGTCCCCTTCCAAGGCTAAGGGTTAAGCATCATCAAGAAATGTCTCTGATTTGTCAGAGCACAGGGAAAAGAGCAGGGAAAAGAAACTTCCCAGTGAAGTAGATGCAAGTAGAATCGCTTCTGATAGGATGCATCAGAGCATGGCCTTTTAAAAAGGGTAGAGCTCTGACAGCAGCTCCCAGCCACTACAGGAGTTGCTTGAAACCAAAATCTGAACTTCCCTCTGGTTTCCTGCCTCTACACCCGCACGAGCTGCAGCTGATGGCAATTCTGTATATTCAGTGAGCAATTCTGTGTGGCATAAGCAGGGAACAGAATGATACCTCCCAAAAGCTGAACAGCAATTGCACTTTCACTTAATAATGTGCTTTGGAGTAGTTCCACAGACATACAATGGCAGGGAGGAGCTCACAGTGAGCAGCAGCAGTGCCTGTCTGCACATTCCTCCTTGAACTCCATATCTATGTGCCAGTGTTTGTCACACGCATGGCCTAACCTGGATTTTTGTCACACCATGGGCTGGCCCTGTTTGTGAGGCTGCTGCAGTAAACTTTCCATTGGCCAGCCTTCCAATCAGCAAATTTCTACCTCCCTGTTTGCTTACCTTCTCCTTCTGCTTCCATTGATTTTACAAAGGAAAAAGTACAGGAGGAGAGATGAAAACCCTGGCTACAGAGCAAGCAAGGTCAGGTATCAAGTGTGATTAACTCTTTGCCTGAAGACAAAACCAACTCTCCATGACTGCAATGAGCCCAACAATCACCCAGAAGTAGCTCATGGAAACTATTTCCCTGATCCCTGCCTTTTTTCTGTTCACTTCTCCATTGTTTAACCTCTTCAAGCTCACAATCTGCACTTTACTCCAGCCAATCCATGAGACAGAAAAGTGTTTCTGACTATTAGGAGCTCAGGATTTATTGGGTATTTTTGGTCTTTTTTGTTGTTGCTGTTGTTGAGCTTTGTACTTTTATTTGTGTGCAAGAAAACTAGATGCAAAAGATCATTAGAGAATCAAACCACAGACTACAGCCTCTGAATGTATGCAAGGAATAACTTCAAGTTAGTCACACTAGGTAAGTCACTTTTTTCTTGATGCTGGCAAGTAATTTACCAGCTTTTCCAGCTCCCACAATGGATGCTAATGTGATGTATTGTAGATTATCCTGTGTAAACTCTCAACATCCATATTAATACCCACTCTGGCTGTGATTATTGATCATCCAGCAGGAAGGTGATGTGTTGCAAACGCACAGGGCTGATGTTGATGTATTCAGGAGGTGTTCACCTGTTTAATGGGGTGCATCTCCAAGTGCATCTATCTTTCAATCATTTCAATCAGGACTTCCTGCAAGGCTGCAGATTTTCCTCAGGAGTCATCAGACCTTCTGCTTCTCCATCTACAGGGCTGACAAGAGATCCCTTCAGACTCCTCCACCCCGCCACGGAAGGGGAGGGTATCTCTACTCTGAAGACTTAAAAAGGGATCCCTGGCCATGTAGGAAGGAGATCTTGTGACACATCATCCCAAGGAAAGAAGACTGAAGGTTTGTCACCAAGATAAATATGAAGGTAAATGAGAATTTTTTGGCTTGTAGCAAACATTTAGTTTGCAATTAATGCTTTCTTTTTCATGTGAGTGCAATATTTAGGGACTGCAGGGGGGCTTAAGAAATTTTCCTCAAAAATAACCTGAAAGAATACAGACATAGATATATTATATGTATTTTAAACAACTGCATTAAAAATAGAACAATAGCACAACCTCTCAAACCCAGGATGAAATGAACCACTGTGAAACATACAGTTAGATTCTCTGGTGCCCATCACTGTTACCAATACATGAATAACAACATGGTCTGTGTGAACAAGCAGAGGTGCAACTTGTGCACAGAGGATTCATGCTCAATGCTTCCATTTGCATGTGTTGCATCAGTGAACGAACTCCAAGAATCAAAAAAACCTGTCTTGTGAGTTGTTTTAATCATAGTTGATATTGATAGGATGCTAAATTTAAAACATTTTTTACTTTTTTTTTTTTTTTTACCTGAGGAAGTAGAGATTTTGTCTCTTGGTTTGTTTGTTGGTTTGGAATGACAAGCCCCCTACATCTGCTTGTTGTCTACAGTTTGGTAAAATCAAGGTAGATTTTATATTATCTTTACCCATTAGTTTGTACTTTATTCTCATTTCTGGAGGATCTGATGTTCTTGTAAATAGGACCACAAAAGGTGCTAGCCTTGATGGCAGCTCTCACCAGGATGGAATGGATTTGAGTAAAAAGAATAAAGTTCAATTAAAGATTAATCCTCTGATCAGATCAGTGTGCACTGAAACACCCCCTGAGCAAGAGGAGGTTTGGCAGCAAGACAGGGACAATGCAGCAGCTGGGAACACCCTCACATTTAGAGGTGAAGTTGGGAGGATGTGCAGATGTGAAAGACTCTTCCTGCACCTTGTGGTTCTCTGTTGTGCACAGGAGCTGCATAAACCCACAGCGTCTGCCCTGGCGCTGTTCCTGGCAGCATCCTTTGTCGCCTTCTCCTGGAGTGCCCCTCAGGTGAGCTCAGGCTGGAGCTCATGAAGGTCAGAGCTTGGTGCCATTAAGTATTTGCACTAATTAGCAATGGCATGGAATGTTGACATGCCTCTTTTCCCTTTTTTTTTTTTTTTTTTTTAATTTGTCATAAAGGCTCATTTCCAAAGGAGAAACTGGACTCCTCAGGCCATGCTCTATTTGAAGGGTGCACGTAAGTCCTGAGCTCTTTCCATTTTGAGGAGATAATTTTCCCCACTGCTGGATATTCCTTAGTTCCACACAAGCAGGAGATCCTGAACATGCTGTGGGGGTAGAAGTTTTGAGGCTTGCAGGAAGGATGTGCTAATCGCGTGGTGCTAATTATGTCATGGTCACATCTTTGGTCCCTGTACAGGCCATTCATTTCCCAGTTGGACTCAATGGTCCTTGTGGATCCCTCTCACTCAGAATATTGTCAGATTCTGTACTTAGAGATGTTGTCCTTTGATCCAAATCATCAAATATAACAGAAATATTAATGTGACAAATTGTCTTCTGAATTGTTGGTTTAAAATTAAAAGATATCAGGGAGGGCAGGTATTAAGAGAGGAAGAAAAAAAACTCCCTGTAAATTAAAAAAAAAAGAAGGCCATAATCCTGAGAGAAATGCAAAAGGGAGACAATATAAATAATTGCAACATAAAATAAATATAAGCTCCAAACAACTGTAAATATAACTGAAAGTTCTAGTGACACTAATACATTATTTTTGTTGATAAAAGGGAAGATTTTGACCCTTTTTGTTATTTTAAAAATATTCTTCCAACTGAATAATGCAATGTGTTACTTCCCTAGTAAGCTTTTTATCATTCTTATCGATGCACAGGAAGCAGTGTGATTTTATTTTGTTAGTTTGGGATTTGGGATTTTTTTTTCTTTTTTTTCTTTTTAATAAAAATACAATTTAAAAGGCAATACTTCATAGTTCAGAAAAGTGATTGAAGGCTCTTGACCATATACAAAATTGAAAAGAGTCCTTTAGGGATTATAAAGTAGGAATTACAACAAGTTTGGGGGTTGTTTTCACCCTTGTCTCACTGCTTTCGTAGAGGGACGTTGCTTCATCGCAGATGAGAGCCAGAGGAAGGACCTGTATGACAGAGTGCATCTTGGTGAGTCCATCACCACAGGGGTGTGGAGCCCATCCACCTCCCCTGCTTATGGGAGAAATCCCTGGAAATGGGAGGGGATTTGTTTTCCTGGAATCACAGCCAAGGAAAAATCTAAACCCCCTTTTTTAGTTCCATCATTCTAACCAGCACATGACAAAGACTGACTTTCCTCTCTGGTGAGCCTGTGTGATTTCATTTACATAATTTCCAGACTGGCCTGGCTGCTAAGTGGGATTTTCATCAGTGCTTTTGACTTTCTTTTTGCACTGGAAAAAAAAAAATAAAATCAAGCTATTAATCGTGCTGAAGAGACAAATAACAGCAGCAGATGTCATCAATCCACAGTAGGAAATGTTTCTGGAGGGAACAGGATGTTGTAAAGAAGTTAGGAACTTACAAAATAGGAAAATGTTGTTTTTACCTTCCGAGGGACTTTGAAATAACCTCCCTTTTAAAAAGATTGCTAATCTCTCGTGCTAATTATCAGGCTGGTTTTGAGCAGACAATGTTATAGAATGAAGGACACAATATTTTCTTGTCTTTGACTCTCTAGTTATAAAAATAATAAAAAAGCAAAGAACAAAGTAAAGAAATGCCATAAGAGACTAACAAACCATGCATTTCTGATTTTTTCATTCTAGAAACACGCAGCCATAACACAAATCCTTTATCCCTTTCTGAAGCTGCTGCACTGTTTCTTACTTCCTTACAGAAAGCACAAGAAGGTAAATGCATGTTTTGTCTTACTCTGACTTTTTTAAAGTGGTTTTTCAGTATTTCATTTACTAGCAAATTAATCTAGAAGGTCTGTTTTGAACTGAGATATTGCTCAGCAGAGAGCCCTGTATTGGAGTGCACATTTACACAGATTACAACATGAGCCACAGAATGATAGCAGGTAAATATTTATATATTCTGCTTTTAATTTTCTCTTCTGATATTTTACTGGTTTGCATTCAAGGGAATGGCTATTTTTCAATTGAATTTTTCACCTCAAATCTTTTCTGGGGTAACTTTTTATATATCATACTGTTTGCTTGTGAAAATTTTGTTCCTCCACTGGATTTGGTGCAAAGGTTTAAAGGAATACATAAGAATCCTAGGAGAGGAGCTGCTGGTTTCACATCACCAGGCTGAGACCCTAAACCTTTGCTCTCCATGTCCTCTATCCTTAAATCTCTCGCCTCTTCAGCTACCCCAGACCTTTTTTTTTTTTTTGGAAATGAAGCTGGGGCTCTGTGCTCAGCCCTCTCTTCCCTGCCCTGGCAGAACTCTGAATAAAAAACAAACAAATCAGTGGCATTTTGGAGAGAGAAAAAGGCAGAATTAAAAATGAGCATAGTGCTTTGGACAAAATATATGAGCACTTCTAAAGTTAAATCAGTGAAAGTGTCATTTGCATGCCCACAAAATCCACTGAAGGTAGATTTTTCCAAATTTTAGTGGTATGTTCCTGCCTGTTGTTGCCGTAGCAGGGGAGATGGACAGCAACAGAAAAAAAAAGGGTGAAATATCAGAACTGGCAGCTTGTTTGAAAAAAACTACGTGGAATAACATTTTCATCTCTGTGGTACGAAATAACCAGTCAAACCTGGATAAGCCATGCACTTTCAGATCAGCTGATTTTTGACTAGACTGAGGGCAATGCACAAATGAAGAACAAATCCATTATTTTCTTCAGCATGAAATTTTTTGCCATGTGCTAACTTACCCCTCTGGACACTGGTTTGTAGTTTTCTTCTACAGCAAACAGAAAAATTCCTACATTTAAAAATGAGAGAAGACATGATTGTTTTTAGAGGTGCTGCCTCTCTTAGCTGAGCAGTCACACTGCACTGAATCTGTGCCTAAGACACACCTGAAAGCTGAAAACTTTGGCTGGCTGAACTTTTCTTAATCTACAACTTATTTCTCCCCATTGTGTCTTGTCTTGCAGTGGAAGAAGAAAACAGTGAACACCCTGGCTACTTGACAGACAGTCTGTTAAATTGGTGAAATTATGTAAAATGTCTTTAACATTTGTACAGCTTTGAACCTGAAAGCATAACTTGTGTAAGTAAAGTGTTTAATCCATTCTCACTGAAGTTCCCAAAGGGTGAGGTGTTTTCACATTGCAAAATTTTGAATGCAAAGGGATTAAAAGGTACTAGTTCAGATAAGGGAAGCATCTGTAAAGTTCCTGCTTTCTTTACAGCATTTTATATGTCCCATCTGAAATTTAAAATACACGGCACCATCTCACCTGAAAAGATAATTAAAACTGACTTATTGTCCCAGTCCACTCCTGCAGAAATACTCTGAATAATCCTACTGAGCAAGTCCCAGCACATAAAGACTGTCTGGGGACAGGTCTTGCATTATCAGGGCCTCCTTAATGACTGCATTATGATTGTACTTTTTTGTTCTTTCTTTCTGAGTCGCAAAACTGGAATTATGCATAAATCTGTTAATTATCATTCTGTGCTGATAAGGATGTGTTATTTATGTAGTTCAGTGGTCTTACTGGAAAACCCTCTGTAGTTCTGATGTAATTAAAGACTAGCCACATGATTTCTGTGTCCAAGCAACTGTTTTATTTTTTCAACCTTCTAGTCATGCTCTTCATCTTTTAATGTTAAATTCCCCTGATCTTTCTCATCATACTGCTGATTAATTCTAACTCACACTAACTGTGATGCTGCTTTACCTCAACACAAAAAAACACAGCTGAAGAAACAGAGGAATTAATTTGTTTCATGGGGTTAGAGGCACTTTCAGTCGTTATTTATAAACTGTATCACTCCACGGAAGAACTGGTGAAAGCAGTGTCCTGTTTTGTTCATTTTTAAGCACTAATATATCTTCCAATGGCAGCGTTTGTTGTATGACAGAACATTAATGATGAACTTCACCTCAAGACCAGTGGTATACACCTGAATCCTTCCATTAATTGAGCTGCCCTTTGTTTCCAGCATATTTGGAATATCTCAGGCGCATCTAAGTGACTTTACAGCATGTTTTACAGGATCATCAGTCAGTGCTCAGACAAAAAAGTAGCATGGAATCAGAGAACATAATCCTAGAATGGCCTAGTTTGGAAGGGACCTAAAAGATCATCCAGTTCCAAATGCCCTGACATGAGCTAGGACACCTTCCACTGGAAAACTGAAAAGTAGAGGGGTTATACATCCTTTGGTTTATCAGTGTCTCAAAATTTACATGCCTCTGCCTGTCCCATTGATACAGAAACTGTATCCACCCTATTCCACATTTTTATATGTGTTCTTGATTTAAGGTCTCAAGCTTAAACAATTCTTCACAAATATCATGAAACAGAATAGACCTTCTGCCTTGCTGGTGAGCTGTTTGTGAAACCCCAGTGATTTCCCATCTGGAAGACAATCCCTTATGTAACAGATAGCTGCTACCAAGTTTGACAGGTGTTGGGAATGTGTGGCATTTAATTTAGGCCATCTGTTGCTGGGGCTGAATGAGAAGCTGTTCCTCCAATGCTATAAATCCAACATACAGTAGTGTTTTGCTGTAGATAAACTGCCTTGATACTAATGGAATCTGTTAATCCTGGAAATCAAGGCAGAGCTAACACAAGCCCAAGGCATTGGGCAGAGGTCACTTTGGCCACTGCAGGACCTGAATCTGAGAATTCAGATTAGTCCTATCTCAAAGCTGAGCACTTTCTAACACCAGGAGGGTGCTCAAAGCATGTAAGTGCGCTGAAACACACACAGCCTTCCTGCTCTACAGCAGAGCTTTGAAATACAAGCAATAAATACAGATTTCTCGATTTATTTATGAAAACATCAACTTTCAATCAATATGCCCTTTATATGTTCCTTCTTTGGGACTTTCAGCCATTACATCTTTTGACTCTGTAAGGGAACTCTGATTAGGAGCACTTTGTGGAAGAAACACAAAATGCAGCTGTTCTCCACATAGTAAACTGTGTGAAGGAAAAGATTTGCAGTTATCTTTGCTTTCACCACTTTTATATGAAAAATTACTCAGTGTTGAATTACCTTTTAAATGGCTAAAGAAATAGTGACTCCTTTTAATTCCAAATAAGTTCTTACCATAAAAACTGGAACCTGATTTCTGAAAATATTCTTTCGTATCCGAATCAGCTCAAGAATGAAAGTCCAGATTTAAAACTGATTTTAGGTGGTAAAAAATACAAATAGGCACATTGTCACTTTTATTCTAAGTGGCCTATAGTCAGAACCATGTCATCAAGCATTGGTTAAGTGTTTGAAAGTTAGGAGCCTACACAAAGTTGGACATCGAGGCTCCCCCTGGGATTGACAGAAAAGGTAAATACCTCCAAAGATTACATTGTCCTACCTGCTGAAGGACAGTCTGAATGAAGTTCTGGAAATGTCTTTTCTTGAGCAGCATGAGAAATTTTTGATGCACAAACTTGAAAAACAAGAGATTGATCTCTAACATCTTCATGACAAAATGTGCTTCTGAAGAGCCTGTTCAGGCACTCTCTGCATTTCTAGGAGCTGAAATACTTCTAAAAGTTTTCTGTAAGGCAAATGAAATGTTTAATTCTTGTTGTTAGGATCAGTTATTCCCCAAGAACTATGAAGTCTCGAGTGCTTTTCAAAATTATATGTTAAATTTTTTTAGCATTATTTATTAGGATTACGTCTCTTCTAGAAGAAGTGAAATAGAGCAAGGACTAATGGAAATTACTGATCCTTGACTGTTGTCACACTGGTCTGTGGCTTTTTATCTGCAGGAGAAGGTGCCACTCGAGGAAATTTTATCATTCCCTTTAGCCAAGTTACATTAATTTCCTCCCAAACCAGTTTGTTAACAAACTTAGAATCTACAACAAGATGAAAATAAAAGAGACATACCAGAGGAATCAGAAAATAAATGGTCTGCTCTTTATTGTGGGTCTAAATGATGTCAGAAAGATGACTTTATTTGTCTCTGAAATTCAAATGTCCACTGCATAAGACTTTATATTGTTCCACAGGAAGCATGTTTTACCATTAGATTAAGACACTTCTGTGTGCTGTAAAAAAGTGTTACATAAGCTTACAATAAACAGCATCAGGAAAAGACAGACCATTTTCTTTACACTGTATCTTTTTAAACTCTTCCAATATTTCTCCAGTGTAACACTTTTTTTTTTCTCTAATTTTTTGAGCTCTGGTTTAAAGTTCATGTTAGTTTAGGAGGGGAAAAGGGGAAACATAAATGAAGAAGAAATTCCTTTGGGATACCCAAAATGTAGCTATTTGTCTACACTATCATTAATACAGATGATTCCACAGACAAAGGCATGATCTGCAGCTTGTATAAGCTCCTGAGGGGATTGTCTCATTCTCTAGTTTTATTAAACCTGAAAAATCTCTTCTAACTCAAAGGGGCACAGAAAAAGTGTCATTTAAACTATTTTAAAGGTGAAATAATATTAGGCTTTCCAAAAGTGTAGCTCAAGTAACATTTAAGGTACCCCTAATTACATCCCACTGTCCTTAACACAAAGCTTGCCAAGCCTACAGGAGAAACTCTTGAGTGGATGGGGAGCAATGCCAGGGTGAGAGCAACAAGTTCAGTTCCTGTATTCTCCATGCTGCTTCTTTTTTCCTTGTGGCAAGGCTCCAGTGGAAAAGGGGGACTTGATGTTCTGCCTATCCCTTTCAGCTTCCTCATCCTCGTCGTATCTCTCATCCTCATCTTCATCCTCAGCTTCACTGTGGTGAGGGCTGGAATGCTGGGAGGCAGAGGGCGATGGCGGCACCGATGAAGGCCTGGGAAACCTGAAACCTTCCGTCTGGCAGAGACAGAAGCAAGTTGAATGTGTCAGCTGAGTTCCTCAATTGGTTTTATATAGCAATTTAAGGCTATCATCACTTCAGAAGAAGCCAGGGGTCAGATGTAAGCTAGACCTGCCCTGCAATCTAAAATTAATCTTCCCTCAACCCAGATCCCCTCAGTGCTCCTCTGCCAGTAAGTACACACTTGTATGAGAGAGATATTTATCCTGTGCCATAAAAAACATCCTGCCCTTCCAGTACTGCTTTTTGCAAAACATGGCTATCTTTACTGAGCCTTAAAACAATCAGCACAGGACAAAATCCTTCTGTACTCTGTAGTCAGAATATGCTTACTGAAATTCAGGTTTCAATCTGAACATTCAAAACAGTTTTCTACTTATAATGTCAGCATCTGCAAAACCAGCAAGGGGTTTTGGTCTGAACCTCCTCTCTCCTTACTAAAAAAATTATAAGAGTTGCTCTTTGAGGTTTGGTATCAAGTAACACTGTTCTGAGCAGCCTCTCTTCTCAAACTGGTGCTAATCTGGATTAGGCAAGAACTGTTTGAAGGTGTGCCTTTAAAGTGACCCCTTGCACCTTCAGCCAACATACCATGTTCAGAAGAAGGCAATACCTTGCCTTCTTTCTCTAGAACATCCTTCCCCAACTCCCCTCTATTTGATTGGTGGAGAACATCTCCATGGGATTTAGCAGAAGCAAAAATGAGAAGCTGCCTCTCTTCCAAGAGGAATTTCAAGGGCCAGCTCCTCAGCTGGTCCAAAGTGTCATGGTGTCGTAAGTTAAGAAGGAAGTGAGTTTTTTGGAAGGTTGTGGTCAAACCAATCATTGCTTGGATTTGAATATTGGCACCTGGTTTGGCCACTGAAGGTATAGACCGCCTCTGAGAACACAGGGGGTTAAAATCAGAGAACTCCCAGGAACTCTCTCACTTGGTCTCAGTCAGTGAAGGAGGTCAGACCTCCCCTACCCAGCTAGGGCTGGCTGGGGTGGGGAAGCCAGGTGAGGTAGGCCAGAGCCTTGAGCAGAGGAGGGGGTGAAGGCTCTGCACGATGGAAGGGTGGAGGAGCCCTGAGAGGCATCGGGCCCCCCCCACCCTCTACCCCCTGGGAGAGAGACAGAGAGAGAGAGCCAGTGCCTGTGCTGCCTTGGAATGTGATATCATGCTGGCAGCATGGCCTGGCCAGAAGGAGAAGTGGGGGATGCGGCACTGAGATCCAAGAACCGGTCTCCAGCAAAGCAAATACAGGAATTCATTCCCTACTTCCCATGGGCAAGGAGGTTTTCAGCCATTCCCAGAAGAGCAGGGCTCCATCACAGGTAGCAGCGACGTGAAAAGACAAACACCAGCACTCTGAACATCCCCTTTTCCTCCTTCTTCCCCCAGCTTTATATACTGAGCATGATGTCATAAGGTCTGGAATGTCCCTTTGGCCAGTTAGGGTCACAGTCCCAACTGTGTCCCCGCCCAACTCCCTGTGCACCCCCAGCCCCTCGCTGACAGGGTGGGTGAGGAGCAGAAAAGTTCTTGGCTCTGTGCATGCCCTGCTCAGCAAGAACTAAACCATCCCTGTGTTAACAGCACTGCTTTCAGCACAAATCCAAAACACAGCCCAGCTACTCTGAGGAAAATTGACTCTGTCCCAGCCCAAAACAAGATACTCCTGACTGGACACTGGGTCTATAACTTGTGAAGTTTTTAATTAGGAGTCCCTAATTCTCTTTAGTTAAACCCAAACTTGCTAGCTCTCTTCTCCCTCACACTCTTCCTCTCTCTCCTTGTAAAAGCAGGTAAAATAAACTCATCTCCAAAAGCAGACTTTACCTTTGGTGGAGCACTTGGTTCCATCTCAAATTTATCTGGGAATGTTCTGCTGAGGGCCAAGTGTCTGGCATGCATATAATACTGCAACAAAACAGAGAACCCATTACAAGTCATAGAAATCTTCGGTAGATTTAAGCAAGGGGGAAAAAGGAACATAAAATGAGTTATCCTCTAAAAGATGGTGCTGAACAAAGGCTAAACATGTTTTCAGATAAGCAGAATCTAGCTGACATTACTGCTTGTACTGTGAAGTGATGAGCCATTCATGATACATTCACACCAAAGAAGTCTAGAGCAGAAGCTGAATAAGGTGTCTGTAAGATGTATTAAAATGGAAACTAGGACATGTCTTGGTCAGTGTAGCTCCTATTGAGTGACAGGTATTCTTCACCCCTCAGAAAAGAACTGGGTGGTTTTTTTAATGAGGAAAATTTACATTTTTAAGTGTGCATAAGTATTACACATAAGTTTTAGGCTCATTCAAAGCCACTTCGGACTGCACTGAAGCATGTGTAACAGTGACAGAGAAGTAACATTTATGAGTTCACTGACACCTGGTATTTAAGAATTTGACAAAAATATTTTTAGATCCACTGTATTCCTGAGTTTGCAGCACATGCACAGAAAAAATAGCTTGTTGTATCTCATGCAGTGTTGGGAACCATATAAATACTAAGGTTCACACACAGGTATCAGAGCAGGAAAAGGTCCAAAATAGTTACAAAACACACATATGTGCATCCACTTCTTTAGTCCTGCAGAATTGAGAACAATCCTTTGCTACTGTCTTCTTAAAAGGTGGTACTGTAGTGCTTTCTATGTCAAAGTGAAAACACTACTTTGCATTTAAAGTACAGAGGTAGTTAAGGAGTGTTGAGGAGCCACAGAGCCCAGCAACATTTCATGAAGGATGGGAAGGATTTTTGAAAGTGTCCAGATGACTTTGGAACATAAATCCTCCTTAGTGTAGGTGTTGCCAACAACACCAGATTTTTACATTGTGTTTAGCACCAGCAAGAGCTTGGTGGTGTGACTGGATTTTGGTCTAACCTAGTCAGTCTCTCCTTGCCACTAGAGCATGGAAGGATTACACTGAAATGTGCAGGCTCTGCCTTTAGCCCCTTGGAGAGGGGAATTTCAGCACAGGGCTGTGTCCTCGCATTGCAGCACCGTGCTGATGGCTCTGGCCAGACCTATGAGCCCAGAATTTTTAATGCCTCTTTGCCACACACCCTGCCCAAGTACTTCCAGTCCAGGAGGTCTGAGAGGCGCTCAGTGCGGTTCCTCTGGATGATCCTCTGGCGCCGGTTCTGCTGGCAGAACCCATACAGGAACTGGGTCAGCTGGTTGCACGACTCGTCTGGTGAGCGGAACCTCCTATCCACAATGTAGATCCCTGAGGGACACAAGAAACGCTGAGGTGAGTGGGAATGAAGATGGGATCTGACCTCCTACACCTCCAATCTACCTTCTGTCATGTAGCCTTACAAATGTTACACGCAGTATATTCTTTTTAATGTTAAAAGGCAGCTACAACTGGAACATTTGTTACCATTCTGATGAAATGGAGAGATGGAGAGAAATACACTATTAAAAAAAAAACTTTAATTTTTTTTCTAATTTTCAGGTAGAAATTCAGGTTGAAATTCAGCAAATTCTTCAAAACTCAGAGGCTTTGTTGTTGATGTGTAAGTATGTCCAAAAAGGTTTGAGTTTCTGGATAAAGACTTATCATTTTTATCTCACATAATTTTTAAAATACTGGCTTCTTAAAGAAAACATAATCTAGTGCTTTCCTAGCTTGCTATAGAATTCACAAGTGTGGATGGCCAGAATCAGGCTGTAGGAGAGAGGCTGTGTTTTCTGTAGAAATACAAGTGTTTCCGTAGAGACAACTAACTCACATACATCATTCAACAGACAATTCTGGCAGAGAGAGGGCAGAGGTAAACTTTGCCTCTACATTGCTGAGATTAAAACTTTATTTTTGCCACCTTCCTTAAACCAGAGTGTTGGGAAGAAGAACGTGCCAGAACTTGCAGCCCTCTTAATGGACATGAGAGATGCAAAACTACCTTAATGAAGTGCCTGTAAATTACTGTGCCTACTGAAGCACAGTAATTTACGACAACTTGCACCTATGTTTTGGCAGAGAAGAGCGAGTGACCTGTGTTCTGTGGTCTCTCTGAAGGGTCTTCAAGGCACATTCACCCAGGCAGGTGTATCTAGATTTTGTACCTGGCTCTAACCCTTGCTTCTAGGTCAGGCAAAGGTGGCACCAGTGTGGGGCTGTCACTGCCTGATTGTGACAACAAGCCCAGGTACCTGGAAAGAGGCCCTAGTTTTGGAATATACTCAATATTCACAGAACCACAGAATTATAGAATGTTTCAGGTTGGAAGGGATGTCAAAGATCATCAAATTCCAACCCCTGCCATAGGCAGGGACACCTGGCACTATCCCAGGCTGCTCAGAGCTATATCCAGCCCGACCTTGAACACTTCCAGAGATGGGGCATCCAGTCAGCCCTTGCTAAACAAGGAGGAAAGGATAGGGCGTGCTGTGCCTTGCTCTGTACCTCGGGGAGGCCACAGCTTTAGTGACAACTGCACCAGTTGGAAAACAGGGACCATCAACCCTAAAAGGAGGAGCTACTGAGGCAGAGGATGACTCAAGAGGCAGAATCATCCTGACATACCAGGCACTGGCACTCCAGTTATGAACCACTTGTAAACCTTCCTGAGCAGATCACTATTTGAAGTAGATTCCTTGTATTTCCATGCCTTTTTTTTGAAGTGTACATGGTAATGTAATGTTTGTTTTGGGAGGATCATGTCACTAGTCTTGAATCCCAGAATGTTAAGAGAAGCAGACTTTCCCTGCTTCTTTGGAAGGCTTAGAGTGTTATAACCAGAGGCATTAAAGGGAAATGCTGGGAGACTCTAGACTGATATGAGCAGTGATGAATTTGGAAGAATACGGCAAACAAAAGGTTAAAGGGAGACAAAAAAAATCCCCCAAAACAGAAAGGGTTTGGATAAATATGAAAGCTGAAATCACTTGTCCAACTTAACAAGATACTCGGAGCCCTGAATATATTCCCCTAGTGGATTTCCTTGTCCTAGAGAAACACGAATTTGAGGAGTAACAGCATGGTTGCTGTGCTTTTTGCTTTCCTAACTCAGAGGTGATATTTTGATCTGCTATTAAAGTTTTTACCATAAGCTTCTGGGTCAGCAACATGTTCCTGCATGAAACAGCCGAATCCAGAGAGGTTTGTGGTTACACTGGGAATGCCCATCACAGTACACTCAGCTGCAGAAAGAAACAGGCAAAAAGGGTTTCAGGACAATACATCTGCAATGGTTTCACCTTTAAGAGAAAAAAAAAAAACAAAACAAAACAGGCAGACAGAAAGTCCCATAACAATAAAGCTGCTCTGAAAATGTCTAGTGAAAACTATAATAATGTTTTGTTGTAGATTATGGGAAAAATATAAAAAGAAATTTTAAACACAAAATTCACCCTGTGCTTGCAAACATATGTTTGAGTTTCAGAGCAGCTAAACTGCAAACTTTTGGGAGTGCACTTTTGACACAGAGAACCCCAATACACGGTCAGGACTATTTGGATTTTAAACTGGAGCCTAATGTACACCTGTGTTCATTAGTCGTTCACAGTTCTTTACAAAACTGAATCTCTTAGGAGCATATCAAACTTTGGATTTTGATGGTTTGACAACAGGTCTCTATAGCAGGAAAAAAACCCCAAAACAACCTACAAAATAAAAATTCCACCCCAAAACAGCAAACCCCATAATTAACTCAGGACTGTGTTCACAGTAGATGTGGAGCTAGTTTTATAAAATCAGAAAATGTAAGGATTTTTTGTAGTTTTTTCTGTCACAGCCATGAGTAAGGACAATTGCTTACCCTCCTTAAAAAGTTTTTGCCAAGGAGCCTAAGCCTAACCTAAACCAGCATGCAGACTCTAGTCTTACAAAAGGGCAAAGACATCTACATGTCCTTCACTCGTATGACAATAAAACTGGTGTCTATAAGATAGTTATAAATATAACTTTAAAAAGCAGTCTTTGTTTCTGGGAGACACAAATGGGTATTGACAAAGAAAATACTTTAAGTCAGAATCTATATGCTCTCTGCATTTTTAGAAATTTCCAGTTAATTCAATGAGATTCACTACTACTGCATGTATTTCTGTTAAATAATTTAGTTATGGTATTACATAATTCTCTCAAACTTGTTATCTTGAATTAAATCCACTGAACTACGTCAGCTGGCAGCATCAGATTTCTGGCCCTGCTTTTTTTAATATTTACATTCCTGCACACCTTTTTAAAAAAATCCTTTAACCAAGAATTAAGTTTTTAAAATGATTTCTGGTTCTAAAGCCATAGAAAATCGAAAGATTACACATTAGTATGGGAAAGAGTACACTGCAGGGACAGTTTTGCCAGCTGTAAGACCTTTACATGGCAGACAAAACAGTTTAAAGAGTTTTTGCAGCACTTCAGAAGGAACTGGCTGCATCAACAGAATGGGTGTTCATCTTTCCATGCTAGTTAAGGGTACAAAATTCCTACCTGGAGTGTAGCCCCAGGGCTCATAGTATGATGGGAATACACCAAGGTGGCAGCCTCTAACAAACTCCTCATAGTCCAAGGGCAGCAAGGGGCTTGTTGAAGAAAGAAACTCTGGATGTAGGATCACCTGGATATTCAAAATTTGCGTTAGAGGGGAAAGAAAACCATCATTGATATATTTCAATTATTAATAAGCTTAGGCACCTTTATTCACCCTGGTCTTCTTCTAAGTATCTGGACAACACCTCCTTTGGCCATCCATCTGTTATCTACCACTATAACACATCCTGCCTGTGTGTGCACTCTTGTCCTGGAAATAGGACTGATGATGAACCTCTTTTTCACTGGACAGGTATTTAGCTTTATCCTTCTTCACCAAGGAGGCCCACATGCATTGAGAATTAGGCCTAAAGCTGTGGTATTTATCAAGATTTGGTCTCTTGTACAAAGGTATAGAAGATTTAAAAAGGCCTGGAGTGACAGGACAAGGGGGAATGGCTTCACACTTTCAGAGTGCAGGTTTAGATTGGATATGAGGAAGAAATTCTTCCCTGTGAGGGTGGAGAGGCCCTGGCACAGGTTGCCCAGAGAAGCTGTGGCTGCTCCTGGATCCCTGGAAGTGTCCAAGGCCAGGCTGGATGGGGTTCTGAGCAACCTGGGCTAGTGGAAGGTGCCCCTGCCCATGGCAGGCAGATGGAATGAAATGATCTCTAAGGTCCCTCCCAACACAAACCATTCTATGATTTTACTGGGATGTCTCTTTAGGAGGAGGCCTCAGACAGACACAGCACTTCTGAGCTTCACAGCATTCCATGAAATAAAGGAATGTTCACTGTACTCAACAGATCTCCCAAGAATGGAGGGAATTTTGAAAGCAGACACATTATAGCCCTGTTACCACAAACCTGTGCCTAATTAATCTTGCTGAAAGACACCTCTAAGGACCAAAGTTAATTCATCTGCATGAGTCTCCACGGCTTGGGGTTACTGCCCCACATCCGCTGCTTAGTTGAGAAGTGCATTGTATGTGGTGCCTAGTCAGCTTCAGGAGGAAGAAATGTGAGGAAATGGTTTAAATTGCTCTGGGTTTATCTTTCTGGATGAACATACCACAGCCATTATTCCATGCCCCGGATATGCTTTTAACCCTTCTTAATAAAATTGTCATGCTACTCACTTGAGTAAACAAATGAATGTACTCAACCAGTAAATGGGCTGTAAACTCATTTTGCAAGCTTAGTTGATCCCAGTGATTTTACTGGAATTGCTGAGAGTATTTTTCACATGCCACCTGTGTCTGCCTGGATATGTTGTACCTCTCTCAAAATTACTTTCAATTTGAAGTTTACAGAGGATTTTTTAAAATGGTATTCAGCTCATTAAGTATTAATGCAGGAGGTTCCTGCAGGAGGTAATTCTTCAGTAGTAATGACAGTTTTTTACAAACTTGACACCTGCTGAGAGGCAGAAGATGATATCTGCTCTGTAATGCCTTCAAGCAGTTAATTCTGAGGCATTTTTTACTACATATGTACACAGTGTATCCTTCCCCCCTACTTTTGTTACATCTTGTGTATTATTACCATATTGTGATCTGAGAATTCACTTGAGTTAATGCTCATATGCTAAGCCAGGAAGAAGCAACTGGGAAGTGTAAAAAAATATTTACTCAGGTATAGCCATGGGTTTTAAAAAGAAACTGAGAATAAGTGATATGTCATTGTTATAGATACTTTGTATCTGGCTTTAAAGAAAGGGTTTGAAAGAGGAAGAATTTGCAATTTTAGGTTCAACTTTGAGTAAACAGATCTTGAGATAGTCATAGTTAGAATATCAGAGATTGCCAGATAAAAAACAACTTTGCAGACCTGTGAAAGCAGAAGCTGATAATTTCTGTGGTTTGACAAAGTAAACAAGGAAATAAGGAAAATATTTATTTGCACAAATTTAATTTCAACAGGTGATGTAAACATGAGCATGGCATGAACAGGAATTCTTTCTGCTCAAAGCCCTGGTTAACCTTTTACAGAAAATGCTGAGTATCAGGGTGTTGCTCTTAAGAGATGAATCAATACTCCAGGAATGTCTGTGCTCCAGCCTTGGACCTCCAGTTTTAAGCAAGTGAATCTATGTCAGAGTTTTCTATCTGGGTGCAAATGACCCATGGCACTTTGTTGATTTCAGGAGTTAGCAGCTCCTCATTCAGTGCAGGAGGCAGCAATGGAAACAGCTCCCTAACCTCAGATTTCTAACTCAAAATTAGCTTGGCTAAACAGCACCTGTGGATCTTTGCGCAGTGACAAGTTGTTATTCCTGGAAAGGGCGGAAGAGAGAAGCACTCTAGCAGTATAATACCACCTATCAAGAATTTAACTGCACTCCCCATGCTAGCGATGCAGACTGAGAATGTTTCGAGAAATCCCATTCTGGATCTCAAATGAGGCGGCCAGAACACACCTTCACACGGTCTGTGCGGTTGTTGAACAGCCCAATGCGCCGGATGGTGTTGAGGATTGGGTCATTGCTGTCATCAATCATGTTGTGGGTGGTCACTGGAGGCAAAGAGTGTCTCTGAGCACAGAAAAGGCAATACATAAATCAGACAAACTCTTGGCAAACAGTCTTGTTGCCATTTCCTAAGGCTACTGGAAGACAGTGGCAGATTTTGTCATTGATGTAAGTAAGCTTAATTTACCTCAAAATAAATCAATTTGTACTAACTTTAAGAAGGGCCCGCCATTTAATTTTGAAGATTATTAGTCAATGTTGTATCTCCTTAGCATTTGATCTCACATATTTAATAAAACTGGAAAAATCCAGGCTCAGGAACAACTCAAAGTTCACACTTAGCTCAGGATACAAGAATTATGAATGCAGGTGACTGAAGAAATATCCATGGACTCCCCAAAAGGTCATTTGGGTCATACTCTCATTAAAAACAGTCAGAGCTGATTTTAAATGTTACTGATGAGAAGTGTATTTGCTGAAAACTTCTTCCCAATGCACACAGATCTCTATATGCCATATGCAATCCTTTTACATCATCACATTCATTATTTAGATCAGATGTTTATACAAATAACATATTTTCTGACCTGAGTTGAAAAGATGGCTCTTTTCATAATGCTTATGTCATCTCGGTCAAGAATCTTGTTCAGGTCTGGGATTTCTCCTCTGCAAAGGAAAGACACAACCAATTTCACCATATGATTCATTGTCCTTTTTGTAAAGAAAATGAAGAAATGGCCAACAAGCTCTGATCTGAAGTTTGCTGATATCAACATGAACATTTCCTTTGTTTTCATGACCCTTCTATATTCCCTATATTGCATTCTCCCATGTACTTGCTGATTTGCTAATTAGCTTTTGAAAAAAATCTGAAGAATTGCTTTCTTCCGTTTTTTGGACACAACTTGTTTTTACTGAAGTTCCAGTCATGTCACCTGTGCTTTGGGTCATTCACTTCCAACTGTCCTCTGAAACAATATGACTAAATCACTAACACATTTTACTTTGTCTCTGGTGCTTTTTTAAGCTGAAGTAGACACTGTTGAGTCAGGGAAAGAAAGAAGACTCCAGTCTTCAGGTGGATCAGAAGGCAAAAACTTTTAATGAAAATACCGGGTCTTTTTATAATGTGACTCGCTAAGGTGAGACTTGATTGGTCTCAAAGTAAAAACCTCTCACACTATTGGTGAACAATGAATAGCACACTCTGGAGAACCATGTCTATAAACAACGGTTACAGAAAGAGATAATAATGGTTTTAATTATTTCCTCTAAGATTCCCAGGCTCAGCCTGGGAGAAATTATCTCTGTTCTTTCTTCAACTGAACTGAGAATATCCACACTGAAGTAGTTGGTTTTTGAAAATGGATAAGCCTTTGTGTTACTTAGACATCCCTGTGTCTCTTATGACTCTTTCCACCACAAGCTGTTAAAACCTTTATTTTTTTTCTCTTTGATTTGCCTGTCAAACAAGTGTCCTGTTTATGGTCCCATATCTTCCTACCATGCCCTCCTATGGATGTCAAAATCCCTTACACAAAGAGCAGAAGCACAGAAACAGCACAAGTAAAGCCACCTGAACATGAGGCTCTGCAAGGCAGAGCAAAACAACTTATTCACTCACTTCAGCAAGGCATTGTAGAGTTTCCTTCCAAACTTTTCTTTCACAGATTGTGCAGTGTCCCTAGGAAGATAAATAAATATATGTATAAAACAAGAGAATCCAGGACAAAGACAGTGTAAGAGAGATTCCTGCTGCTGGAAATTACACTGATATACTGATGGAACCTGGGATGCAGAGGCAGACAGAGGTCTGGTTCTCAAAGCTCTTTTCTCCAGCCAGCAGCTGTGCTGATGGATTCCAGCAGAGCTGAGGATTTAACCTGCACCTACAGATGAATGCACTGGGAAAGTCAGGGACAGGTTTTTCTAAGGGATTCCTTCTAGCCCTCTTTTCTGATTAGTAGACCACATGTCAGCTGTGAAAAAAAGAGCATTTATATGACCCTACGTACTGTAACATGATCATGAATAATGGACAGAGAGAGTTCCAGCTTCTCTTGACCTGGAAGAGAGGTGCAAGATATAAGAATTAAACAAATAGGGATTTTCAAAGCAAGCTTCTCCCTTCACTTTCTGCCCTATTTCCCAACTCACAGACTTTTGGAAACAAGTGTTAGACTAAAAGGTAGCTTATCTTAGTTTGCAAAACAAAAAACTTCCTGAAAAGCTCAGGCCAAATTTTAAGCCACTAATGAGGCCTGTGTCAGACAAATGTTATATCTTAGCCAAGGAAGAACTCCAGTTAACCCCTGTTCTGCATGCAAAGAGTCATTAATCTGCCTGTAGCACAAAGTTCTGTTGTCAAACCAGCAAGTGCATTCTAAATTTGAGTAAAACTACTGTGAGTAAAGTTCTCCTTCACAGAACCTTTCCTGCCTTTCTCATTTCTAATTATACTTTAGGCTAAGATGAAACTTGTTAAGTGAAATCTTAAACTTTACCAAGCTGGGAATCCACATACCTGTTTTTAGGTGCTCTTTCCCAGCTCACATAGACACAAGAGTGGATAAGTCAACTTTGGGTGAGTTGTAAAGCAGCCAAATGTTAAGCCACACTGATGCAAACCCCAGCAGACAGTTCCCAATGACTATACTTCCATAGATTGCCATGCACAATATCTAAAATTTAACCCAGATGGGATAGACTGCTTTTCCAGAAGCAGAGGAAAAGAAGGATTTTATACCCCAAGTCAGCCATTACATATTAATTTCTAAGTGCTGTATTCCTTTATAAGTGCCAACCTCTTCTTGTCTAATTTCTGTGACATCCTGAGAATCATTGGATATTATTATGAAATACTGCTAGCAGGTGGGTTTATCCTGGAGTTCAGATTATGACCATGATAATGCTGCATATAGTGATGCAGAGGCTTCTGCTTTTCACAGAGAAGAACAGCTGAAAGCAGTCTTTTCCTATACAGAACCACACAGCAGTTAAAGTGAGGTGAAGGTTAATCCTCTTTGCTCCTGCTTTGCTTTTTTGTTTGAAAAGTTGCAAAATGAGTAGGGCTGTGACAATTTTCCTTTTATAGCTGTAAGTTTCACTGCTTGATTATGGCCACTGCTTGTTGTAGTCGATATAGAAAACTATAGACAATTGTTATCAACTGCCAATCTGCTGGATCACACAGTGCAATTTCCATATTTCTAAATAAAAGAAGATGTGCAATTAGTTTCTTTTCCCACAGAGAAGCTCACTCAGAAAAATGAGCAGGCAGTCTTTGTTTTGTGGGAGCTCTGTGGCACATCCAAAGGGAGTACCAGAAACAGCCAGAAGACATTCAGAACTATGGGTTTTCTAGAGCATTTGACTTTGTTGCTACAAAACAAGTACTACTCGCTAATAGAATAGCAACACAAGTTAACGAAAAATAACTATGGACAAAAAAACCCCAAAACCTAAAAGAAGAATTATTTGACCTTATTTATCTTTCCCATCTCTTTCACACCTGGAATACATTCTAGTTACCCACAAACCTCAGTTGCAGCAAAAAGAAAGAGCATTATTCTCCAGATCAGACTTTTGCATGAGTCCCCATCAGACTGTACCAGGGAATGGCAATTACCAGAGCTGCTTCCGGACTGCTTGTCCTTTCAAGGTTTCCACGTTGAAATTGTTGGTTTTTGCTGGCATGATGAAGAACACGATAACTGTAACATCAGTCTTGTGAACCTATATGACAAGAAATTGAGAGGAATTTAAAATTAAAAAATCTGATAGAGGGTATCAGATTTTAATCCAACTTTAACAGCCAACTCTAAGAATCAGTCACAGGAAATGCCAAATAGACTTTGGTTTTCCAGGAAGGCTCAGATCTTGTAGCTCTTGCTACAAATGAAATTTTGTCAAATCAGAGATGAAGACAGAGATGTCACCCAGTTTCAATTTGGGCAATGAGATCTTCCTGAGCTCTCATGGTTTAGACAACATGGCTTTGGCTGAGCACATAAATTGCAGAAAAATAAAAGTCCTACACACTTTCTCACCTGACACAAACTGTGCTGGCTCAAAGGAGTGAGTGTTTGGTTTACTAGCTGAGGTATGCCTAGGCATGATATGAAGGATTTCCTACTGCAGAGAGAGAACAACCATTTTCTATTTGAAACTCTGCAAAGAACCTGCCAGACATGCAAAAAGCCACATGTAACTTCTTGCCCATCTCTCCCATCCAGCTATTTCAAAGGCAGAAAGCACTTGCTGTAAATTCTGACCCTTTATTTCTAAGTGGTTTCACTTGCTAGTTTCTCCTGTGCATGAGCAAGGTTCAAAATACCAGGTCAATTCATTGCTGCAGGAATGAGGTTTTACTCCTCTCAGCAACTGTTTAATGAAAAGCTAAGGGTGAACTCTGCTCAGAGCTGTAAAAATTAAATTACTTTGAATTGCCTCCATTTCAAATTTTAGATACAAAGCCATTCACTGACATAGAGGGAAATGTATAGTATAAAATAACCTATGGGAGTCATCTATCATGTTAATGCTAACTAATGTTCTTCCCTTTCCTCTCTTCCAAGTGGGTTCCAAGTCCATCGTGCCACAATCCCAGTGTGCATTAACAATCTCTCCCAACATTCATATTTTATTTGCAAAATTGTAGTAAGGTTTGCAAGAAGCAGAAGATAATGTCTCTATAAAATAAAACAATTTCATGCAATGGTATGTATTTTTTAGGTTCAGGCACAATGGGACCTGTTTAGGAAGTCCATTTCCACCATTTCCAGATTTGTAATTAGTACAGGTAGTCTGCTACTCCCAATGGAATTACCTCTTGAATTAATTACTGAGCAAGTGTTGTTAGAACAGCTAATCAGATGCTGGCATCCACACTGGAAGAATAATGCAATAAATTCAGGCTCAGCTTATGGGAGAAGCAACAGTACACTGTTCTATAGAGCCTGGGAAAACTAGCTTCAGTTTCCTTTAATTTCCACTGGCCTTGTTTACCATGGATGTCATCAGGAAGAATTTCTTCACAGAAAGGGTGATCAGGCCGTGGAAGGGGTTGCCCAGCGAGGTGGTGGAGTCACCCTCCCTGGAAGTGTTCAATAAACAACTGCACATGGCTCTTAGTGCCATAGTCTAATTGACAAATGGGTGATTGGCCAAAGGTTGGACTCAATGATCTTGGAAGTCTTTTGGAACCCTAAAGATTTTATGATTCTATGATATAAATCATTAGCTGCAATAAGAGATTCCTGTAATAATTGCTCAGGCAATTCTTTCCCTCTTATCACACAAGACCTTCCACATTACCAGCATTCACAGGTAACAGCCACATAAATGCCACTAAGTAGCTACGATCAGGTAGCTGATGTTGCACAGCACTGCCAAACAGCTGGTTTCTGTTGTGGAAGAAATACTTCAGTTCTGCGAGGTCATCTGTGTGAATGAAGGGATTAAGAAATTCCAGAAAATCCAGAGGCTTTAAATAGCATATTAATAGAAGGTGGTGGTAGAACAATTGTACCTAGGGCTTTGAACATTAGTGATTCTCTCATCCCTGCTGACAGAGCAGTATCATAATTTTTATCCAGATTTTCCGTATCATTCAGCTGTTAAGAATACAAAGGACAGAGTCTAGGACAACAGCTAATTGATCCTTGCCAGATGACTGAAAACCAATTAGCATTATTAGCATTTTTTTCTGGGTTTTCTTTTCAATATATTAGTCTTTGGGACACAACTAGAGACATTTTCAATGCCCTCATTGTAGGTGGTAAGGGCTCTGCCCTGTGATTTTTAACAACACCTTGCTCCTATCTTCATTGAAGTACTCCATAAAGGCATTTAGAAACATTGCACCAATTTTGTTGCTGAGGAAACAGAACCACAGCAAACTGAGTGGCTTCCCATTGCTTTGCACAACACCAGTGTCACTTTGTGAATTTTAATGCAACATTCCCATCCAATGGGATAGCAGAGATTTAAAAGATCATAAACAGGTCCTAATGAACTAAGCAATTTGCTTAAAAGGATGCTTTTAAAATGCAGCCTTAAAGGCTTACTTTTATTTCCATTATAATATGTAAGCCATCAGGGTAAACTCTACAATACTGTTTTCATTACTTCTCTCTAAAAACCAGGGAGGCAACCATGGATTAACTTCTTGAACTATGTAATCAATTGTTTTCAATTATACAATAAATCTGTCAAAACTGTGTGAAATCATCATATATTCTGATGGTTCAGGAGGAGAGCCCTATGAAAACTGTGAATACCCCATAATTACTTTCCTATAAACCAGAGTATTGAAAGGGAATTCTTGTGGGTGACTTCCACAGTATGGTCAGTTTGAGCATAAGCTCTATGCTTTTAACAGCTGTGTAAGCTTTCTTACCCTCAGCAAAAAGTTTAATCTTGATAAGGCTTCTAGAAACATATCAGCTCCTTTGTTGGAAAACTCATATCTCCCAGCAATGAAGAAAAACAAGGTCTTGTCAAGATCGAAGTCAAGGTGGCTGAAAGCAAGAAAACAGACAAGAACGAAGTATTTCTTGAATACAATCAAATAAAACACACAACAGCTTTCTATTCTGGAGGAACTTATTATCTCCAGAGAACAATGAAAGTGAGACTTTTCTGCTGTGCTTTAAACTAACTTAATCTGACAAACTGCATCTTGAGTAAATAACAAACACATCAAGATCTGCTGTCTGATATCACAATCTGTTAAGTACAGTCAGATCTGGTGTCTAAAATTCCCTTAGCTTCTGACTGAGAAATCCCAGACAGATATTTGAATAAGCTGGTTTCAACATTTCCACTCCTCTATGAAGTACTTGTTAGTTCTCCTGCTTTGGTTCTTGCTTTAAATAGTGTTGGACAAGCATTGCTAATTTTTGAAAAGTAAAAGCATACCCATAGAAATGACCTCGAATGAACTCTTGGATCCTAGCCTTGTACATGGAATGCAAATTCTGAAACTCATGCATTGCTGAAAATTTCTTAATGTTCAAGCCATTTGGGGTGACAACATCTGGAAAAGCAAAGAAAAGGCAGAGGTAGACATCTTCACAGTCAGAGAAATCTTTAAGGAAAGAACCAACATGTCTCTCAAGTTTATGTGAACAGGTTATGTCTTTATGTTAGTCAGGGGGAGGGAACAGCACTGCCTCCACAAAGCTCTTGCACATGGCTCTCCACTGTCTGCAGCATCAAAGCAGCCTTCACCTGTCCTCAGCATTGGGTAGACCCTGTCCTTTTGTCCTGTCAAGACCCCAGTAATGTCTCCATTGAGCCATACATTTGTGGTGCAACTTGCCCTTTACCTCTTGATCCTTGATATCACTGTTGCTGGCTTGATCACTACAGATTGAGAGCCCTTGGAAGCAGAAATTGTGCTATGCCCTTGTTTACTGCATGGCACAAGAGATACCCATTCTATCAAAACTTCTGAGGATTTATCAAAAATGGGAGCATATAAGAAACCATTATAAAACAGCCTCTTTCCAGTAATCAGTTGCATTTCCCCTAAAAACATCCACGGAATAGTACACTTTACATTTTTACTGCTGCTCTCCTCCAAGATTCTAAAGGATCTTACAATTAAAATTTGTTCATTTCCAGCATTTTAAAGGTAGAGTTTTAGGATATACACAGAGGACAGGCAGTGAAATTCAGTCACTCTTAGCCCTCCTGGTAGATTGCTGCAGCTATTCAAAGGCTTGCCCCAAATCCAGTCCAAGTAAATGGAAAGAATGCCATTTTATGTTCTTTGAGCTGGGTTATGAATGGAAATGAAAGGGAAGGCCAGTTCCTCAGCAGATGTATTTCATGACAACACAACTGACTGAAACAGATCCATAATAATTTATGGTACTTGCCTGACATTATGCAAATGTCACAGCCATTTTTAATTATTTCCTTGAAAATTACAGTCTGTTTCAGCAATATATGTGTTTCCCTGGCACGTAATGATCTCTGGTTAAACTTTCACCTGTACAATGTCCTGAAACACTCTAGGTTAAACTACAACATATAAAAATATAACCTTTAGTAGTAACCATGAAATAGCAAAAGTCTTGATGGATCTGTTTCTGGAATAACACTTTTGAAATTAAAGACCAGGAAATCTTTACTTGTTAGGTGCTTAAGATTTGGTTTTCAATGACCAAACAGTCTTGGTGAACCTGGGGAGAAAACTTGTGCTTTTACCTTCTCCTGTCCAGCCCTGAAGAATTCTCTGAACAAAGACCTCTGTGGGGAGGTAACAGAGCAGAAACATCCTCCATTGTCTTTATTAACAACACACTTTCTCCGTTTCTTGCTCTGTGTGGGAGAACTGGCTCATTCAGGACACAGCTTTGAGACTCCAACCATTCAAAGTCTTCCCAATACAGGAAGAATCCCTTCTCCAGGTATTTCTGGCCAGCTTCCTTCCACACTCACATTCATTCATGTCCACATTTATCAGGGAGTTTTGGAGAGTCATACCCACCAGAAGCATCCTGTGTATAATCTACTCTCACATCCTTTGGTTTAACTGCAGCTTCATTTATCCTTTCATGAGGACTGGGGCTCAATCCATCCCTTGTTTAAGGCTTTGAGATGCATGACAGACATGGTGGCCCAAAGAACTTAGTTCATTATTTCTGCTCAACACACAGGAATATTTTGAACATGCGTGAGTGATGAAGTGACGAAAGAAAGATTGGCCCCTATGCTGTTTTTTTGTTTTGCTTTGTTTGCTTTTGTTGCTGTTGTTATTGTTTAATGAAATAACAGAATTTTTGCTTGAAAAATTGTCCCAAGTAGGTCAAAATCAGAATGTTTTGACTTCTGTATTTATAGGAAAGAAACTGGCATTGATTTAAGTAATATTAAAACAGAATTAAGTTTTCTCTTGATAGGTCACTAACATTTAGAGTAGACTTCTACTTTTTTCAGAGTTTCCATCTATGATTTTGATCAAATACATACAGATACGAAGTCTAGATCTAGAACTCAATTGATACCTGAATCTCTTGGAATTTTGATTCAGTCTTCTCTACTGCTAATGAGAAATATGTTCTATATCTGAGTGAAAACATTAGAAATCCCATAATACCAGTTTTCAAATCACAAGAATATAACTTATGATCACTGACAAAACCTGCTGGATACATCAAAGATACTCAAGCTTTTGACAAATATGGTTTGATAAATTGTTGATCACATAACAACTGCAGCAAGTGGGATCAGTATAATGCAAGCAGTCATTCTGCTGGGTTTAGACTGGCAAACTGGCCTTTGTCCTGCTGCAAAAGCTCTCTATGCAATCAGGTTTATTAAATTTTAAAGGGACTTCTCCAAGAGATTTATAATTTAAATTATAATCCAAGTTTGATTTTAAAGAGGAGTAGCAGAGACAGCTCAATTTAGCACATTTCTGAGTTATTTTTAGCTAAAAATTTATTTGAAAAATTTTTATCTCAATAAATGCAAATAAAATTTAATTGTGCCAATTCAGCATCCTCCTTTTAAAGGTTTATTTTTAAAATGGATGGAGAAATGCACACATGCTTTCAGTATTCATGTTCCTTTGCAGAATTCAAGCTCTATGACCTACTGAAGGATTGCTGGGCTTTCCAAAAAATCAATGTCTATGCAGATTTCACAACTTCAAAGAGAATTAATAGTGTGAGAATAGGTTCCTGCACAGTTTATTTGTGGTCTTGGATTCAGAGAAACTATTAAAGTACTTATTCCCATCAGAACATACTTTCCACTTAGAGTCATCTCTTCGGATTTGGGGTGACAATTTCTACTCAAATTCTTTCTAGCTATGTCAATATGAAGCATGACATGTGTCAGTAGTTTTTTAACCCAAACATTAAGTATATTTACTTGCTTTCTTCAAAGTTGCAAGAATAATCACAAAAAGCTCAGGCCTGTGAATCTCTGTGCATGGAATTCTCTTCAGTTTCAAATGATGTTTTATCTGTGAGCAGTCTGGAGATTTTCTTCCCCAGATTAAACTGGATTCAGACTCATTTCAGTCTCCTAAAATCCCAAAACACAGACTATGATTTTCAGTGGTAGCTGTGGTGGGGAGAAGCCCCATGCCCATATAAAAAAAGCTTCAAAAGTCTGATTTTCAGAGTGCTCTGCACTTTGTAAAAATCAAGACCTTTCAGAGATACCCTAGTTTAAATGACTGAACTTCAGTGACTTTTAAGACATGGCTTTTTTGCTTAAAATAAAATGAAAAAGATAATCTAAGTCCACCATCCTACTGACAACTAGTCAGGAATGAGGCAAAGAATTCCATGAACAGCTCTTTTGTTTGGGTTCAGGAACCACAATGTGGCTTGAAGTATTGAAGTTAACCAGGATAACAATCCCAAACTATAATCAGCACTGCAAATCAACCAATAACTCTACAAAGAGTAAGCAAAAAGTCCCCCAAATAAACAAACAAACAAGCAAAAAATCCCAAGAAAAAACAAAAACAAAACAAAAACCAAGCCCAAACAAAAACAATAATTTGAGCACTGTTTTATTTAAAATAACCAAGATACCAACACACCTGCTAAATAGCCTCCAAAACTGTTGCGCAGTTTTTCCCTCATGCTGCTTACCTGCAGATGGAGTATTGGGGTTTATCCCTATAAAGCACTGATTTGAAGAGAAATGTGATGACACATCAAACTGGGATCACGACCTTACTCAAAATCCATGCATGGAACAGGACAAGGTTTCTAAGCTTCATATTTCATGAGACTAATATCAAGGGGAAAACCAGACAAATTATTGGGCACAGAACTATTTTTCAAACTCTACTCATTGGTCTAATAGAAAATATTTTATCTATATTAAGCTTACCATGGTTCAGTTCTGAAAGCATGGAAACCCTGCCACAGACAAAATTTCTGAAGCTGAGGAGTCCTGGCAAAAAATAGCCTAACATCCATGGAAAATTGGTTAATCCCTGTAGCATAGCCAGACACACCTGTGCATGTGCTCTTTCTCTTCATGCTTGCATACCTGCCTCTATAATGTTCATTCAGTCTAAGGAAATGTGGGCATTCTGAGGAAATAACAGTAAAAAAAAATAATTTAAGTCTTACCAGGGCTTTTTTTAAGCATATGTTCTGCTTCTGTGGCTGTGATCTGGGAGACTGTGGTGAACACATGGGCACAATGCACAGATGCCCGCTCCATACAGTACCGATGGTAAATCTGCCTCTCTCCAGCCTCCTTGTCAATGTCAAACTGTTAAATAACAAAACCAACAAAAACGACACCTGTGTGACATGACCATCAAACTGTCTCCCTCAGGGAAGGTTTCTCCTGCTAGGCTCCTTTTCCCCAGGGAATGAGAACGCCGTGATTATGCTGCTGTTTGTCACTGAACTATTTTATCAACTTCAAGGAGTTTGCAAGAGCAAGAGAGCTCTCAGATCCTGCTTGTTCCTCAAAGAATGGCAGCTCTGCCATGGAAGGAAATCTAGATTAATGATCCCATGAAAGGTAAGGATCTGTGGAATTTGGCCTGCTGGATGGCAGTGTATCATGTTGCCGCTTCCACGGGCTTGTTGGAAAATGGGAGAGCAGGGAGGTTGCTGGTACTGAAGGGAAGAAAAAAGGAATGGGGATGAGGATAGATCCTGGGGACTTGGCAGAATGGTGGGAATCACAGGTAGGTGAGAGAGAAGTGGAGAGGCAGGATATAAAGACTCAGTCACAAATCCCAAGGGAAAAAAAGAAAACAGAAAATGAGATATTTTCTGACACTCAGAGATATTCTTCCTCCAACTCTGCCACTGTTACTTGCTGCTTCTTATATTTCAGTTTGAACTCCCTTAATATTTAGAGGCAGATGCAAGTTAAACTGCTAGATAAGACATTCCAAACACTCAAGTATTTCTAAATCACCTTTAAATCTTTCAGCCACCCTTTGGTTAACTGAGCTTATATTATCCTGATGCAAAAAAAAACCCACACAATTCCCTTGAGTCCACGCTTAAAGGTTCAAATGTTCACTAACAGCATCCACTGCAAAATCACTACAACATAGTCTTAAAAAAGGTGTCAATGCTTTCAATTAAATCACAATCCTCTTAAATCTTCCATGATGTTTCACTTCTGGAAACAGAAGTCTTGAGCCCCTAAGGTCAACAGCATGGGCACCCAGTGGCCTGTGTGAGTTTCATGGAGGGTGACAACAACTCTCAGTGAGCTCTGTTGTGATCGCTGCCTAATGCTGGCTGCACAGTCTGATTTTGATTGCATTTGACTGTGTAACTTCATTGACCATAACAGATTTAACCCTACCACAGGCAGGGCAGACAGCACTTTCTATAGCTAGGACTGTGTGACCCCTGCCATGGCCAGCTGCTTTTAGCACTTCAGAACTTGGACAGAAGTAAAGCTATTTAGACTGTAACCTGTACTGCAAAGCTTAATGCCGGTACAGAACATACTGTGAGAAAGTTGATGCAATGTGAACCATTACAGGGAACTACAGTGAAGCAAAAAACTTCTTATTTTCACTTAGATAGGTGTAGACACAGATGTAGATATCTTATAACTGCTTTGCTGACAAAGTTAATTGCTTTTATCTGCTTTAATTCTGCAGCAGCGCTGCACTACTAGTGGGAAAGTGGCTTCTGCTGTGTTAGTTGAAAGTGTCAATATAACCACCCTAGTACAATCAAAAAAAAAAAGGACTCCTGAAAAATCTCAGCTGAAAACTTCCAAAGAAACTAGATTCTTTATTCTGGTATTGATGATCCTCTAGGTCAAGAGATTTTCTACATTTGCCAAGTACAATTTACATAATGTGCTAAATATTATGATACCATTTCTCAGTTTTATCCTCATATATCATCTTTTCTGCATTCCCCATGAGAATTTTAAAGCATGAAATACAAAGGATGATATTTTCTCTAGAATATTCATCTCACTTGTCACAGAAATACAAGTGGTAGAAAGAGCACAAAGAAGAGAAAAATAAAGGGGAACTCATTTGGCTCCTTATAGTGCCACAGGTCTTGGCTTACACTAAACTGATTCACAAGCAGCTCTTAACTGCATATTTGATTGTCTAAACATTCAGTGAAAAAAAGATACAAAATGGGACAGTTCTTTAGCACGCTAGACAAACACATGAATGGGATAGGCACAACTACACAGTCAGGACCATGCAAGTCTTTTCAAACACATCTGGCTTTCTATTAAAAATACTTTTGAAATTGCTAGCAAATAAATAGCTGGTCAAACTTCAAAGCAAGAATGGGTTTTAATTACAAAATGTGATTAGAAATTAAATTTGGGACATGCTCACCAACTGTTGATATACACTCCCTGTAACACTGCTGGGACAAAGGTCCATAAAAAGATTGTTAAGCATTGCGACTTATTTCTAGTTAACTCTTATTTCTTTGGTTGTATGAAAAGACTTTACATATTTAACACATATCGGTGCTTCTTTCTTCATTGCTATTCATTTTTCCATCTTTTGTAATTGGAAAATATTTTATTTTGCATATGCTTGTGGGGCTTTTGGCATGTTTTTGCAAAGGTACACAATTCCACAAGTACAAAGAGAGGTCACGAGGTTCTCACACTTCATTTGCTCTCACTCTCCAGCAGCTTCCAGCACCAATCAGTAAAGCAAGACCTTGACTTTTGACCTCAGTGTGGAGTAAGAACTGTGTACTTCTGAGCAGGCTAGACAAGCGACTTCAGAAAAGAGCCTTAGCCAAGTTGAAGGGCAGGTTAAAATTAGCTGATGAGACAGTGCAGGTGACAAATTTAACCCACCTAGTCCTGTGCAAAGACAGCTCAGCCTGCTCTGACAATCTCTAGAGTTAGAGGCACTGTGGGGCATGGGACAATATGCTGAAACCAGCAGGACACCAGGGCAGCTCCTCACCCCCAACCCAATGTTCCTGCTCAACACTGAGCCCTGCTCTCTTGTCCAGCCCAGCTCAGGCACCTGTGAACTCTGTTCCATATCCTTTGTGTTCAGCCAGAGCAAAGCGAGATTCCTGTCAAGTGCGTCACACCTGCTTTTGTTTGTTTGCTGTTATCAGCAAATGGGAACACTAGCTAAGCCACAGATCACAGCTGCATCAAGAGAAAAAAAAATCTAAGTCAGATTAACTGTTTACAGAACCCTTTAGGGTAGAATAGACTCTTAAGGTCCTTTAGGCCACCCATTTCAGTGATATTTAAAGACCAACAACTTCAATATCCACATCCCTGTAAATTTATTGGAGGATCCTCTCCTTCCCTGACTGGTAGAAACCAAGCAGATTATTAGAATTTACAAGATGGCAAGGATTAGAAGGGGAAATTATTTCTTCATAAGGCCATTCTAATTTCAAAGCAAAAGAGGAAGATGTTCCACAGGTGCAATGCTTTGGAGTAAAATTTGCATTTGCTGCAGTGCAATTCTGAGGGAAATTTTTGGTTCATTTCTGTGGATCCATGTAATGAGCATAACATCTCATTGATCTCTTAAAATTCAACATGTTAGGGGGCACAGCAGGTAATCACTGACCCTCCCAGCATGACATTCTGAACTCTGAGTGAAAAATAAGAGAATATTAAGCAGTTATGTTTCTTCTGGAAACAGTCACTGAAGTAGTAAATCCAAATCAGCCATTCCTACTTCAAAATTATAAAGATGAATTGCAAAGTATTTCCAAAATACAGGAATCATTTGAGAGTGGAAAAGGAGGCAGACTATGTTAGCCATCTAAATTCTTGTCTGAAAAAAAGACAAATTATTTGTCACAGTCTACAAAGAATCTCTAGATACTGATATTAGGCTATGCTCTCCTAATGAAAAAAAAAAAAAAAGGATGGTGAAAACCAACAGAAGTTAAACCAATACAAATTCAAACTGGAATTAATATATATAATTTTCTTAAATAAAACATTACGACACCTTGGCAGAAATAATACAGACTACCCTCACCATTTAAACCTTATCTCAAGAGTGGATAATATCACTGTAAATATTTTGTAGTTCAAATAAAAGGTACAGGATTGATGCTTGATGATTTTAAACAGAATATGAAATAATCTGTCTTTTAAAAGAGTGGTACAGTCAAGTTCAAAGTGATTCTGCAGGACCAAGGAACAGTCAGAGACTGGTTTGAAGTTCAAATTCCTTACTGACCAAAAGGTAGAATGGAAACATTTTTGCTTCCAGCATAATCTCACTGGCTGCTGCTGTCTGAATTAGGTAAGAACCACTCCCTTAAAATCCAGCTTACATCAAATTTACCTCCAATTGACTGCTGCCTTGTGTAAAGAGAACTTTCATTCTGGTAAAGCTCTGCCAAGCCAAAAGATAATGAAATTTACACTTCCTGGCTTAAATCAGATTTCCATCAGCTGCCCTGCTGACAAAGTGGATTAGCTTTGTGGAACAGTCAGATCAGTGATAAAATGGACAGTACAGCACTAAGTGGAGTGAGATATTGTCAACAAAAAAGCTCTTGACTATTCATTTTCATTGGGATTTTTAGTACTTTTCCTTTTAGACTTCTTGGGACAGGATTTTCCACCACTTTGCAAATGGGATTCAGCTGCACATGCATGAGCTGAATGAAAATATTCCAAGTTCTAAACAGAAGTGTTACACATCAGCAGGGCAACCTAAGGAAAAAGACAATGAAGACTATGACTAACCTTTTTTCCTTCTCCTTTTCCCATTAAACTCAAAGTGGTTTTTTTTTTAGCAAGAAGCATCAGAGGCTGAACCAGACAAACTTCTCCATGATGCCAGGCCAGTTGTCCCAAAAGTAATTCCAGGTTAAATAATTTCCCAAAATGATCTGTATATTCACCTAGGAACTTGTCTGGATCATCAGTGTCTCAGTCAATTTATGAAAGGTGCTGGTCTATTTAAAACTCTAGAGGCATGAAAGGATACAAAAAAAATCTCCACGCAAAACAAACAAAAAACTAAATCAGTCCCCTTAAACAATGGGGAAAACAATAACATTCTCAATCTTCAGCTGAGAAGCCAATTCCTCCTGAAGAGAGAAAGGCTCCATAGCCACAGAGATTTTTTCACAGACATTCCTACCTTTTAGCAATTGTGGTTCAGTTCATCTTGGCAACAAACATACCCTCACACACCAATGTAAAAACTACACTGGACATGGAGACAATGGGAAAATACCCTGTTGGTTGGACTATTTAGACATGCAAAAGTTCTTACACTTCTTTTGGGAATTAAACTCATAAAAACCTCTGCTTGATATTGAAATTAGGAAGTGTTGAGTTTGAAAGAGTTCAAGACAGTAACCCATAGATTTAGTGAGCAGTCCCTGGCCCAGTCATCTACCCAGGGTTCTTCAAATAATTAAAAGTAAATAAAAATAAAGACACTGCCAGTTATTGTACATGCCACCCCATTTTGTTCTTTAGGTTTTCCCTCCCTTCCTTCCTCCAGGAAGAGAGTGAATTAAATGTGAATCTAGGTACTAAAATATGTACTAAATAGTAACATGACAGTGTTACGTCTGGTGGCCACTGTGCTCCTGAGCACCTGCTAAGAGTTTAACACCCAGGTTCTCACTGGAGCAGAGGCAGATAAATTCCAGCCAGCCGAGATGAACTGAGTTAAAACTGTAAGAATATAAGAATTGTATAAGCTCAAACCTTAACCACAGAATCATTAAGGTTGGAAAAGACCTCCAAGATCACTGAGTCCAACCTTTGACCAATCACCACCTGGTCAATTAAAGCACAGCCCTGAGTGCCATGTCCAGTTGCTAAGCCGTAACGCTGCCTAAGAACCAGGATCCCATCTCTGACTGAGGCAAAGAGCACTTGGCTCAGGAAGTGGTCAGGACTCACACAACTTTACAGTCTTACATCCATAATACACCCTCCTGTCTTCCAGCCATCCACAGCTCTCCTCTACTAGGCTGACTGGGTTTGCAACCCCCCAGAAAATATCCTCTTACAGATTACAGGCTGACACGTGCCCTCAGCTCGTGGAACAGGGAGTTTTGGTAGCCTACAGCTCAGGACTCTACTGATCTTGCATCTTCTAGCCCTGCTTATCTATGGGGATGGCTTGACAGTGCAGTGGGAGAGTCCTGCACTGTGTGGGCAGTGCAGAACTGTCTACCAGGCATCCTAACTCAGCATTTTGTGGACTGTGTTGAGGAGCAAAGACATGAGGTTTCCTCTTTTCTCTGTATGAGCTGCACACGCCTGATTGCATCAGGCACAATAAGGCCATGCACTTTCGTTCTGTGCTGCAGCCATTTTTCTGTGACATCTGGCACAACACATCCTGGCAGCTGCATCCTTCCCTGTTGCCATGATATTTTCTGGAAAATCCTTTTGCCAGGATTTCCTCCTGAGAAGCTGAGGAGCCTCAGGAAAGAAATGTAAACAATAACTATCTGCTGCTCTGGAATGAAACAGGTGCATCTTCGATTGGTCCATGTGGATTGTTTTCACTTGATGACCAATCACAGCTACCTGTGTCAAGGCTGTGAGCAGTCACAAGATTTTGTTATCATTCCATTCCTGTCCTTTCCAGCCTTCTGATGGATCCTCTCTATTCTTTTAAGTATAGTTTTAGTATATCATTTTAATATAATATAATAGAATATCATCATATAATAAAAGAGCCTTCTGAAACGTGCAGTCAAGATTCTCATCTCTTCCCTCGTCCTGGCACCCTCAAACACAACCATACCTCCCCCCATCTCAGCTGCTGCCTGGTGGGAACTGTGCTCTAGCTGTGAAACACGGGTCAAACGTGAGAACTTAATCATACTTCAAAGGAAAACATTTATACAATAGCACTGAAACAGGAAACCCAGCTATTTTTGGGATGGGATGGGGTGAAATGCTCTAAAAAAATATTGCTTTCTCCAAAGATTAAACATTAGGAAGCCCTAAAGAATCTTCTTCACAAAGAAAATTGCTTGCTTGGCCTAAATAATTTGCTGCTAGAAGGTAACAACAAGAATATGTCTGAAGATCTAGCTGTTATTTAATTAGGGTATTTGAGATCAAGCTCTTGTGTCTTAACTGACTTTTGGGCCACGGTGATCTTTTCACAACCAAAGAGGCCCTCACTAAGATAGTTAACTTTTCCAGTTAAGTTAGAGGTTTAGCATCCTACAGAAATATTAAACAATCGTATAACAGCATGACATAATTTCCTCTATTAGTACCTTTAAATGTCAACCCACAGAGGTTATAAAGCATTACGGCCTAGAAATCCACAATTTCCTTCCCTTAAATATTATTTACAGCCATTTTGAATGATTTTTGAAATTGATACTTATGTTTCATTCCACATATTCTTAGAATAAAATCTGAATAGACATTTCTGTATTTGTGACAGAGCTGATGGTTACCAATGGGATTTGTGAGGCTTTGCAAGATGGACAGTGCTTTCATACATAAAGGTGTTCATGTCATGTGTGGACAGAAAAAATTATATTAATACTGTGGCTAGTTTATAAATATATTAAAGTCTGCAGCTTTAGTCACATGTGAGATCGTTAGATTACCTTTTGAGTACACAGACAAGGGTGAGGCCCCCAAAAGTATTCATGAAGAGAAAAAAACCCAGTTGCTTTGAGGAAAAAAAAGACTACTTTCCAGACTGCTTGCAGCTCACTCAATTAACCAGAATCAAAACAAACCATTCTACATTATACACACAGAGAGATTATGAGCAAGCAGGAGTGTCTGCACTCCTACACAGCAGGACTGTGATGTTCATGCTGCCTTAATGCCTAACAACCTAACAACCATAACTAACTTAGGAGTCTAGGAGAGATGATTTACAAGGGCTTGGAGTGACAGGACAAGGGGGAATGGCTTCAGAATGACAGAGTGCAGGTTTAGATTGGATATGAGGAAGAAATTCTTCCCTGTGAGGGTGGTGAGGCCCTGGCACAGGTTGCCCAGAGAAGCTGAGGCTGCCCCATCCCTGTCCAGTGTCCAGCCCCTGTCCAGGTTGGATGGGGCTTCGAGCAACCTGGGACAGTGGAAGGTGTCCCTGCCCATGGCAGGGGTCAGGATGAAATGATGTTTACCAAAAAAACCCAAACCATTCCATGATTCTCTGTTTCCAAGTCAGGCCAGCAGCACACAACTGCTTAGGCCTTGTCTTTGGGAGACACAGCTCCCCAACATGTCAAGCTTCAAACATACAACTGAAAATTACCAACTATGTAATTTTCTTCACTGATTTTAGCCAAGGAAGTGCATGAATGATGTCGTTCTTTTATGTACCTCTACCTTTACTAAGTGCTGGAATGGAAAAACCTCTTGAATTCAGGCTTGTCTGTGACCATATGAGAAATCCCAGATCAGGCAAAGTACCCCAATGAGGGCAGTGCTAAAAACATTTGAGTCCTTGAAACACTGGTTTGTGTTATGCTTTGAGTGGAAAGAGTACAGTGAATATCAAAACCAACAGACAGTATACACACATTCCAAGAAACACATGTGAGTCTTTTGTACTCAGAAAGTACTTCCTACATTTGCCAGTTACAAATAAGGCCTAACCTGAAATGCCTGAAATTAGGACTCACTAAGGTTTGTAAAAATTAAGAAGCAGGCTGGGGGGAAAAAACCTCAAAGCAACCACGACCCACTGCAGTTCTGGGGTGTTTTTAACAAGAGGAGGGCTATTGGTTATTTTTTCTACTGTGTTACATTAAGAAAGAGCGTTGTGAGGCTGCACCTGAAGGGTTAGATGTTGGCTAGAGCTGAATAGGTTTTACTAGTTTCTACTGAGCTTTCAAACCTGTCAGATGAGACAAAGGCACTCATGCCTAGACTTCATGATCTTACAAATACCATTTCTCATGCTCTGGAATCAACAACCAGCTATGGGTCAGTCATAAGCAATCACACAAGACAGAAAATACAATAAATGGTGTAACACCGTAAACAGAAGAGGAGCCAGGAGATGATTAGCTAAAAAAAAAAAAAAACCAGAGAAGAATGAGAAAAATGTCTCTTACCTGGTCCAGATTGTTATAAAAGTCAATACTGGCTGCACACAAGTATCTCCCAAGCAGAGTCGCATGGGTAGTAAAAATTGTGGCAACGGGAAGTTTTTGTGATCGAGACAGGATTAAACCCACTCCTGCCTGCCACTCGTGGAAGTGGGCAATTATATTTGGCTTGTCATCAAACTGACAGGAAAGCTGAAAATACAAAGAAATACATAAAACATACATTATCCCATCATCCCAGCCCCAGAGAACTTTTTTTTTTTTTTTTGGTGAAGCCTTTTGTATGCTTGCTTTCCTTCTTGTGACAAAACAATACAATTTTAAGAGGACACTTGCCTTGATTTTCATCAGCCCTAGTCCTCAGCCCAAGAAAAACGTGTGCCTCTCTAGCACCTCAGAACAGACCCCTTACTAGAGTGTCAGAGGACTCTGGCAAGCACAGTCGCTCAAGACTCTACGCTGGGCAGCCCCACTACCTTTCTTCTTGAAAAATATAGTTGAATGACCACTAAACATTTACATTTTAAATACAAATTTGATTTACATTAAGATCAACTTCCTAAAAATTTTGGTTTTCAAACTGGAGAATAGGAACCACATCCCAAGGTGGTTTTGGTCTGCAAATTTCTAGATTTAAAAATTGTACCTCTTTCAAAAACCAGGCTGTTAATGATCCAAAAATCACAGCATCGTTGGCTTCTCGGTCATGAAAAGGGATCCCTATGTTGCTGACTTCCCAAAATTCACTTTTCCACTTGTCCAGGTTCCAAGCTGCTGATCCTATATCAAACAGTAAGACATAAGGGCTGCCCTCTATCAGCCATCTTCCAAAAAAGACCTATGGAAAAGAGACAGGGAAAAGAAGGATAGAAAGAAAATGTTAAAGTGAATGCAAAGGCCAGTTAGCACAACAATCTTCATCCATCAAATCTGAAGTGTTTCACACAAGGAATGTGTATTCACAGTCCTACAACCCAGGACTTGCAATTTTCTTTGCAAAATACATGGAGCAATACTGAAGCAAAGGAAACTATAATCTTGATGAACATTTTATTTTTAAGTCTTTCATTTTAGATTTTCATTGCAATAGTAACTTATTTTCCATGAAAGAAAAAAAAGGTTAGGAAGACCGCACTTGCTTGAATAATGAGGTCTTCTTATTGAAGTATCTATGCCAGTTCTGTTCTTATTTTAAAATTATTATTTTCTTTTATTCATTGTCTCCAGTCTTTTGCTGTTTATGTTAGATTACTGGGGAGAGGTTTTGTAGGACTGATGCTTGTTGCCTGTATCTACCATGACATTTCTTCCTTCTTCCCAAGCAGCACAGAGGGGAAGGATTCCACTTCCATTTCGAAGAGTGGAAGGATCAATCGGAATACCTAAAAGGATCAATCACAACACCTAAAATCACATCAGGCTAAAAATGCAGCTTTCCTGCTTTGTCTCCATTGGTATAGTTAAACATTTCTAAGAGTATTTACAACTTCACTGCCATCACTGGCTTGCCCAACCCAGCTGGGCCCACACTACAGTCTGCAAATTCAAATAATTTCACATTAAATCTACCACCAAAACAACTGGGACCTCAGGAGTTGAACCCAGCCCTGACACTGCAATGAGCTGAAGAGAGGTCAGGTCTTGAAAACAAGTAAGATAAAAGGTTTTGGCCTGTTTTCACAAAAAGTACAAGGCCTAACAAAGACTGGTTTGCTCCTTTTCACTCCTCATGTATTTATTTCAGACTGTCCAGATTTGCTATTAAGGAAAATGAGGTTAAAAAAGCAGGGAACCCAGACTTCATCTAAATACATGGTCAAGTTGTGGCAAGGAACACACCTGACCTGAGAAGTTTGGAAGCATTCCTAGGTCCCCTGGTTTAAAACCATCCATTGTGATGCATAAGCAAAATCCAGACATAAATGTTAAGAGGATAAGTGCAGCTCCTGGAAACGAGAACGTCATTATTGGAGATCAAAGCTATATTTGGCATCCCTGGGACAGATTTGCTGCTGTATATGAATACTCCAGTAGCACCATGCACATGTTGGGCTGGCAGAGGTAGCTGATCAAATTAGATGCATTGCTGGAACAACATAAGGCATTGCAATCAATCTGCCCCAGAAGTCTTTCTGTAACAGTCTGTTACACAGGATTGTTACAGCGGCAACATGGAAAACTTGATCAATCACCTATGAAAATATGATAAAGATAAGAAATGACAGATTGGACCTTTGAGTTTGAGCCTGTACAATTCAAGCATCATGTCAGTGTCCCCAACAGACACCCTCCCAAGCTGTGGCACATACTCATCCAACAAAAGGCATCTGCACAACCGGGCATTAGGTCCTAAGAACAGCACAACTGCTCTTACAAAGGGAGACAACACATTGCCAGTGTCATAGCTAGTGGCAACCCAAGAACTTCTGCACTGAAGTGTATCAATCCCCTCAGCAACAGTAAGAATCCCTCCCTGCTGCTGCCTCTGATGCTCTCCACATCTGTTCAGCACACAGTATGAGCAGACAATTTTTCCTCCTGCAAACTGGCATCTCGGAGGGACTCCACAATGAGTCAGCGAGTTCTACACCTCTGATAAGGACTTCAAGAAAGGAGGTCAAATTTAGCATGAGTTACCTTCCACCCATTTTCAGGTAACCAAAGCTGCTTGCAGCTTAATAACTGCCCATCAACACAGCAGATAATCTATTTCTTTTAGCAGATAATCTTGATAGGAAGAAGTTTATTCCTACTTTATTGTTGGAGAAACCGAGCCTCAGAAAGGCCATGAGATCACACAGAAAACACTGGCTAAAAATCATGCTGGAAAAGGAGTGTTGTGTTGTGGTTTAACCTCTCTTCTCAGGGAACTGACAGCTGGTTGCACTGAACTGAGGAAGTGGATCCTTTGTCACCTCAGTGCTTTTCTTGAGTCCTTTTCTGGTTTTCAACTCAATATTTTTATGCTACATTAGAAAAATTGAGAGCTAATGAAACACGTCTCACTCCTATGCAAGAATGAGAAATGTAAGGGCACAAAGTAAGGTCATATTATATGTACTAAAATCTCACCATACTTAAGAGACCAAATAAATAAGTCATTAATCCAGTTAAGCAGCCTTGCAGATAAATGACTGTTAAAACCCATAATTGGATGAACTGGTTTCTCCTCAAAAATAAACTTTAATGAATTGACTCTGCTGTTCTAACAGTGGATTCCGAGCCTTTCCCATTGTGACATTGACCAGGACTGCTGTGTCAAGTGGAAAAACAAGAGCATTAACTCAAACTTTAATCTCCTCAGAGTCAGATTTGTTGCCCTGGGAAGCAGCAGCATATCTGATTTACCTGACACCCATGGCTTTTCATGGTGTCCATTGCCTTCTTAACTGCAGGGTTTGGAGGTTCAGAGAATTCCACCTGAGTCTTCACATTCTGCTCAAAATAGGGGCCAATCAGGAAATAGTTTTCACCCCATTCATCTGCTGTAGTTTTGGATTTTGTCTGGATCACAGTGTAAATGCCTCCTACTGCAAAAGACGATCACAAAGAACAAAAATTAGAAAGGGGCACAGGCTACAGATCTCTGTACTAAGCTCCAACCCATCTGTGGATCAGATGCACTGCTAGTTAAATCCCCTCACATATGTATACTTTAAGTGAAATACAGCCTCAGTCAACTAAATAGGAGTTCAGTCTCTTATACAATATTAGAGCTTCACTGTTCAATCCGGGGATTAAAATCCTGGGCCTCATACTTCCACTCTCCCATGTCTGATCTTGATTCTGCTGCATCCCAAGCACAGCCTTCTGCTTTTGTTTTATTGCTTCAGTTATAATTTTCAAACCTACTTTTCATCACATGGTAAGAACTGAGCTTGTTTGACACAAATCACTAAGAGAAGTTGAGGAACTGCAGGATTTCATTGATTGCTAGCTATAAAAATGAACTTAACCCAATATCCTCAAAGCATAAGGAGTCTTGCTCCATTATCAGTCTTGAAGAGTTGCTCAAGTTGGAGGGAATGTAGCCTACACTGACTACATAAATGTCTGTAGCATCTTTCACCAAAAGATTGTCTGCTTTAAAAGCAAATGTAGCATTCAAATGTGTAAGAGAATTCAGCACCATCCCTCACCAAGTCAACACAGATCTATCTAGTCTTGCAAAGGCTGTGCTAGAGTCCCTTAGCTGCTCTTGCTCAGAGTTTGCCATAGCCAGCCCTGGAATTCACGCACTGGCAGGGCAAACCCCCCTTTGCCACAGTCCCCAGAGTGCCAGGCAGTGGGCACTGCACCACCACCAAGTCAGAAGAACAATAGGGCATGCTTGAATCCAGTAAGGGAGCAGGATGGCAAAGGAAAACCTGAAGCCAAGCAGCTGCTGCACACCAGAGACAACGAGTGTAGCTGCAGCAAGGTGGAAGAGAGGGAGCACAACAGGTACAAAGAGCAAAAGAAATACCACAGAAGGGATTGGTGCTCCTACATAATATTTGTTCCCTCCACTGAATGTTGAAGCCTTGGAAATATTTGGCATCTCCAGGGAAGGAGATGGTGCTACAGCTTCCAGCAGTGACATCAAAATTACTTAGGGAGTCAGCACTGAAAGCTGCGAGGCACTGAGAGCTGGCACTCTAGGCTTACACTTTTAAAGCTATTGGGATATCCAGAGGTGCCAGTGCACCACTTCCAACAGAATTAAAAATCTTGAGAAGTTACCTAATTCTCCTTAAAAATCTGCCACTGCTATGTACAATACGGTGGCTAACGCTGCTCAGCACTTTGGAAGATTAGTTCGCAGATTAATTAAACTGTATCCCCTAAAAAACACAGAAAGCCCTCTGTAAAGTCTGGTGTCTTGCAGCCCTGAGGAGCCAAATGACAGAGTTACAGTTTTAATTATGCTCCTAGAAAAGAAATTATTCACTTAAATGCATTTTCTCTACAAATATCCCATTTGTTTTGAATGCTGAAAGGATCCCTGGTCTCAATATTTTCAAGTCTCAGGAATCTAGGTATTTACAAAGAGAAAAAAAAGCAGATCCAATCTACCAGCTTGCTAAGTAGAATTAGTACAATAAATTATTACCCTTAATAATTCAAGACCAAAGAAGACATGAATCTTACAGATGTCTGTTCCTAAATCAAGCTGTCAGTTCAAGAGTTTCACATCACGTAGCCATGGAATTGCAGAAGGAAACTGTAGGAATGCGCCCCCTAATGACAGAGTGGCAAAACTAACCTTTGTCCCCCAAAAAAGGAAAGAAGCCCAGAAGTTTCTCTCAACTATTAGGTGAAAAGCCACCTCATAGGACCTCAGGGACTTCACCAAACACTAGAGAACATCTAACTGGATAGAAGCCAACAAGTCCCGCCTGACCCATCAAGTAGAAAAGAACAGAACAAAAGAGTAAAAAGGCTTTTGTGAAGTGTTTTCACCAGGAGCAGACCTCTTGCACCTGGCTCGAGTTTTTCTGTTTGTTATTTTGCCTTTTATTAAACCTTTTTTGTTTCTAACACCGCAGCAGAAGCCGTCCTGCTTATTTTATGCCCCCAAAGCAATAGCTGAGCTATCCTTGGGTGTATTAAGTTTCTTTCGAGGGCTTATAAGAACTGGCCCGAGAAAAACAATTTAATAGGAAACCTATGCATATGACTATTGTTCTCCCCTTCAGCAGGACCAAAAAGCTTAAGAAACTAATTTATAGTCATCATATTCTTCCATGGCTGCTTTGGACAGGGATTTAGAGCAATCTTAGATAAATAACACTGTATTTTCCCTCCAAGTTCCTCTGCTCACAAGCTGAGTCTATTTGAATAGCTTGGATTCAGATAAACATAAAATTTTAATTATGTGAGACAAGTCAGAATATTCAACCTATAAAGCAATAGTTATCATGATACATCTGTTTTTATGGAGTGGTAAATTCATCATAGGAGCATAAGAGGCTTCAATCCAAAACAGATAAATATGAGGCTTGGTAGAAATCTTAGTCATGGAACTGGCTGGTTTGAATTGGCAGGGATACAGAGCTTAGAATGACGAAACATTTTAGTGCAGAGCAGCCTGGTGATCCAGGAAAAAGAGAAAACATGACTTGCAAGATGGAAGACACTAAATACCACGATAAAGCTGTATATGCCTAGAGTGAAGCAAAGCTCCTTTCCCCATCCTAGGAGCGTGGATCAGCCTTTTCCATACTGCAAAGGGCTCAACACCAGGATTGGCAACATAGCTGAGTTTCCACAGCCACGGATTTGAAGAGAAATGGGGAAGCTGCAGCTCAAGGCAGGGCAGAGCCTGGATCTTTGTTTCACACAGCCAGCATCTGAGTGTTTCTTTCCACAAGGTTATCCTTAGGATCCCTGTGTGCCCTAAAGGGCCAAAGATGCATGGAAGGCCTCTTACGGGGAGTGTGCTGTGCTCTGCTGTTGTAATCTGTTGCACAGCAAGGTAAAAAACATTTCAGGGCACTGATTTGCCTGAAATGCAATAAAAAGTACTTATGATAAAATCCAAGGAGTACATTTTACAGGTTGTTAAAACTCCTCAGAAGGTAATTGTGATAAAAGCAGTGCTACCTGGCCCCCAGACTTGCTTTTGTCTTCCCTGTTACTGTGGAAATATGACTCACAAAGCATGTCTGCGCATAAGGTTTAACTGACAATAGAGGGAAACTGCAAGTGAAACTATGTATGTAGGAAGTGTTGGGTATAACTTAAAAAAGAGATCTTGAGAACAGAGCAATGTCTAGAATAATGTATTGATTTTTGAAATTACACTTCTCCATAGCAAACTCAAGGAACAAAATATACATCTTTTAAGAGATAGTTTCTACATGCTAAGTTGCTTTGAATTCCCCGGAAATATTTGTGCCAGTAAGCAAAATATTACATATCCTACCAAGTAGCAGAGTAGGGGTTTACATGTTCAGCTCACAGAATTCTCAAATCACTTCAACAATTTGGTAAGCCTTCTTTTTCTTGTCTAATATGATGTTTTAGATCGTACTATAAACAGAAAACCTTTCCAAACAACAGGGATGTACCAAAATGTTGCAAGTTTCTCTATGCTGCCTCTCAAATTTTGTACTTTGAAACAGGGTTAAAACAAACAAGAAATGACTAAATGAAAAAACCGATAGAGAATCAGTAGAGATCAGAATAAGAGAATTGGTTTGGAATATCACAGACAAGGGGAATTAGCAGTAAAATGTTGATACAGGAATAGTTTAGTTTTCTGATGTTCAACAAAATGCTTTATTAAAATATATTAAGTTTTAGTAATTTTAAAACTTCCTTGAAATAAATATATTTCTATTATTTCTTTTTAAAACATGCTTTTAACCTTTCCACCAATAAATGAAATCAACTTTAAAAGGAAATCAACAAAAAATCTTTCCCCCATCTATCTCCTTTTCATTCTTCCTCTTTTTTTTTAATTTTTTTTTCAGGATTCGAACTGCTACAATCGCTCTCACATCAATTGTTTCACCATTCTCCTCAGAATGTGTCTTTGATCTGCACAGGTGTGATAAAAATTTGGATTGAACTTGTTTCTAACATTTGACTGGAATTTGATTGATTGACTGATTGTCTGTTGAGGTATTCTTAATAAAATCAGGTTGTAAAATGTGTCAGGTGAAAAACTACCAGCATCTTCAGCCAGCAGATATTTTTCCTGTGGTTTTTGGGCTATGTTTGTGGCCAGGACTCCTCAGAAGAGAGATCTCCACATTCTCTGAAATGCTGACATTCCAAACACATTTTGAAATAATACTGAACCATTAAACTTATGACAGATGTCCACAACTGAGAAGCTATTTCTGTGTGTATCATCCCCAGTGCACAAGATTTCATTTGGAACTTATTTGACATTGATATTCCACCCCACTCTATAAATGCACAGAGCTCTCAGGCTGTGCTTATGCCAAGTTTATGCCAGCACATCCCCACTCCCCAAAGGGTGTCACTTCATCTGTGTCACAAATTACAGTAATCACCTTCTCCCAAGGAAGTTTCATCATGGAAAGACACAGAGGAAGTAAAATGCTGGTCCTACTGACTTCAGTGGATTCAGGATTTAATTTCCAAAAGTCCAGTTTTTCAACAGAGAAACTGAACCAAGATCTCTTCTCCAGGGAGAGCTGAAACAAGTGTTGTTTTTAGCACAGTCTTCGTTCCAATGGGGATGGAATAAAAATATTTGAGATTCATCTACCAGTGACTCTTGAGCTAAGCTGTTCATAGCTGAACGATGACATAAGCTGGCTGTTTGCCCAGCATTTTTAAGCATTCTTCTACTTTCTATCTAAAAGCTATGAGTGGTACAGCAAGGGATACTAATCTAATTACTGGAATTACTTTCAAGACATCTTTCTAGAGAAAAGAGCAGATCTTGAACATTCTCACCCCTTCTAACCAATGTGTCAGAAATCCCACTACAGACAAACTCAATCCAGGCCCAAAGTCTTCATAGCTTGGTAGCCACTTAAAGCTTTTAATGGTCTTCATGCTATGGAGGAAAGAAACCACTCATTTTTTCCACAGCTGTATGACCAGACCTTGCTTTACTAGAGCATGATGGCCAGGAGAGAAAGAAAGAGTTAAAAATGCAGATCTCCCCCAGGATTACCACCAGATTTGTGGCACTGCAGCTGACTGGGACCCTTCACTGCCTGCATTTTTCCCCTTCTGCCACAGAAACACTGCAGATCCACTTCACATGGGGTTTTGCCCATCACTGAAAAGACAACTAAAGTGAGGGAAATCTCACAAAAAAACCTAGGCATTTCTTATTTCTTTGGCAGAGGACTTTCAATGCCAGATGATTTCAATATTGTTTTTTGGTTTAGGTGGCAAGTTCCCTCTCATGACTTGGGGGAAGGGTGAGGGAGAGTGACATTGGCAGATGAGCCTTTTTTATTTCCCATTTTCTCCTTCAGCTACCTTATCTTTGCTTGCTCAGACAGAGTAGAGTGTGAGCCGTAACTGAGAGGCCAATGTTTTCTGTGTCAGAGGTTGTAAATTAGCACAAGCTGCAGCCAGGACAGAAAATGCAAAAAGGAAACATGGAGGAGTAGAAACTCTGCCTTGTTAGAGCACATTTTAAATTATCCATTCTTAAAACAAAAGGAGACAACTTCCCTGTTCCAGCTGCTGACAAAGAAGAGATGAGACTCTGAAAATAATGGATACCTACAGATCTCTGAGCCCTGAGTCCATACAACCATCTTCTTCCCTACAGCTGTACCTCATGCCTCAGTAACAACCAGCACCATCAGGGAAATGCCATGGAATGCTTGCTTCACTTCTACAGAATCAAGTATTCTCCAGTTTGCAGGATCTCCTCACCATCCCTGGCTCTGAAGAGGTTCAGCTCAGCACCTGTGAAAGTCATTGCTTATAGTCTGTGGGGATGGATGTTCACCTGTGAGCTCTGTTATCACCTGACAATTCAGCCTGATTGTCAGTGCCACAAGAGAAATGGAGGGATTATTAAGAAGCAGCACTGGCCAAGGAGGAAATGTATCCAAGCACCTGGTGATGCACCAAAATTAACACAAAGACTGGGACTCTCTCCTGTGGGCAGCAGCAGCTTTACACCAGCTCAGAAATGCAAACCAGCTTCAGGCTGAGCTTTTCTGAGATTCCTTTGCATTGCCAGAAAGGAAGAAAGAAACCTTCATGTTAAATGCTCAAAATTAGCTTGTCAGGCAATAAATCCAGAAAATTTTTATCTTGCTCTCTATGTTAGGAACATATGTAGCAGCACAAACACTAAAATATGCAGTAGAACTAAATCTGTGTGGTCAGTTTATTTCATCAAGTAAACAATTCCTCTTGCTAAAGGAGCTAGGAAATATACATTACAAGCTATTCTTTCCTAACCCTATATATCTTCCGTGATGACTCCCTGTATTTTGCTGTCTACTCTCTCTCACAGTGCCCTACCATTTTCCCAGAACTGTTTACAAAAGTTAGGTCACCAGAGACCAATTCTCACCATGTGACTTAGACATTCAATTGCCTGGAAGATACAGAAAAAACCCCCCAAACCCTCAGTATCAAGAATTTGCCAGAAAAATAGGATGAAAAAGGATTATAAAAGGGATTTTGCACAGATGTTTCTAGTCGAGCTTGGTTAATGGAAACTTTGCACAAGGTCAGATTCTAATGAAGAAATTGTTTTCCATTCCATGTTCCTTCAGCCCTGTCTGAATATATGGGCTTGGAAAGTGGTGTAAGCAAAGGCACATTACTTTTAAACACACTGAATAAAACTGACTTTATTAATATTAATTCTCTCATAAAATGTGTGAATAGTAAATTTTAGCTGTGTCAGTTGATTTGGCGCCAGTGAAGTCAGCCAGAGCTCTATGGATGATTAAATGATTCACTATATTTTGTACATGCTCTGGAAAAAACTAATTGGGTTATCTCCTCTTAAATGTCTTATGTGATATCTACATCCACTGGGTCCAGATGACTCAGAAAATATGTATGCTGTGGAGCTCAGAGATGTTAGTGAGAACTCCTGAATTTCCTAGATTTCTGCTGCCATCTGCTTGCCAGAGCCTTACTTATCACACACACTGCAAAAATGAACGCTGCATGCTCCAAGGTGTAATTTAGTAATTTAACTCTAAAAGCTTAGGCTGAAGCTACTGAAAAAAAAACACACAGGGATTCAAACTGCCAAATCTATTCTGTCTCATCTCTAGGTATTGATAGGGCTCACTACCATAAAAAGAGCAATGTGAAACAACATAAATTATCACAGAACAGTAATTCCAGTTTCCCCATGGAGATAAACCCCAGTACTGCCTGTTCCACTCACACACATTTCCTCTTTAAAGTTAAATTCTTAACAGTTTACAGATCCCCTCTCCTGATTAAACTCTATTTATCTGCCAGGACAGTAACACACATGAGGTCAGTACTTTACTCATACTAACTCACTTTTGCAGTGAAAATGGAAGCTTGCAGAACTACACCTACCTGAACGGGGATGATTTGATGAATGAATTAGAAATTAAGGCAGGAGGATTTTTGCCTAATAAGCAGCATGACCTTTGCCTGACCAGCAGCAACCAATGAACAAATGAGGCCCCTGTCTGGCACCACCTGTGTTTGCAAAGAGCAGTCCAGAAGAGTTTCAGCTGGCACACAAAGGCCACTGATCATTGACTCCTGGGTTTTGTTCAGTGGCTGTAACACAGCTCTATTTATTTATTCCCCTTCCAGACCTGGTCTCTTCTCCACAATGCTCTAGAAGGCTGAGGGGGGACTGTTAAACTGCTGTGCATCTGATCTCTGTTGTACACCTCATTTCTCATGTTGTACAGCTCATCTGATCTCTGTTGTACAGCATGACATTCCTAAGTGAATTTGCATGGAAGGCAAAATCTAAGTATGTACAAAGCAATTTATATATCTGCACACACAGACTTATCACTTAGATGTTCAAACCCCCCCTCTCCCTGGTGGTAGAACACAAAAAGACACAAGAGACATCCTGGCTGTGCCCATCCCACACAAACCCAGGCAGATGCAGCCCACACTCAGCACGCAGTTACACACCTGCATTTCTTCCAATCCAGCAGTTCTGCAGCCCTCTCCAATCTCCCTGTGAATGCCTATCTTCTCCAGCCCTTCATCCCTCCTTCCACTCCTGAGAAAACAGCAATACTAACCCCCAAGAGTGGTACAAACCTTTGTTGGTAACTTCCCAAGAAATTTCGAAGAGCAACAAATCCTCCATGGGCAGGTCTTCATCCTCACACTGAAGAAGCCCATTCAGAGATGTCATGGACAGGGATCTTGCCAGTGGCATTTTCTTCAGCCCCTGAGTGCTCACCACACAGGCCACAGCAGTCAGCAAAGTTCCAGGTCCCGTGGCAGTGCTCTGCAGTTCTGGTTAGAGCAGAGCACTGTGTGCTGGGATCCCAGGAGAAAATTATTCAGATAGCTGGGAGCTAAGGGGTTTAAACTGTCTGACCACCAGCATTAAATTGGCTCAGTGAAATCCTCAGGGCTTGAGAAGCAGCTGCTGGAAGAGGTAAGAATTTAACACTGACCTGAGAAAGGCCTCAACTGTTTAGGGGCCACAGCTCTTTCTTTTTCTTCTCTCAGAAGGAGGTAAAAAATTATTTTGAGCTTCTGAACCACAGTATTCAGTATCCACCAGCACCTCAGGGACAGTTGACATTGGAGGGTTGTAAAGTCAGCACCACCCTACCACTCTGAGCCAACTCCAACAGGGAGGACACTTTGAGTTCACCACCTGATTTCAGTCCAGCCCCTGAGTCCTCCCCTCGAGACACACCCTCCCCTTACACCCGGGGAGTTTTCCTTCCTGCTGGCTATGTGCAGGAGTAAGAGTAGACTCATTTAACACGATGTTTCTCAGGTTCCTTGCCAGATTAAATGCTGTTACCTTTTCTTTTTCAGTTCAGCAGTCTGTAAGCCTGGGTTTACCTCATCTCCTACCTCCACAATTATCTCAAGCTCTGCTCCCAGGACTCTGCATCATCTGTGGGCTGCTTTAGCAACTCTGCAGCCCTGCCAGCTTTTACAGAGCTACAAAGGCTCTACCCCTGTGTTGGCATGCTTTCTTCCCCTCCTTGCAGTCCTGTCCCTGATTTTCCACCTGTTTTTTCTAGGGTTGTTTTTTTTGTTGTTGTTATTTTTGGGGTTTTTTTTTCTATGCTGGCCTCTGGGCCCATGTCCTCCACCCAGGGAGCTTAGTGAGTACTAAGCCAGGGCACAGCATGCCCCTGTCTTCTCCAGCACAGAGCTGGGATGCTGCAAGCACTGAACACACATCTGCCGAGATGCTGGTCCCTAACTCACAGCCTGAGATCCTCACAGCTCCCCAGAGCAGCTGCCTGCTTGTTAGATGCTTATTTTACACATCTGGTTGAGAAGCCAGTGCTTCTGGGACAGCTGTGCCAGCTGGATCTGATTCTGAGCTTAGACCACAACCTGCCCAAAACCCACAGTTCAGCAGGGAGCAAATCTCCAGGTGAACTCCAGGACACCTCTGGCACTGTGGAGAATACCATTGCACTGGCTGGCATGGAGGGAAAGGCTCTGAGCTCACCTAAGGCAAAACAAGTCCATGACAATTGGTTTAGGAGACAGGCAGCCCGTCAGCATAGAAGACATAGACATAAGTCTCTTGGACATAATACATAATGCATGGCACAGGTGAGCCTGCCTTAAAGAACCTATCCCCCAAAATACTTGCTCTTCCACTTCCACCCTCTGTGCCCTCTCTGCATTCATGGCAGTCAGACCCATCCCTGAGCTAGTGGATACAGCTCACTGAATAAACCTAAGGATGCAGAAAGCTTTATTTGCAGAGTTAAGAATCGGAGCTGTCTCAGAAAAGAGCCTGGTAAGAGGCCAGGGAAAGGTTCACGGGTTTATTGGCTGAGTGTCATTTTGTCTCAATGGTTTGAGTTGCCCTATTCACCAGTTTCTAAAAAAAAGGCCTGGCCAAGAATCATTATTTTTGGAGCAGCTGTGGCTTTTACTACCTGGAGTAGGTAGGAAACCAGATCATCCACTAGCTAAAAAACCATGCTATTTAACAGAAAAACCAGTAGTACATTAAGGCTCACTTAATTTATGAACATAAGATCTGCCCAAGTCACAGTTTCATACCTTTCCTGGGACATTGACGCTGAGGGTGAGGCCTAAAGCTGCCAGGTGCACAAAGGCCACCTCAGGTGGGGAGTGGAGAACAGAGAACAAAGCAGCCGACAGGTTCATCCCCATCCCACAGGTTCTCTTCACCCTATGTAAATGAATACACAACCAAACTTCTCCTTTTAAAGGTGACAGGAGTGGAGTGAGCCCCTGGCACCCCTCACTGACCACAGTGAGTGTGATCACCTCACTGTGAGTAAATCCCAGGAGCTGCAGCATCCCCGAGGGAAACCTGACGGATTTGTGGGTGTGGGGGACCCATCCCCACTGCTGGCTGGGTGCCACTGTGCTCTGCAGGTCTTCACACAGCTCTCAAGGTGCTGAAATCAAAATTGTTCACATCAGTTACCTCTCCAGGGACCACAGTATCACAGAATGGTCTGGGATGGAAGAGACATTGAAGATCTCATTGCACCCCCTGCCATGGGCAGGGACACCTTCCAGTATCCCAGCTTGTTCTGAGCCCCATCCAGTCTGGCCTTGGACACTGCCAGGGCTGGGGCAGCCACAGCTTCTCTTGCCACCCTGTGCCAGGGCCTTTCAGCTTAAACCCATCACCCCTTTTCCTGTCAATCCAGGCCATTGTAAAAAGTCCCTTTGCAGCTCTCTTGTAGTGTCTCTTCAGTCCATAATAAAATCACCCCAGAGCCTCCTCCAGGCTGAACATTCCCAGTTCTCTCAGCCTTTCCTCATAGGAGAGGTGTTCCATCACTCAAAAAAAACCCCTCTAGTAGTGATGCCAGATAACCAGTGGCACTGGTTCACTGACATACCAATGTCCCTTTATTAAATTAAATAGGAAAAAAAGAGTGTTTGTAATCTCTTCTACTGGGCCCTTGTAGAAGAGAGAACAAACACTTCTTCAGGTTTATCTGTTGCCAATCAAAACCCCAATCAACTGCTGATGTGGAATGGTCACAGAAACTCTTCACCTGTAGAACATTCAGGAAGCAATGCTTACTTTGCACTGTTTTTCTTGCTCCTGCAAGGCAAACGCCACTGTTCCTGCTTCCTGCCTCTCGGCACCACTCCCATCCCCTCTGGGCTGGGAACCAGAGGCAGATCTTCCAAGAGCCCCCTCCCCCACGCCGCTGGGGCGCACGGGGGAATGCAGGCACCCCAACCCCAAGGGAGTAGCCCCCGACCACACGCAAAATGACCCATGAAACACACTGAGTTTGAAAACAAGAGCCCCCTCCCCCACGCCGCTGGGGCGCACGGGGGAATGCAGGCACCCCAACCCCAACCCATGAAACACACTGAGTTTGAAAAATGACCCATGAAACACACTGAGTTTGAAAAATGACCCATGAAACACACTGAGTTTGAAAACAGCCAGCCGGGCAGCACCCGCAATCCGCTGTCGAGCCACGCTCCCTCCACGGTGGGACAGGCTGTCCGCAGGGTCTGATGCGAAGGAAGCTGGCGGGACAGACGGGGTGGGCGGCGAGGGTGGCACGGGTGCCGGGATCGGCTCTTGAGACGGTCCCGCGGGCTCAGCGCCGTTCTCGGCATGCTCCTGCACTGCAAGTGGGTTGGCTGGGAGCGGCGGGACCGGCACGGGCGGCGGGGGCGCATCCCCCGAGTCTTCTCCGGGGTGCGGACGCTGAAGCGCAGGCGCAGTCATCAGAGCCGGCGGAGCCGGCCCGGGAGGCAGCGGGACAGGCACGGGGGGCCGGCGCGGCTGCAGGACTGGCGCCCAGGGCATCCTCCGGCGGGCAGACAGCCGGGGAGACACGGCCCGGTCTGCGCACGCTCCAAGGGCACAGAGGAAAACTCTTGCTCAGCCGTGGACCTTGCTGGGGGGTGGGGATGGGGGTGGGAACTGCGGTTCGTCTTCTTCGACAGGTTCCTCTCCTGCCGTGTCTGGTGGGAAGGGCGCACGGCTGTGACAGTCGGCCACAAAGTCCAGCACAACCTCTCTTTGCTTCATAACACGGAAGAGGGCTGAGAATGCCGGATAAATTCTTGGCAGCCCAAGACACCGGCCAAATTCCCACTCAAAAACAGACTCCATGAAATCCCAAATATCTAAATTGAGGGAGTATATCAAATCTGTAAAAAATCCATGGAATTTTGTCCATTTGAAAAACTCATAAAAATGTCTCTCCAACATATTGATTCTGTCCTTGCGCCCCCACCTTTGCCAGAGGTTAATAACTTTCTCATCTAATGCAGAAAATGGAAACTGAGTTTCCACAGGTATCTTTTCCCAGATCTCAAACACCATCCTGTGAAGGGCAGTATTTGCAGGAAAGGAAGAGTTAACAGTACCTTGAGACAGTGTCCTTGAGGGTTTATCAGCTGCGCAGCTCTGCTGCTCTGCGGTCTCTGGACACGACGTCTGGGAAACTTCAGAACGTTCTTCGGTCTTCAACCTGGCTGTGAACTCTGCCCACCTTCAGGGTCTCGGTTCTTCAGCTCCAGGCTGGACTCTGTGGTCACTCCTGGGGTGACCATCAATGCCACACGTTCAGAGGTCACCAATTGTCATGTCAGGTGCCCCATGTGTGGAGATGCGAGTCTGGACTCCCATGTCTTCAGAAGGCTGGTTTATTATATTATGATATATATTATATTAAAATACTGTATTAAAAACTATACTAAAAGAATAGAGAGAAAAGATTCATCAGAAAGCTAGAAGGAACAAGAATAGAATGAATAACAAAATCTTGTGACTGCTCACAGCCTCAACACAGGTGGCTGTGATTGGTCATCAATTGAAAACAATCCACATGGACCAATGGAAGATGCACCTGTTGCATTCCACAGCAGCAGATAGTTATTGTTTACATTTCTCTCCTGAGGCTCCTCAGCTTCCCAGGAGGGAAAAATCCTAGCAAAGGATTTTTCATAAAATATCATGGCTACACTCACATAGTCTGTGGTTTTCAGGTTCTTGAGTGTCACATTTTTCCAGCTTCTGTTTGTAATAAGATGATAATTCTTTTACTATTTGAATTTGACAAAACATGATATAATTCCTGAAACCTTGGTGAAGGAGTTAGAAAGAATGGTCAGATACCATGAGATAATTCCACAAGCACTTGAGTGAACCTGAGAGCAACTCACCTTTGGCAGTTTGGAGATTATAACTGATAAAAAGTGCTCAGTAGCACA